CAAGCTCCTCTCTCTACCAAATTTGAAACGAACCCACTAGGGCTGCCTTCGAAGTACGTTCTAATGATAATGACGATAATTGATGTTAGTTCCGGACAGAGCCAAGTCTTCTAGTAGGTTGTAGAGCGATTTTGCCGTTATACCACTCGCTCCCACTTCTAAGTTCTATCACGTACAAATTTACAACGAAATATGTATATTTTTTTAAATGAATCTATGATTTTTGAATATATGTATTACACCGTTTTGCGTTAAACACTAGCAAGGTGTGTGTATTGTTATATATTAGGCAGACGGTCTGTGCAAGGGTCAAAGATAATATCTTAGACATTATCATTATCTTTGAATGAGGCCTTTGACTTACTAAAACTTACTTACTTACTTGACTTGACTACTTTACTTACTTGAACCCATCAAAAGAGGTGAAACTTGTCAATAATCCATAGATTCACCGTTTGGGTGTCAGGTCCATTACTCAACTTGATTCGATAGTGGGTAGCATTAAAGTATAAGAAATTTAATTCTAATCCTACTAATATTATAATTGCGAAAGTTTGTGAGTGTGTGTGTATGTTTGTTACTTCTTCACGCTCAAATGGCTGAACCGATTTTGATAAAATGTTGTATACAGGAAGCTGACGTCCAGGAATAACACATAGGCTCCTTTACATCCCTGAAATCAGCGGGAACACCGCGGAGTGCAGCTAGTTGATTATAATTGTCCTTTGGTGATCCAGCTCGTGTCCTATCCAATGTCTCTTGTAATCCAACATGGTTTATTACTTATTATTATAATAATTTGACTACATATAAGATAGCGGTGTTTTTGTCATTCAGAGTTCATATAAATATATTATTAGAAAAATAATCGCCATTTTCGTCGAGTCGTTGATGCAGCGTTATATTTTTTCCTACGTTTTTTGTTTGTTTTTGTTACCAACATTATGTAATAACATATTTAGTTGCAACCAAAACAGAGGTAACGAATGGAATCAGGTCCAACAAATAAACGTAATATAAAGCACCATAATATTACATTCTTTCCGTACTCACAAATTACAATAAAAGAACCACACGTTTCAAAGTACCTAAAACTGATTGTATTGATTTAACCTTTCCGCTTGTTAAATCAAATATAAAGTAGGCAAAATTAGAAATACGTCGGCGTCAATAATTCGTATAACCATTAAAACTATCTATCTAGGGTAGTTTGGCGGATTGACGATTTCAAACTTATAATTTGTAATAATTATAAGTCCAGATTTTCTCTCGATGTTTTTCTTCACCGCCCTTCAGTGATGTCTAAATAGTCTTAGAACATGCTTCTACAAAAATCAAATACACCCTATCAATACAGTTACACCCCATCAATAGCTAAGCTAGACTCTTTCGAATATTGCAACAAATTAAATAAGCGCCATTTTAATTGCAGTTTTTCTGATTTAACGTCGTCTTCTTCCTATCTTGTTCAGATAACACTTCTTATGTATTGTATAAAATTGGAAATTATCTCAAAATAATCAATTCTTATTGACCCAAACTCATACTTTTGAATTACCCAAGACCTCCAGTCTTATCACGTCCAAACCGTATCACTAATTGTAAAAGTATTAATGCTGTTTTCTTGAATAGCCAACCAAAAGCTATACATATTTGCCATCAGTAAATGACATGAGAAGTGGATTCAAAAACCTCTGGTTTTCTGGTTGGGGAATGTCATTTACACGGAAATAGCTTGATTACCTCAACGGTACCAGGAAATGTTTCTTATAATATATAATAACCACGTTATGATTTATGAATCTGGACAAATTTCCGATCAAAGCCAAAATTTGTAGAACATGGTTAAATGCTTTTGCGCGCGTAACTAACTGCTTAAGGAAAACCATATTTCGTATTCCCAAGGTAGGTTGAGGTAAGGTAAACCTAGTTTATAGTACTGCACTGACCACACCTAACATTGGAAAATGACGAGAAAAATTTATAATGATGATTTCATATTACAACGTTGCAGAAATTATTGTTGACTCGTTCCAAATACAATATTATAATTACTAAACATTTTTTTTATTCAGCGGTGTATTCTGAAGATTCTCACAAAATTAAGGCGCCATAATATTTAGCATAAAATTTACTGAGCCAGAACTTATGAATTTTGGAACCTCACTAAAGCGTCAACCCGTCTGCCAACAGTTGTTTTTGGTCTAGACAAGAGATGGTTATAATTCAAAGAGAAACTGTTCACTATATGATTTCTTCTTCTGTCCTCTTAAGATTATCACTAATAAATTGAAAAGGGTATAAATCTAATCTCCACACAGCATGTACAAGTAAATTTATTTGATATCCGCAACATTTCCAGTTTAATATTTTTGTTTTGTGTTCAGAAATCAATAAGACTTGGTAATATTTGAACCAACCGTCAGTGACAAGTGATTTCATACACAATACAATTACTATGATTTGTTACGTGCAAACTGCTTTAATAAAGGGATAAATTGTATACTACACGTTACTCCGATACTTATACTATATTTTAGGAAAGTTTTATAAGTGTCCCTTTGGTATATATTACGCGTAAGAGAAACAAACCTACAGACAACCTTTAAAACTTTCGCTTTTATGTTATTAATATGATAATATTAGCCGGACTACAACGTTTAAGTACTGAAATTGCAATAGTAGGTAAACTTTATGTTTATTCAAATGGACAAACGAAAGAAAATTATTTAAAAACACAGAAACTTACTAAGATGATTTTAATAAAACTTACAGCGTTGATAGTTTTAAATGAAATAAATATTTATATTCCCGGCTATACATACATGAAATTTAGTTCTTGCGTATTCATTTTTCTAATTTAATATTTCATTTGTGCCTTTACTACGGTATTGCAGTGTCAAACTTCATATGAGGCATAAAATTTTTCATACATAAAATTTTCACATGACTGTATAAGAGTTGGTTAATAAATGAAACTGGAAACGCTGAGTATTTAATTTTTAGATATTAACTTGTTGTAAGAGCAAAGCGTCTGGTAAAGAAATCTATACTAATATTATAAAGCTGAAGAGTTTATTTGTTTGTTTGAAAGCGCTAATCTCCGAAACTACTGGTTCGAATTGAATAATTCTTTTTGTGTTAGATAGTACAGTTATCGAGGAAGGCTGTGGGCTATATAACATCACGCTACGACTAATAGGAGCAAAGATATAGTGGTAAATGTGTAAAAAACGGGAGAAATTATTTCATCTTTGAAGCCTTTCGTTGCGTGCGCCGTGAAAACGGTTCAAGATACAGAAAAAATATGTATTAAAGAATAATAGCTCTTTTAATGATCTAAAAAACAATCCTCGACAGTGTATGTCTATCTTTTAAGATTAACTCACAAAAACCGTTTTTATGATACCTAATTTTGTCGAAATAATTTGTTTAAGTTGTATCAACATAATAATATTAATCTTTCTTCAAATAAACAAATAAATATGTTGTTGGTTAAGAGTACTTCATTGTGAATAAAAAAAACATAGGTTTTATCCTGAAAACTCTACGGGAACTCGACCATTCCGAAAACCCCGCAAGAACGGGAACTATGAGGGAAAAACCAAAAATCTGCCGGAAGTCACTATTCCACGCGGACGAAGTCGCGGCAAAAGCTAGTGTTAAATATATAATTACACTCACTTAAATATAACTAGTAATTATAGACCGGGCGAACTCTATGCCTCATTAAAGATAATAATCAATAGATAAGATTTTGGATTTGATCCATTGAAAAATATCCTGTCTTTGTTATAAGCTACCTCTTTACCAATCTTCATCAAAAACATTACAGCCGTTCTTGAGTTATGAATAGTGTAACTAACACGACTTTCTTTTATATATAAAGATAATATATGTACATATATTTTGAAGATCCACTCCGGTGGTGGGGATATTGTTTTTGAATCAAATTTATATTAAAATATTCATTATAATAATTCAAAACTGCGTAAATGTCAAGTATGTATCTTTAGTTCAATGAAACTATAAATGAGTGAATATCCTTACTTATATTATAAATGCGAAAGTAACTCTGTCTGTCTGTTACGCTTTCACGCCTAAACCACTGAACTAATTTTAATGAAATTTGGTACAGAGATGGAGTTGACATTGAAAAAGAACATAGGATAGTTTTTATCACAGACTTTTGAAAGGTTCTCTTGGAAACGCGATATAACCGAACTCCACGCGGGCGAAGCTGCGGGCGGAAAACTATTATATAAATATATGGGTTTTTGTGTGAGTCTAAAGGTCCTAATATATAACCAGTTGCTATAATATCTTAATATTTTTAATCAAGGTATTGGCATTTTATGTTAGAAGATTTTTTCCTCATTGATTAACAAAAAGAGACTCAAAAAAACATTCTTACTAAGGACGTAAAATGTCTGCATGTATTAAAAAAGTGTTTACACTTGAATACCGTAAATGGAAAAGTAATAGCTCAGAGAAATGTCAAATTATATATTATTTAATTGATATATAAGTTATTTGTTTGTATATTATTAAAATACATAAATCTGAATGATATAATATATAGATAATACATTATTTATATAAAATATAAATAAACGTACGAGGTCAAAACTCATTAGCGTGTTATCCAACCTGGTTTTTCCTACTTGGAGTTCTGTAGTAATGGTTTTATGTTTTATTTTGAAGTATATAAACAATCGTACAGATAGAATTAATAGCCAATATATATAAAAAATATAGACGTACTTTTCTCACACCTTTATTCTCTCAAAAGCATTAATATATTTAGTTGAACATATACAAAATATAAAAAAAACTTCATCATTTTTTCGACAGCGTACTTACAGACACAACTTACATTTTATTTTTATATGTTTATTTAATTTTAAACATCCGTATACATACGTCACGCTTTACAAATATTTAGAATGAGTATTTATTATACGAAGATCAGCCTTCGACGTTTTAACACTAATAGACACTCAAAATACACTTGGCTTTGAGTATATTCCGCTGAAAATAACTGTAGCAGTAGGTTTTTCCATCACGAAATACAGGAATGGTTTGTTGGCTGAGAAATTAGGAGTTGCTATACGGTCAGCAAAATAAGCAGATGTTGCTGCTGACGCTACAGTACCGGATTCAGTTACTTCAATATCTGCTTTGTGGACTATCGCTGATATGTATATCTCCTCTGTCGTGACCTTTTCGAAGCTAGCTCGACCAGGTTCAAATATATCATACACTCCCATACTGTTCAACGGTTTGTTGAGAACTACGTTAGTACTTATTTTGAATCGTGGCAACTTAACATCGATGTCTACTAAACCGAATTCTTCCTCATCGCTCTTGAGTTGAGCAAATATATCCTTGAAAGTTACCCTTTGGAAGGTATTGTAAACTGAACTCACGGTATTTCTAGGGTATGGGAGTATCACAAGCATACAGTAACGCTTATCATTCCCGTAAGGCAATTCCAAAACCATGGCACCCATGGATTTCATGTTAGAAAAAGGAAATTGATATCTTTGATACATCATATTGACTTTACCGATTTCTTTCTTGTTCTCATCATAGAATGGCTCAAGATTCGTATCTGTTTGATTGAAAGGCGATGACCAGAGGCCTTTGAATGAAATAACGTTAGTCAGAATCATCCTGGACTTCAAGAAGTCTTGTGATTGAAGCACATTGGAGACAGTCGCACCGTATTTTCCTATAATCCTATTGGCTACATTCGCTGCAGCGTTAGGATCTTTGAAATTAAGAGTTTGTATCATCGCACCGAAGTCTTTGCTGAGCGTGTTCTGAAAATTCCGGTTTATTTCGAAGCCTTTGTCCAAGAAGACGAAGTTTTTGATGTCCAAAGTGACGCCATACGTTTGAGGCTCCAGAACCGATTTCGTCAAGTTCTTATATCCTCTGACAAGAGTTTCTTCGTTCTTTGGCAAGAAAAACGCTCTTTCTATTTGGGATTTGCTCTCGCCCGTAGCACCTAATGTGATGCCAGTCATCAAACTCCATATCCCGAACGGAGATATCACTACGTGTCCATCAGCTTCTAATTGCGAATAATGCAATAATTCTATACTAAAATTTCTTGCCCTATCACTGAAATCAGCGAAACATGTCGCTGTTAATGTAAATAATATAAATATTGTGTACATTATATCGTCTGACCACGCCAGTGATGCTAAACCAACTGACTCATAACCGAGTCTTTATTGTGTTATAAGTGCGAAAACACGTTTTGTAAGGCCCGTTGTATGCTTTTGATCACGCGCGCAATAAAACCTTAGCCTTTAAACATACCTAGATTTCGGATTGACTTCTTACATATTGTAATGATTAAACAAAATCTTTAAACAAAAGCGTTTTAACAATAACGGAACTATTACGGAGTAATTAAAAATTTATCACATGTCATTCTTATATATCCTTCTCTTTCAAACGTACTAATTATAAGTGAGACAGAGTTATAAGCTTTATTTTGTTGGGATAAAGAAGAATCAATAGTTCATTGATTTGTTTTCATCGCAGACTCATTAGCATCGTTACTGGTTTTTATTAGAATATATTAAATAAAAATAAACGGTCTTTTCTCATGACGTACGTGGAACTGTTATCGTGAGATATGTAATATACATTTTACCTAATGTGGGTAAATCTTTATTAATAGTTATGAGTTCCTTTTTAAATTATTGTAAAATAGTGACCTAACGATAGACATATTGTAGCCAATTTAAAACTATGGTTTAGGATTTAAAATTGCCTAAGCTTGAATTGGAGACAATATTTAAATGAACATCTTAAAACTAAGCATTAAGTATCTACAATTTTTTTAAATCTTAAAATCGTACTTTATAATTTAGATTAATAATTAAAACGTTCCACCTTTTAATATTACTCTGTTGACATTTGTTTACTTTATTATTTTTTTTATATTCGCATGCTAATGAAACGAATTGCGATATATTGAACCTCATAGGATACAAAACTTTTATATAGATATAGTTTTGTAACTGGCTACTTGCTCATATTCCTTTAAAATAAAAATAAAAACTTTACTAAAAGTAATTTTTTTTTCGTGTAAAATTTACTGTTTGTGGTGAACAATAAAGTATATTCTATCTATCTATCTATCTATATTATAATGTCATTAAACTTTAATAGAATAAAATGTTATTAACACATCTCTGAAATGAATAATACAGATAATATTTTTAAGTATCAATTCATAAATTTAAGTGCTCTAAAGCAAAAATTTGTCTATTTAAAGATTTAAATTAAGGTGATATGGTATTCTATACATAAATTTAATTTATCATAAAGAGAATAAGAGAAAGAATTAAAAAAATTAAGCAACAATTATCATTACACTGATAAGTGAATATATTGTGTTGGTTTTACCCTCAATCATTTATAAGTTATATGAATATAATTAATAATACCTACTGCAAGTAAATTACACACTATGTTATCAATTATTATAAGTAAAAGATGAGAGCTGATATTTACATCAATATATTTAATTACAATGGCTAAAGCTAGGAAATTACGAGGAAGAAGAAGATATTTAATTACAATATTGATCCTCCTTCGGTATATTTGCTAGGTAGACATTTGCTTTAGTAAGTTTTTGGATTATTCGGAGATGCAAATAATATTTTTTATTTCTTAAATCTAGTACCCAAACAACATATTATTCTAAAAATGGCAAAACGCAAAAGATACATTATTATCTTTTGATAATATTATCTCGTCTAACAGGTTCTTGAACGAGTTATGACATATAAAAAAATACTTCATCTGAACTTATGGCATTTGTATGTGTATTTGTGAAAAAAATATTTCATTTTATATATCATCTTGTATTTTAAAAAATTATGTCTTTATTTGAAATAATATATACGATTTAATTACATAGCTTTTAGTATTTGGAATTCCTTTACAAAATTATAATATTTTATGAGATGTGGTTTGCCGAAAAAAAAAACAAATGATGATGAGTAAAATAATATATTCGAGTGTGAAAGATTCAAATCAATTTTCTTTATTAAAATGTATTTACAACATTTACAATTATAAAACACCTAAATTTGCAATTTCTAAACGAAAAACTCTAATTTGATAGTTGACATTTTGTTGACATTATCTGTCATTATCACGTTTATATTTATTCAAATTTTATATAATATATAATATTTTATTATTAAGGCAAAAGTCAATTCGCCAATGAAAGAAAGTTAACAATTTAAACAACTCTGTCTATATTAATTTAGAAGTGCATATAAATTCACCTAAGACATTAAAAATATATAAATATTAAACAATGTTTGCACGAAGATATTTCAGATCAGGAATATTGAATCATGGTCAATTACTCTCTGAGTATTATTCCTATAGAAATGGATACAAAGGTTTTGTTTAGTTAAACGTTTTATGCTTGTATATTCTCAATTACATACTTATAAGGTTATCCTTTGACTCAGTACTCATTATTATTTTCCAGGAATAAAATTATGCCAGGAAATCAAATTGGTAAATTACAGTTCCAGTGTACAAATTAAAAGATGGTTATTTCAAAATTATAGCATAGGAACAATACATTCACAAAGAAATTACTCAAAGAAATTTATAGAAGAACTATTTCATGAACAGAAAAGTGAAAATGAAAAAGGCATGTAACATCCATGGAACTGATGTATAAAAACTGTTTTAATTCCTCTTAAATCATATATAAAATTATAATTTCAATATTTGTATGAAAATTTAACTATGACAAATTTACAGCATTTTCAAAAGGCATATTCAGCAATCCCCGAGCTACACTCAACGAACTCGCATCAAAGGTTCCAGAGAAGATATTTGACATACATTTCAAACAAACCATTGTCGCACCTAAAGGTAGCAAGAAAAAACCCATACAAAATGACTGGATATGTACATACACATTTATTTGGCCTGAAAAGATGAAATTTGAAAGGTATATCATTACATAAATTCATTAATATATGCAGTACTGAAATTATTATTAACATATTGATACCTTGATACCTTATATATATTGATACCTTCCACATAAGTTGTTATATCTCCAAAACTGTAAATTTACAGTAGAGTGTTTCAAAGATTAAAATTAAACCAAAATTTGCAAATTACTACATTAAGTATGAGTCTGACAAATCCTTTAAAAATAGTGTTTTTGGTGTTTTTTTACTTTGAATTCATATAATGATCCATAACAGGATATTTTTTCAGAAAAAAGCAAAATAGCATTTTTGTGGCATACAACAACTTATGTGGGAGTTACAATATATATATAAATTTTGAATCTATGTGTGCACATATCGCACCTCCGCTCAAATAGTGTCATAAGTCAAAAATCCCAACTTTCGAATAAAATGTGTTTGAAGTTAATGCTAACTTTATTTTTCACTTTTCGGCTCATCACTCAAAAACTGTGAAAGTTACTGCAATATGATTTTAAGTAAGTTATAATGATTTTTGACACTCAACAAAATGGTGTAATAGACTTTTGGAATATATTTAAAAAAAATAACAATTTTTGAGTTGTGACACTTTAAGGATGAAAAAAACGAATAATTTACGAAATATTGACATCTATGGATAAATAGTTGAACTATGGGCATGACATTATTTGAGATAAGATTTCGAAGTTTTCTGATTCCAATAGTGCAATAAAATTGAATTCAACTCTTTTTTAGTTGTGACACTATTTGAGCGGAGGTGCAATATGCAGTAATAACAGAAAATTTAATTGCATATTTATTCATATCTTTACTCTATATATAACTATACAAATAGATATATGTTTTGTTAATATTATTTTGATCATTGTGTACACATTTGGTATAAAATATAGTTCCTCCTACAACATAATTAAATATCATTCAAATTAATACCTTATTTAACAGTAAATAGCTTTTAATTTCCAGTGCAGCGATATCAAAACGACAGGCAGCTGAAAAATCTGCCACACAAGCATTACATTGGCTATATAATAATAAACATATAGATATTAACGGTAAACCTATTTACAACGAGAATGTACTCAAAGAATTACAGAGCACATTAAATAATCCGTTAAGGACATCAATTAGTGAGAATTCATTACAACGAATTACAAGGATATGGGAAGATTATGAACGAGATATAAGTAGGTATTTATATTAATTAATAAGTAGTCTAAGAAACTCCTTATTTAAACTTAGTGCTAATTGTAGTTTCATCAAATTCAGTATATTGGTTTCAAAAGCAGACAAAAAATAATGAAAAAATTCCATATATATGTTTATTAAATTTAATACATTTCTTAAATTATTGTCAAGTTGTGAAGATATATTTATATGATTTCTAATATTTAAATATACTAAATTTGTTTTAAAACCATTCAAAGTGTTTCAACCAAAAGATTTATATGATACTTTTTAAATAAGCTTATATTTATCTCTTGGGTGAACTCTTTGAGTTTTCCTTTTATATATATAGCAAAGTATCTTGTATGTTTTGATTATGTATGTATAGAGAATTCTTATACATAACTTAAATAAGTTTTGTATCAGAATGATTTTCTAATCTTAAATAATATTTATTGTAGAGCATATATATGAGAGAACATTTGATGAAGCTAAACAAGCTTTGAATATTACTACGGTTCACAAAGACTCAACTTTAGACGAGACAGGTAATATTTTATAGGTAAATATAACAATATACAGGGTGACTGGTGAATTACTATCGATATTTGAGGACGTGATATTTGACGATCATATATGACAAAATAAAAATTAATATAACATAAATATTAATAAACTTCTAAGTAAAGTTAACCAAAAGTTATGTAATTAATTACGCATCGTGTGAACACCCTACAGATTAGGTATACACTGACACTCACACATACGCGTGTCGTGACGTAGTGTTGTATCAGCACACCGCCGCACGCGTCCACACTTGAACACTTGGAACGTGTCAACACTTTACTTATTTATACGGAAATTTTGTCAAAAATTAAGTGCCTATTTTTTTTACATAATTCGAATGAGAATCATGTATCGAGTATTCTCCTTAAATATCGATAGTAATTCACCAGTCACCCTGTATATATACAGGGTGACTGGTGAATTACTATCAATATTCAAGGAGCATACTCGGTACATGATTCTCATTCGCATTATGTAAAAAAAATAGGTACTTAATTTTTGACCAAATTTCCGTATAAATAAATAAAGTGTGTACACGTTCCAAGTGTGGACGCGTGCGGCGGCGTGCTGATACAACACTACGCCGCCGCCGCGTCTGTGTGAGTGTGTGTGTATACCTAATATGTAGGGTGTTCATAGGATGCGTAATTAATAACATAACTTTTGGTTAACTTTACTTAGAAGTTTATTAATATTTATGTTATATTAATTTTTATTTTGTCATATTATATGATCGTCAAATATCACGTCCTCAAATATCGATAGTAATTCACCAGTCACCCTGTATATATATACAGGGTGACTGGTGAATTACTATCAATATTTAAGGAGCATACTCGGTACATGATTCTCATTCCAATTATGTAAAAAAAATAGGTACTTAATTTTTGACCAAATTTCCGTATAAATAAATAAAGTGTTGACACGTTCCAAGTGTTCCAAGTGTGGACGCGTGCGGCGGCGTGCTGATACAACAACACGCCGCCGCGCGCGAGTGTGTGTGTGTGTGTATACCTAATCTGTAGGGTGTTCATACGATGCGTAATTAATTACATAACTTTTGGTTAACTTTACTTAGAAGTTTATTAATATTTATGTTATATTAATTTTTATTTTGTCATATATGATCGTCAAATATCACGTCCTCAAATATTGATAGTAATTCACCAGTCACCCTGTATATATATGTATATATATATTGTTAATACATTGCAGTCTTATTATTCTTGAAGATTAATTTTATATTTAATATGTGTTTATCATAAATATGTTATATAAATAGCTTTTGTTACAGATTGTTCTGAAGATATGTCTGAACAAGATAATATAGTGGATGAACTAATAGGTAGGTAATTTATATATACACATATACATGTATATAAATACATACATATATATATATATCTATGTGTGTGTGTTTATAAATGACAGAAATATTGATATAAATGATATATTTATTTATCTAGAGTCTAGAGATAAAATATGTGGATAAAAATCTTTATACATACATATATACTTTCTCCTAAATAGTATTAAAATTTAACTTACTTTCATACTAGGAATAAAACTTATATAATTATTAATATTACTGTTTTATTACATAATTTATAATATTTTAGATACAAAACCAAATATACATCCAGTTTTCGGCAAACCGGTGAAGCCCACGGCACAAGCATTAGCAAGACGCGAGCGAACATTGAAACAAACATTCAAGAATTACGACGAACAATTAACAGCATTACCTATAGACGAATATTCGTAAGTATAGAGAATTTATTGAAAATTTAAAAAATATATATAACACTAGCTTTCCGCCTGCAGCTTCGCCCGCGTGGAGTTTGGTTATATCGCGTTTCCAAGAGAACCTTTCAAAAGTCTGGGATAAAAACTATCCTATGTTCTTTCTCAAGGTCAACTCTATGTCTGTAAACAGAAAGGGGTAGAAATTGATTTTTAAGGAATTTTTAATATTTCTTTAAGATTAACTTTATTAACATTACTTACAAGTCACAATTGATTGCCCGCATGCGTTCGAGCGACACACATTCCTTCTCGCTCTATCTCTTTTATTCCTTCACCCTGGAGCGTTAAACGTTTAACGCAACCTTGTTACAAGTTGCATAAGACGTTTTACATCAAAAATCGTTTTATATATGACAAAACAATTAAAGATAAATAAATTATTAGTCATCCATTATGATAATTTCAAAATTAATTACGTATCAGATGTTATTAACTCTTACTAGACCATAATTTTGCTCCTTAAAGCATGTTCGTTTTAATAAACAAATCAAACTACAGTAATTATTACACAGATTGATAAACTACTGCTGTATATTCTTAAGAGTGCTTCAAAAAAAATCTCTCTCTCTTTTCTTGATGATTAAAATATTACATTACCCTATACTTCTTTTGAAATTCTTTTTACATTATTTCTGAAATTTTTGTTAGATAATTTCATAATATTCAATGGAAAACTTGAAAATGTTTTTTATCATTATCCTTTTAAGTTTTAACATATTCAGTGATATGTAATGATAAGCTTATAAAAAAACCCTTTGTTTTCCAACATCAATAAAACTGACATTATTACAATACATACTATTAACAACGAGAGATATTACAGATTTTTTTCCAAAAATCCTAAAACCACTATCAAAAATTTCAAAACGCAAAGAAAATTCCTAATAAATATTTTTTCCTCGTAAAAAAACCCTCAACCTACTAATACTTAATGAACATATATTTTTTATCCTCCGAAAAAACCCGTATAATATACATAATATAAGTCCATAGGATACATGAGAAAGGCTGTTCATAATATTTTTTGAGTAAAATATACTAAAACTAGTTTCATCTCGATACCAATTGCTAATAAGTTAATACATGTGTGCAAAATTTTATAAATGAAAAACCAGTACAGTTACACCAAACTCTGTTTATTAAATTTAAACGAGACATTTACTAACGAACCTTCAACAATATAATTGTATGTAAACATTAACAACGCATTATTAAATGTTACGTTAAATTACCGACTACCAAAGCATACGTTCTTGTGCCTAGAAAAATGTGCCAAAAGCGTGTATTAGCACATAAAAAAAATGAAAACATGAAAAATTAAAGATGAAAAATATGCCATTTATTTTTTGCCAAATATTTCATAAACTATTATTAAGAAATTGTAACAAAAGATTCTGAATAAAACTGGACATTTACAACAACCAATCCTGACTCTAATTTTGACTAAAGATTGAAAAGAAAACTAAATAATCCAAGTATTATTGTCCAAGTAAAAAAAATAAGCAGAGTACAAATATTTTTTTTACTTTTATGGCACAATCTTGTTAAGTATGTAAAAAAGGCTCTACGAAGCGAATTTTTTTTTACAAACATTTAAACATTTTTATTGACTTACAATTGTGACGAAAATTCAAGAATATTTTATTAATTAACAATTTTTTAACTAGTTGAAAAATTTACCTTTAAGTAATATATGGGGTTTAAAAGTGGAACGCTCGATACATTTAACAGAGCATCAAACGCCTTAGCAAAACGTTATTAATTTAACATTATTTTTGTTCAAACTTTTAGTCTTGAAAACCATTTAATAAGACCTCCATTCAATGTAATTCTGGTCTTGTATTCTAGATCAAATTCGTGACCTTCACCTTTGCCCTTGTTCCATAACCCAGTGACCTTAGAACGTTTGTGCGACCGACATTTGACGCTAACCTAATTCTGTTTTGAGGTCAAAGGTTACTCTGGTAACCTTGAAATTCTTAACCGACTTTAAGAATATAGGTCGTGCATTTGATTGTTCTATACTTATAATGCCCTTATAAAATTAGTTTTACCTGTTCAGGTATAATATCTTTAATTGAAGCAACTTTTACGAGTAATTGAAATCTTTAAATATTCTTCGGCTTGAGATTGAAAATGAAAACTATCAAACTATTTGGTATTGAAGAAAATAACAAAATGACATAGTTATTTACAAAATTTAGATTATTCAGCAAAAATTAAATTATAATCCTTCGTTTCTAATATAAAAAAATACTCAACATTTTTTTTTTCACAATTCTTATTCGATTTCGTTTCATTAATTGCACTTGATCTTATTATTTACAAATTACAATCAAACTTATTCTGTCCTAGTTAGGTACTTGTGTGTGCGTGTGCATGTGTGTATGTGTGTGTGCTTGTGTTAAATACCAATACTAAAAATAAAGTTTTTACTAAAATATTAATTTCACTATCAATTGGAAAGTCGAGCGTTTAGAGAGCTGTGTTTTGGTATCAAATTTTATAACACGACCTACTAACACAAAGTCGAAAGCGTTCACCATCTAAGTTTCACTTTAGTTTTCATTCTATAATATTTCTAAGTATATGTAATAAGTTTTTAATAGAATTAATATTATACAAATTCTAAGACTATACATTCCCATTGAAGAATAAATTGGGAGTAAAATTTAAAATTAAACCGTTATTATTATCAATGAAGAACATTTAAAAGGATCTCTTGATATTACCCAATAGTTTAAATGATAAAAAATATATCAATTAATAAATAATTCAAATATATCTTTGTGAATTCCTAAACTTAACCTACCTCAACAATTTTATACGTATACTATGAAAGTGTAAGTATTGAAAGCGAAACTGTTTTCACTTTCAATGTCATTAAACGTCACGCAAACGTCATTATGACGTTACACTTTCAGTTTCGTCGAGAAACATAACTTTCACTACAAATTTTAACTTTCTGCCTATATATCAAGATTAGGTTTTGAGAATTTAAAAAAATAAGAAATTCCATAATCCTCGATAGCATTTATAACGTACTAGCTTTCCGCCCGCAGCTTCGCCCGCGTGGAGTTCTGTTACATCGCGTTTCCAAGAGAACCTTTCAAAAGTCTGGGATAAAAACTACCCTATGTTCTTTCTCAAGGTCAACTCTATATCTGTACTAAATTTCATTAAAATCAGTTTAGTGGTTTAGGCGTGAAAGCGTAACAGACAGACAGACAGATAAAGTTACCTCCGCATTTATAATATTAGTAGGGATTAGCAAATAGTTCTTTTATTATGGTCGTAATATCAATCAAATGCCTCAAAGCTTTGACGTCATTTTACAATATAATTATTGGTTTTGAGTGGGTTTTACAGAAATTATATATTCTTAGTAGTTGACGCTAACTCGGGGATATGGTCGAATATTATTTTACTTTGAAAATGTACGTAATAGACTTATACTTATAGATTGTATTCGTTCTTTAACTCGTATGAATAGTATATTATTCATTCCTTTTTATACTTTTAGTAATCCTTCCCTTGTGTAAAATAATTACTGAAATTATGGTTTATATGTTGTAAAATCTAAAACTAGCTTATTACACTCATAGTTTTATTTTTGACATTTTTGAACTGTATTCTGTATATAAATTAAGATTTGAAAAATCATCAATTTGACTTGATAAGTCAAATCCATTATAAACAATATCTCAAATACAATAAAAAAAGTACTTTTTTAAATAAAAGTACAGCTTAAAGCAATTTAATAATATATGAACCTACCATAAGTGCTACAATATTAGTACCACGTTTTTGTTATGTTTACCACAAGTTTACATCCTCACACTACATACCTATCGTTTCTCGTTTCTAACTCAATAACCTACGTTAATACTATAATGTATGAAGATTTATTATTGAAAAACTGTTAACGCTACGTGTGTAGTGACGATGAAAACTTATGAAAAAATTAAGTAACTTACAAAATCTTTAATGATACAGTATAATACAATTGCTGCAATTTTATTAAGTTTGTTAAAAACAAAACCAGAAACATTTGTACTCCTAGTTTATATAATTTATATTTATAATGTTATAAAAAGACCGTTTTATTATAATATTTTATTCTAACATTACTCACTATATTTCAAACGGTTAGTCCCCCTTTTCAAATCTTTCAATGCATAACGTCGTCAAAGTTATTTCAATATCTTGTTTTATTTTCCTCGTCATATATCCCGGAATTATGACGTAGTATGTATATATATTATTACTGTTACATTATATATCATAGCATAATTTATAATACATAATTAAAAAGGTTCGAACTATATTTTTGAGGGCGGTCCTAAAAAAAGAAAATTGATATGACTTAATTCGTATTTAAATATATTGAAAAATATAGCTTTTCTTTACAAAAATCTTGTTTATACTCTAGCCTAGCTCTTCTTCTACCTGGCAATTTCCCAGCTATAGCCAGGGTCTGCCTTACATGTTGTGAATAGTTTTGGCTATTTGTTTTTACGACCGGCCGCCTGTCTGACATCAATCCTCTTTGGGAATCAGCATTAATCAGTGATGTTTAAATACTCTTAGAAAGTACATATGACTCGGAAAAATCACATTGGTACTTGCTAGGGCCAGGATCGAACCCGCGCCCTCGGCAACGAGAGGCGGGCCCTCTAACCATTAGGCCACCAATGACTAACAACGAATCATCATCATCTCTTATATTATGAGTGTCCATGTTCGACAGTGACTACTGCCCATCAAGTAGGCCGTGTGCTCGTTTTCCACCTTCCACATAGAAAAAATTAATTTAGATTAATGGATAAAATGAAAAACGTTTAGTGTAACCAAATTCTTTATGATACACTCATAGAAGTACAAATATTATATAGAAATAAGATTAAACTTCCCCTCAATAATTAATTCGTAACAATTTCTGTGAATTCTGAATAGAAATACTCATATCGATCGTGACATACAAACTCACTTGTAGATAAGAATTCTCAGAAGATTAAATCGAAGACTCGTCTTTCCAAATATATAAATATAAATATGACAAGGAAAATACGTTTCAATATATTAATAACACATAAATTTTACAATTAATTATTATTCAGATCTATTAATAAGTGATATTAATTAAAATATATGACAAATTATAATAATTTTATTTAATTGTTTAATTAGTAATTAATTTAATTTTTATAACAACAAATGAGGTCAATACCAGAGAAAATAAATAATAAAATTGAACATACATAAGTTTCATTAGCTTTGTTTTTTTTAATACGATTTAAAGTGAAAAGGAGCAAGCATAACAACAATATTATACGACAAGAATTATATTTTCATTACTCTATTCGTTTTGATATAATTTTTTGGCAAGACTTGCTACGTTCGATAAAATAACAACTAAAGATTTTTTTTAACGTGATAGGTGGAAAACGAGCAGACGGCGCACTTCATGGAAGTTGGTTACCATCGCCCATAGACATCCGCAATATCTTTGTTGCGGATTCGTTGCCAACCTTGTTTTTTAGGGATAGGAAGGGGTGGGAATAAGGAAATGGTAGAAAAGGGTAGGAATAGGTAAAGGGCAACCGGCTCTCAGTCCTCAAACGAAACGCAGCCATTAAAGGCTACTTCACGCCGATGTTCTGTGAGAGGGTGGTACTTCCCCGATCGAGCCAGCACATGTTCGAGCTGTAGTAACTGAACCACAGCTGGGCACCACCACCTATAGAACCAATTATATTCTATATATTTAAAGTAAATACTAAATATCAAAAAAATAAATTTGTCTCGAGACGCTCGATAAAAGTACTTAATATAAAAATTGTGTAACATATAAAAGAGTTCAGATTATTACTTAAATTTTATACACATTAAATCAATAATCTATTTATGAATACATACATTGTATATTACTCTAAACACTTTTAACTATACGTGTAATACAAATACCGTATACGTGAGAAAGCTAAAGCAAACTCAGGCGCGTAACGCGTTACGTTACGAAGCAGTTTACCCTCCCCTAAAAGGTTATCACTACAAAAATCTATCTATTAATTTAAAATGACATTGTACTAAAAATCTATTTTATTTACAGCAACGATATAACATCAGCGTTGGATAATAGTCGTGTGTTAGTAATAATCGGCGCTGCTGGTTGTGGAAAATCGACTAGAGCCCCGGTCGCAGTGTTAAGACAGCTCTGCGACAAAATGAACGCAATCGTGTCGCAGCCGCGACGTGTCGCAGCTATCGGGCTTGCGCAACGCGTGGCTGATGAATTAGGAGAAAAGGTTACATACTAGCTACTGACCGTGACTTTGCTTAGAAGAACAGTTTTGTTTCAAAAAGAAATTAATATAATCTTAAGTAATTGATTGTAGCGACATCTATACTCCATATAACGTGACTAAATATAATAATTTATGTTTTCCCAAGAAAACTACGCTTAGATGTAATATAAACTATAATCTATATGTAGCTCTGATGTCTAAGATACATAATGGAAAAGTTTCATCAAAACTTGTCATACAAGCTTTTCGTGAGAAGTATTAACAAACCATTCATCTATATATCTGTTAAACGTTAACAGTATCAGCTAGGGTTGAATCTACACCTATGAATTATACTAAGCAATGCTCTTTAACATTTGAGCTATCGTGTCCATACTTTATATGTAAATTAATTATCCTAATTTTACTTTACAGGTAGGTGAAACTGTTGGTTATCAAGTCCGTCTGCAGTCCGTGCCGCCGAGACCTCCCGGGGGCGCCATCTTGTATTGTACTTCCGGTGTTTTATTAAAGAGATTGCAGATGAATCCAGGTATAATACGAGTATATTATATTTAATACAGATATACTTACACTGTAACACCAGAACGGATGATAATAAGAAAAATAGAATGAAAGATATATATATACTAGATATACTAGAAGACCCGGCGAACTTCGTATCGCCCTATAATCAAGAAATATCTGTTACGTTTTTTTATTTATATTTTTGGAGTTTACCTCTTAAAGCCATAAATCTCCGTGTTTTGAAGTGCGACAGAATGATTGACATATTAGTTAGTTGTCAAATCTAATGTAAAAAAAAACGTTTGTATCAACAACTACTAATAAATTAAAAATTAATTAAAAAAACATTGTCCAGCGGACAAAATTGTTATTCTAAAATATTCCCAGATCCCCTTGAACACACACAAAAAATTTAATCAAAATCTGTCGAGTCGTTTGAGAGAAGTTCAGTGACATACACACTCACAGAAGAATTATATATATAAAGATATAATGTATTTGTTTTCTATTTTCAGGCCTAGAAGGCTGTACCCACGTTTTCATAGACGAAGCTCACGAAAGAGATGTTAATACAGATATAACGCTATTATTACTACGACGGGCTTTGGATATTAATCGTCAATTGAAAGTGATTGTTATGAGCGCTACACTAGACACGGGAGTCTTTACTAGGTTTGTCTCACTCACTCTTATATATTGTATATATAGCTGTCTCTTTCTAACAGAATCAATAATATGTAATGATTATAATTGATATTAAAATGTTTGTTATCATTGTCTCTTTCAATCTTATACATTACAGTAATATCTATCTCACTCTAACATTACCAATGTGAAATAACGCATATGTTGTCTATTAGGTTTCTTTTCCGTTCTATAAATAGTTTTTACTCAATTCAAAATCCTCATATAATAATCTAAACAGACACAAAACAACTGAGCTTCAAATATGTCCTTCCTGCTCATCTTCAAACAATAAAACTACTGCTATCTCGCTCACTCCTATATAAATATATTCATCTCACTCTAATACTGTTACAGATACTTTGACGATTGTCCGGTTATTCAAGTCCCTGGTAGAACATTTCCGGTTGAAGTTTCTCATTTACAGGATATAGAGAAAAGATTCAATATAAGACTACCCTCGAGTTTAGAGAATTGCAAAAGAGTTGGAAAACCACAGATTAATGGTCAAGAAGTATGTTATATAGTATACTAATATTATAAATGCGAAATTCACTCTGTCTGTCTGTCTGTTACGCTTTCACGTCTAAAGCACTGAACTGATTTTAATGGAATTTGGTAGAGATAGAGTTGACATTGAAAAAGAATATAGGATAGTTTTTATACCAGACTTTTGGAAGGTTCTCTTGGAAACGCGATATAACCGAAATCCACGCGGGCGAAGCTGCTTGCGGAAAGCTAGTATAACATGAATAATACAACCAATAAAAATATATGCAAAACAATTAAATAACTATATGTACATACATCAATACGTTAAATTTTGATCATATTTTTATCCAAAATTGATTTGGATATGTATAAGGTTTTCATATTAGATAAATAGTCTATATATACACTACGCCCTTTTTATTATAAATATTTATCTATAATATATAATCATATGCCTTCTTTTATCCTTAATCACTATAATTCTGTAGAGATTATTAATATTATTATTTATTATGTGATTTATACAATATCTGAGCCCTTCAAATTATTTGATTGTGTTAAAATTCTTAATGTTATGTCTTATTTATTAAGATATCAGAAAATATATAAAATAAGGAAAAATAATGATATTATAAAGTTTAATATGTTTGAAATTAAGAATATTTTTGTTATATCGAAATAATATTTCAATATATGTACTATCACTATGATAATAATTCGTTTAAGAATGAATAAATTGTTTTTTTTTCAGATAGTCCAAGTCATTAAATCCATAGACAAAACATGTCCAGAGGGTGCCATTTTAGTTTTCCTTCCCGGCTGGGCCGAAATAAAGCAAACTCAACAGCTGTTAGAGGAACGATACAAGGATTCGCCTGTACATATGATATTACCGGTACATTCAAGGTAATATAAATAGACTTTACACTCGAGATGTACCTAATATATATGCTTTATAAAACATACAAATATATATCTAAATTGCTATATTTTTTGTTATTATTCAAATTAATCATTGGTATTTTTGAAAACAAAACTAATATTTTCGGACCACTACATACAAGTTTTGTGTCAAAACATATCACATCTCCTCTGCCCATAATCATTATTGAAAAGTAATCGAAAACTAGTCAGTGAGGTGCTAAAATTATAAAATAACGTTTAGTAATCCGAAAATATTAGTTTCACTCTCAAAAATACTGAGATAAATATTGTGTTCAGACATAACTTATAAAAATATGATAATACTCTAATGCCCTAATATACCCTAATACCCTAATGTACCATAATGCCCTAATATACCCTAATACCCTTCTTCCTCTACCTGGCAATTTCCCAGCTATAGCCAGGGTCTGCCTTACATGTTGTGAATAATTTTTGCTATTTGTTTTTACGACCGGCCGCCTGCCTGACATCAACCCTGTTTTGGGAATCAACATTAATCAGTGATGTCTAAATAGTCTTAGAAAGTACATATGACTCGGAAAAATCACATTGGTACTTGCCTGGGCCAGGATCGAACCCGCGCCCTCGGCAACGAGAGGCGGGCCCTTTAACCACTAGGCCACCACTGTTGGACCTAATACCCTGTTATACCCTAATGCCTTAATATACCCTAATGCCCTAATAAGCATATATCTCATTCCAGACTATCAACAACAGAACAAACAAAGATATTCTCAAAGTGTCTCGGCATAAGAAAAATAGTACTAGCGACTAATATAGCAGAGACATCTATAACTATACCTGACGTGATACATGTTATAGATAGCGGGATACACAGAGAGAATAGATTACGAGATACTACTAGTAAGAATATCTAGAGATATATCTTAAGATCAACTATCTTTATATATATAACTAGAAGACCCGGCGAACTTCGTATCGCCCTATAATGAAGACATATCTGTTACGTTTTTTATTTATATTTTTGGAGTTTACTTATTAAAGCCATAAATCTCCGCGTTTTGAAGTGCGACAGAATGATTGACATATTAGTTAGTCGTCAAATCTAATGTCAAAAAAAACGTTTGTATCAACAAGAAGAATCTTTATATATATAATTCTTCTGTGTGTATGTCACTGAACTTCTCTCAAACGACTGGACCGATTTTTATGAAAGTTTTTGTGTGTGTTCAAGGGGATCTGGGAACTGTTTAGATTCGCAGTTTTGTCCGCTGGACAATGTTTTTTTAATTAACTTTTAATTTATTAGTAGTTGTTGATTTTGGAATGTTTTACATTGGATCCGACAGACGGCGCTACCATCGCAGTGTCAAATTTTAAATAATATTCGAATTTTAATTTTAGTCTGTCCCCTAAATATATAAAAATGAATTGCTGTTCTTTAGTCTCACTAAAACTCGAGAACGACTGAACGGATTTATCTTATCTTAGTCTTGAAAAGTTCGTGGAAGGTTTAAAAGCTGAAAAAAATTGATTAATTTTCGGGAAAACCCTAAAAACGGCGCTTTTCTATTTCCCATACAAACGTTTTTTTTTACATTAGAATTGACAACTAACTCATATGTCAATCATTCTGTCGCACTTCAAAATACGGAGATTTATGGCTTTAATAGGTAAACTCCAAAAATATAAATAAGAAATTATTTATATATCGATTGAGGCAGTATGAAATCAGCTCAGCTAGTTATCAATAAATATCTCGTATAGTTAAAAAGTTGTTTGTTATAGTTACTTTGAGTTAATGAAATTATTCTCATCTTTATTTGTTTTCTAATAATATTGAGTTGAATGATATTTTTTTATGTTTTCAGATATCAGTAGCTTGGAAACAGTTTGGGCGTCTAAAGCTAGTTGCACACAGAGAGCGGGGCGAGCTGGGCGCGTTAGACCTGGTAAATATATATATGACAGTATATACAATCCCTACTAATATTATAAATGTGAAAGTATCTGTGTCTGTCTGTCTGTTACGCTTTCACGCCTAAACCACTGAACTGATTTTAATGAAATTTGGTACAGAGATAGAGTTGACCTTGAGAAAGTACATAGGATAGTTTTTATCCCAGACTTTTGAAAGGTTCTCTTAGAAATGCGATATAACCGAACTCCACGCGGGCGGAAAGCTATTGTTTGTATATACATATTTAGGATTCAAACAAAATCATTTAATAAAATAGTTTTCTTATAAAACTAGCAATACTTTTAAATTACTAATAAAATCTTAACTTATTATTATCTTAGACCAAAACACATTAAATATGTTAAATTCAATTTTCCAAGACACAAGTCATGTTGACAAAATACTTTCGCGCGTAAAAGCGAACAAACCAAATGTCAATGTCTTAACGTCACTTCGGATTCGTTCGGGAATTTAAAGCTTCAGTTAAAATTAAATGTATATTCCCTATATATAAAAATTAATAAAAATATATTTTAAGGTCACTGTTACAAAATGTATACCAAAGAAAAGGAAGAAGAATTCCAAGATCACACTACTCCGGAGATATTGAGGTATATAATATTATTATTAATTAGTATTAATATATAATTTCGGTTATTATATGTGAATATATAAAATAATGGACAAAATTATAATAATAAATATAGTATGTAGTATATTGTACATATTATATAAAAGATTAAACTTTTTTGTTCATATGTTAACTTTTAAGTCTAACTTTAAAGATCTAACTTTGTAAGAAGATAGATATTGCTTAGGAAAAAGTACATTTTACGTAAAGACAATTCGTGTGAAAAAATAACCGATACTTAAATGATGAAACGTAAAAATTAATATTAACACTTATCCTTTTATTATGTTATATAGATATATAAATGAATGTAGCTTTTACACGCAAAAACCACAAAACTGATTTTGATGAAACGATACAATTATGTTGCTTAGATAAAAGAAAAAGACTTAAGCTATAATTCATCCTGGTTTTCCATATAGCTTTGATTTAATCCATAAACAGTTGTATTGTACAAAGTTATGTGACAAACACTATAGATGTCGCTGTCTTTAAAATAACTATTGTTTTAACATGTTTAACATTTCTATTTGAGTCTAATTACATAGCCCAAACGTATAATAATTCGTCAAATTATATATATATATTTTTGTGTATTTTTCCAGAGTCCCCTTAGAACAAACTGTATTGGATTGTAAAACCTACGCACCAGATGATAGAGTCGAAAACTTCTTATCACAACTCCCGGAGCCGCCGAGCGATAAGGCGGTTCAAGTTGCGGTCAATGACCTCGTGGATTTGGGTAATTGTTATTTCCAAAAATAAAAATTTCAAGATTTTCGAAGTGAAACTTCTAGTGCGTTAAGGTTGCGTTAAACGTTTAACGCTTTTGGGAGGGTTAATAGAAAGAGACGGAATAGTGTTGTAAGCAATGTTTATAAAGTTTTTCTTAAAGAAACTATATGAGTTCATAAAAAATTTATTTATATACCTTCCTATCATCATTGCTATGTTTCACGAAGTTCACTTTATATGGATCTTATTCACTGTAGTAATAAAGATCAATTTCGATTACCAAATATATAATACCTAAACCAAGCTTAGAAGAATTAGTTTATTATTTACTGCATATGTCTTTTTGTTATACTAATTGAAACGGCTAAACCTATTTAAATGAAACTCCTATTAGAAAAATGTTGCTTCAACATAGATGTAGCATATTAGTTGTTATAAAAGGCTTGTTATGGCAGCACATAGAGAATGTATTGCCATAGCAAATAATGTTTTTCTATATATTATAATTTTTATTTGTTTATATAAAATCCTTCACTGTCTATTTCCCGTGACTTTTATATATATGTAAAGAAAAATATATATTTTTTTCAAGATACATAGACAAGCACCAAATATTATTATCTGTGGTTTATTATAAATTGTATAACGTAACTGTTACCAAGAAGAGAAGTTGTAAAATAGATCAAATTTATTATAATTGTAATATTGGAATCGACATTGCAAATTAATAGCTTTAAATATGATTTCTTTTCTTACAGAGAAACCATTAATCTTTTAATTGATTGTTTGATCCAAATCACAATGTTATACATTATATAATATGTATATTTCTTCGCAGGTGCCCTCACCTACACTCAAAAGCTAACTCGCCTAGGCTCTATACTATCGCGGGTAAGCGTACACCCGCGTTTATGTTTGAGCATTTTAAACGCGGCGATTATTGGGAACATACAGGCGGGCGTTCGAACCGCGCTTATTACTGAACAAGAATTCTTTGAAGACTCCGGAGATAGAAGGAACGGTAAAATAAACATTAATATTAATTAATCGACTTAATCATCATCAGCCTATCAGAGCCCACTGCTGTAAGGCCTCTTCTCACATGGAGAAGGTTTGAACATTAATCACCACGCTTGCTCAAGAAGGGTTGGTGATTTCAAACTTATAATTTGAAATTATAAGTACAAATTTGCTCAAAATGTTTTCCTTCATCTGTCAGTGGTGTCTAAATACTCTTAAGTACATATGACTCGGAAAAATCACATTGGTACTTGCCAGGATCGAACCCGCGCCCTCATGCATGAGAGGCGGGCCTATTAACCACTAGGCCACCAAGACCTATTAAAATACTAGAAGTTCTTAATTCATTTATATGCGACATATATCATGATTAGGAATATATGAATAAATAAACATATTGTTACAAAGTCTAGTCTACTAAAAAAAGTATTTTTTATTACTTTGTTTAAGGTTACCTAAGAATAGTATTATACTACTATATAAAATATACTACTAAGAATAGTATATACTACTATTTATTATAAACCTATACAAATTTACCATTACTGTGGGATTACTACGAGTTGCTATAAACTGATTACATAGCGTATCCCGTTTTTCATGAATAAAACTGAATTCATACTATCATGTGCTAAAATATATATATAGTATTTAAATCCTTATATACTTGAGAGATCATTATATTTGATTATATTTAGTTTAATAAATATTTATGTTCACACAAATACTATTTACAGAAAAAATAACAAATTACTTACGATAATAATATTAATATACCGAAATGTTTTTCATATACATATATCCAATTAACCTTATATATATATAATTTCCAGTTATCCGTGAAATTAAAAGAAATTTCAACAAAACATCGGATTATTCGGCTCTCTATCACATAATGGAAGAATATGAAATGTCTCAAAACAAAGAAGAATTCTGTAACAAATACGGTCTAAGAAGGAACAGTCTGAATTATATTAAAGGTAACCGACTGTGGTACATAAAGACAGTTATGTTTTGCATGTATGTCCGTATGACACGTAATATCTCATTAACTGTAATATTGTTTACTTAAATATGTTAGTTAAAGTGTTTAATACAGTAATACTATAGAGTGTGTTTATAATTATCAATATTGTTATATTAAATTAATGGAAATATATTCTGAAGTGAAACTTCTAATGCAACTTCCAATAAGGTTGCGTTAAACGTTTAACGCTCTAAGGAGAGGGAATAAACGAGTGTATATTGGTTTGTCAATAGTGAATTATAAGCAATGTTTCTAAAGTCTGTCTTAAAGAAACAATATGAGTTCAATTAAAATTGATTTCTATCCTTAACTATCATCATTTCTACATTAAAAAGTTTCACTTCATATGGACCTTATTCCTATAAGTAATAAATATCAATTTCGAACACCAAATATAATCTAATATTTTCGTTATTTTCATTTTACTGTTTTTATTTCAGCGTTAACAAATCAGTATTTGCATCAGATATTAAGCACCGGTATTATAGAGGCGAATGTCGATGGTTCGGATATAAATCGGTTTTCGGACATAGACGAACTTACATCCGCCATATTGCTGTCAGGATCAAATAAATTACTTGTAACAAGAAAACATATAAAAACAAAGGGAAAGTTGGCGGCTGTGTTTAGTTTATTTACTAGGTGAGTTATATTTATGTCTAACTAGCTATCCGCCCGCAGCTTCGCCCGCGTGGAGTTCGGTTATATCGCGTTTCCAAGAGAACCTTTCAAAAGTCTGGGATAAAAACTATCCTATGTTTTTTCTCAAAGTCAACTCTATCTCTGTACCAAATTTCATTAAAATCAGTTCAGTGGTTTAGGCGTGAAAGAGTAACAGACAGACAGACAGACAGAGTTACTTTCGCATTTATAACATTAATAGGATTTTTTTGTTATAATAAAAATTTTATTCATTAATGATCATTTAAAGATAATTGGTTCAGGTTATGAACTTAAATGAGTACTGACATAACGAAAATGTGTTATCATTTTGAAGAAGAGCATATACTCTTAAATAGTAGTTTTGAAATGCAAAAAACAGTATCAAATTCGGTCGATCCGTTTAAGAGATATCATGTCACAGACAGACATCGACGTCAAACTCATAGTACCCTACTTTTTCATCGGTTAAAATATAATATAGCTGAAAATATTCCTTTAAAATTGTTTTGAGCAATGCCTTGTCAAATATTAAAATATCAATCAGTATAACTATAGTATTCAATAAAAGTATATTAAATTTGTGATGTATATATTGTGCTAAGTAGCAAACTGTATGACAGCGACTAATATTATAAAGTAAACTACCTACATTATATTTGACATAATATTGTTATTTTTTTCAAAACGAACAAGTCTTCCTAATACATAACACTTACTAAGTATACTATACTAGAAAGAGAATCCCTACTAATATTATAAATGCGAAAGTAACTCTGTCTGTCTGTTACGCTTTCACGCCTAAACCACTGAACTGATTTTAATGAAATTTGGTACAGAGATAGAGTTGACCTTGAGAAAGAACATAGGATAGTTTTTATCCCAGACTTTTGAAAGGTTCTCTTGGAAACGCGATATAACCGAACTCCACGCGGGCGAAGTTGCGGGCGGAAAGCTAGTATATATATATAAGTCATAAATCCTTTATTAATTATACATATACTTTCCAGCAAAGGTGAAAGAGCACACATATCAAGTGATAGTGTTAATCACGGAATCACCAAAAATAATACATCACAATTACTGACATACTTCGGAGGACATCACTCTATAGAGAGAAGAGCATTGGTTGTGTATAAAAGTACTGTTGTAACACCTATTACCGTGGTATTGTTTGCTATGGGAAATGTTAATAAAGTGGTATGTATTATATATAAGAATCCATTAATTATGTTTATATATATATGTGTGTGTGTATGTATGTGTGTGTATATGATGTATCCAGTATTTGACAAATGAGGTGGTAGGTATTCCTTATGTTTATATGTATATTTCTACATTATATAACTATATGAGCTCAACTTTATACAATATATAGCAACTATGTTAAAGCATTTTATGAAACTGTAGTAAAATATTACATTGATATTCAAGAAGGAAATATAAGGCTTGTTTTAATACATTTAAAAACGGATTATGTTAAAAATCAAGAGATTTCCATTTATGTGGAATAAAATAATTTAAATAAAGAAAACTTTCTTCGGCTTTTTATATACGGTTTTATAAGAAAATAGATATTGATATTTAATTATGTCTAGATTATGATCCATTTGTTAGATTTTATTTAATAAGCACATAATTTTTACTTGAACCGTGAACGTCTTATTTTAATAGATATTATATATATACACACGTATATATGAATATATAAGTGTGAATCATGTATCCATAGTACTTGAACTTGTAAGCAAAAATACTTATAAGATTTATATGAAAGACATTCATACTTAATAGAATTTATACTCAGTTTGAAAATGTATCAGATAAAAATAAGATATTCAATAAAAACAAGTCATTATTTTTTAATTTGTTTGATATTTTAACATGATTTTTAGGAGATCGACAATGACGTTACAGAATTAAATATACCAAGACATAAACTGAAAATCGAAGTGCCTACAAGGTATTACTATAAACTTCCTTATTATAATATTAAACGCTATAATAATAATTATTAATTACTGTATTCATATATTTTGACAGGCAAGTGGACGCCATCTTGAAAGCGCGGGAAATGTTGTGGAAAACATTTCAATATTATATAGAGAGAGATCTTAATACAAGCAACTTTGACGATTTAACAGAAATATCAAGATTCAAAATAAGGCTCGTGAAATATATCGGAAGGATATTAGTCGAAGCAAATGATGGTTTGGAGAAAGATTCTTTAAATAAATAAATAATTTATTTTCGTTGTTTTTCATTCTGGCAACACCAACACCTTGGAAGGACACAGATTTGTCATCTTCTATTTATATATATACAAGAGATTTCCACCTATATATTGACTATAAGGCGTAGCGACTTGAAATTTGGTAGGATTATTCCTTACGCCGAGTAGAGGTCAGCTAAGAACGGATTTTACGAAATTCCGCCCACAAAGTGGGTTGCGGGGGTTAACAATGGAAAATACGCTTTCACGCCTAAACCACTGAACTGATTTTAATGAAATTTGGTACAGAGATAGAGTTGACCTTGAGAAAGAACATAGGATAATTTTTATCAAAGACTTTTGAAAGGTTCTTTTGGAAACGCGACATAACCGAACTCCACGCGGGCGAAGCTACGGGAGGAAAGCTAGTATAACATAATAGTCATAATTAATAGGTTAATCTACGACTACTAACACGACTTTCTTTTATATATTCTATATACTGTTGTACTGTTGTTCTTGTTGTTTATGTTACTCCACTTAAGAACGGCTGAACCGATTTGACTGAAAATTGGCAGGGAGGTAGTTTAGAACCAGGAAATTCCAATAGGATACTTTTTATCCCGTTCGACAGCTTTCCAGTGGGACTTGACATGAAACGACAGTCACTATAAAACGTGGAATAACGAAACAATTGACAGCTACGCAATTGACGTATAATGACAGATATGTAATGAATTATGGATGACAATTTGATATTTGTAAGAAATCTTCTATATATATAAAAATGGATTGCTGTTCCTTAGTCTCGCTAAAACTCGAGAACGACTGAACGGATTTATCTTATCTTAGTCTTGAAATGTTCATGGAGGTTCAAGGAAGGTATAAAAGCTGAAAAAAAATTATACATTACTGGGAAAACCATAAAAACAGCCCTTTTCTATTTCCCATACAAACGTTTTTTTGACATTAGATTTGACAACTAACTAATATGTCAATCATTCTGTCGCACTTCAAAACACGGAGATTTATGGCTTACAGGTAAACTCCAAAAATATAAATAAAAAAACGTAATAGATATTTCTTGATTATAGGGCGACACGAAGTTCGCCGGGTCTTCTAGTCTACTATATAAAAATAAGTCCGGTTTTCCATCCTGACGCTATAACTTCAGAACGAAAGAACCAATTTCCACGGTTTTGCATTCGTTGGAAAGGCCTCGGGCTCCGTGACAACAAAAAATTTCAACAGAAAAGGGGGAAAATCTTTTGTCACATACAGCGCCATCATACATAACATGGACTACAAATCAATATTAAGTATTTTTAAGTAGATGGTGCCGTCGCATGATATATTGTTTGACAGCTACTCGTTGTTCTCTACTCAGTTAATTTCATGTGACAAACCGGCATTGTGTTTGTAGTTTGAACTCTTAAAAACGATTTAGTATTTGCGGGATAAATTTAGAAAATCATTGTTTTTCACATGGGCAGTTATATTTTGCGTGTTCATGAGTTTGGAAACCATCCGCTTTATTAGTGTTAAAGTTAGACCAAAAAACAAAAAATGTGGTTTACAAAGGAGCACTTCAATGAAACGGATAATTTGCGGATACGTATAACGCTTCGATTCGGTATCTACTTTGGATTCACTTTCATTTACTTAGAGAAGTTCAACTAAATAACACTTCATATTTGTAATCGAAATGAATTCATTACTGTTGTGAAATGTTATATAAAAGCCTTCCGGTGGCGAAACGGAGTTCGCCGGGTTTACTAGTTAATGATAAAATTATTATCACTAAAACGATTTCCTGTTTGTTCAAGTTTGGGACTTTGTCTAACCGCAATATAATTGTAATTTTCGACTAAAATTAATCTCAAACGATTTTTATTCATTATTTTTTTTATTTGACCAGAAAAAAGCGGTAATTTTTTGTCTAACCAGAAGCAGGATTTTAGCTTTAATAAGAAAGGGTTTTTGTTCATAGTCTTCAATATTACATTTTATTATTATTTTCATAGTTTTCAATCCCTATCTATCTATCTATTTATATTTAAAACTAATATGCTGTATTTTATATAAAAAAAAATACATTTGCCATTTCCATTGATTTTTTCATCCAAATAAAATCGACAACAAACTCCTTTCACTATCTAGAAGAGTTGTAAGTAATTAGTTTGACCAGTAATGATTGTAGATGCTCTTCTAGCTAGCTTCTACTGCATTATTGTTCCGAAATGAACCTCTAAATCTGATTCGCAACTAAACATACAAATCGTTGTCAGGCTAAAATATCGTATATATGCACTTTTTTTTATAATAAAGGCTATCTTTATAAACTTAAAGCAAATGAGAACCAGTATCTACATATATTAATCATTCGTATTAAAATTCTTTTGCCCTTAAAACAATTAAAATTATTAGCATTTTTCGGTAAAGTTAACATGTGATTGTAGTTAATGTACTAATAAGTTGTTCTTACATCGACGTGTTAACGAAAACCAAAAAAATAAGTAAATATTATATATATTTATATAAGGTGCTTATGAAAGAATTAAAGTTGCATTAATACTTCGTTTCATTTATTATTGCTATAAAGTGTTAAGGAAAACCACATCTTATTTAAATTCTGTAGTAATTACACTTAAGTAACACAAGATTTAATATCTAACCCAAACAACAACGATAAGAGATTATATTGTTTTCGAATAACACATGATTCACTGTTTTCCTTCTTTTATTATTAATTTTACTAATTAGCAAATCATACCATGCTTTACTGTATTTCCATAACATTAATAATCTGACTTAACTCTTCTCTTTTTTCAATTAAATGGGCCCATTTTAAGTTACTAAGATTTAGTAAAATCCTATATGTAAAAATTTTATAATTCGTAACGTTAATGAGAGGCTTCTTTTCCTTAGTATTACATGAATCAGAAATTTTTCTACACTGAAAATCGATCTGAGTTAAATTGAATGGGACGGATGATGTTTTTGAAATAAATAATTAAAATAAAAAATATATATAATTAAATCTACCTAGCAGCAAGACATACCTTCTTAGTATATAATGCTCACTATTGTAACGATATATGGCAACTTTGTGACTCACGTCAATTCCATGAATGTCATTTATAGTGACAATTGACATTTCCATATCAAAACAAACCAAGTATTTTTTAACGCTACAGTATTTAACCTTTATTAAACGTAATAGGTTTTTCCATTTACTTGTAAACGTGACATCGTAATACATAGTAAATGGAGTGATGTTTGGAATTTAAAATTTATAGTGCAGTCATACGGTAAATATCACATTAGTGGTCTAAATATTCGGTTTCAAAATGGTTTGTTGCAATTTTATGCCTTTATTATTTGTGCTGTGGACATTTTTTGCATCTTATTGCAACACACAACTTCCGGCTGAGCCAGCGATTAGCCTTCATACAGGTTTAACAGAAAGAATAGGAAACTTCTCGTTAGAGTTATTATATTATGCCACAAAAGAACAAGCTGAGGGAACTAATTTAATTATTTCCCCAATAACTGTGTGGACCTCTTTAGCAGTGGTTAGCGAAGGTGCCCATGGAAATACGAAAAAAGAGTTACGTAGCGCCCTTCGTATATCCTCAAAGAAAGCCAATGAAATTAAAGAAGATTACCAGAAGATTATAAAATATCTCACAGTCAAAACTGATACTATTGTTTTAAATAAATTCAATGCTCTATTTATGAATACCAATAATATGCCATTGCAGAAATTCCAAAACTCGGCAAAAGAATACGACACACGTCTAATAGAGGCTGACTTTTCGAAATCTGTGGAAACAGCAGAACGAATAAATACTGTAATCGCGAATCTCACAGAAAATAGGATATCTAAATTAGTGGAACCTACAGACATAGAAAATAGTAATTTAATATTAACAAGCGCTATTTACTTCAAAGGACAATGGAGAACGCCGTTTGATCCCAAAAACACAAAGCGGGAAAAGTTTTATGACAGCAACGGCGACCAAGTGGGACAAGTTAACATGATGTACATTCGTGATACGTTCCCCTTCGCCAAAATAAACGATCTTCAGGCTACAGTGATCGAAATTCCGTACGGAAAATATAACCGCACATCCATGCTAATAATGCTACCAGAAAAAAAGGTGTCGTTAGATAAAATGTATTCAAACTTCCAAAAACGAACATTAGACCACGTATTTGAAGTGTTAAAGAAGAATCAGGAGGAATTCGGTGATGATGAAATAGATTGTTACATACCGAGGTTCAAAATCGAGACGAGTCTGGATTTAAAATCGTCTTTAAAACATATGGATATCTCCGATGTTTTCAGTGAACGTAAAGCCGACCTGAGTGAAGTTTCAATCATACCTACATATGTATCCAAAGTGATACACAAGGCTGAAATTGAAGTTACCGAAGAAGGTACAACAGCATCGGGTGTTACGAGAACAGACTTCGGCAACAGAATTGGTGCAATACGCTTTGAGGCTAACCGACCATTCTGTTATATGATCATAGAGAAAATAACAAACACTATAGCATTCGGCGGTTTCTACCAAACACCTATTTTATATTAAATTACTTACATGTGATATTAAATATTTTTATACATGACAACAAAATTATTAATGAGATCTGATTTATCCTTATAATAAATGTATTTTTATAATAATAATTTTACATATATTTTTTGTATAAAACATATTATTAAGAGTACAAATGTATATGTTATTGTAAATTCTAATTTCCTTGACAATAGCTATATGAGGCATTATTTGTCACAATGTTCAATACATTTTCCTGTTTGCATTGTTAGCTTACATTTAAGCTTTATTTTATATTGAAAATGTACAATTATAAATGTTGTATTTGCAATAAATAATTAAATCGATAAAAATATTTTTATGATATCTTTATTCTTTTATTTTAATTTAATTTTAATTAAATTGACAATCTTCAATAATGATGATTGTGAATTGTCTTGTAATTATTATTTACTAGTATTTCTAATATAACTTTGATTATAAAAAATCCTTTTTTGTTTTGATAGTTTATAGAACACAAAGGTTTTATTAAGGATTTAATTATTGTAATATTTTGATCATACATACAATGGTTTATTCAAAGTAACATTTAATCATGTTTATTAAATTCTTCATTTGTATGGAATATAGTAAGCACTTCTACAATTATATTTTTTTAACATCAAAGCCATGTTGAACTTAAACTTGAAAAAATTATTGAGATATTTCATTTGCATATTTGAATCCATTCATATTTATGACATTATCATTCTTTATTTTCTAATTTTAATTTTATTTACCATAGTAATAATATGAATAGCAGGCAGGGAACGTTTATTCTCAAATAAATATAAAATGTTTAAATATTTATCAAAAATGAATCATAACATAAAATCAATAGTATCGACTATCGTAGTGAAAGAAAGTATTAGTGTTATTTGACTAATACTAAAACTAAATTTATGAAACACAAGTTTTTTAGAATGGACATCAGTGTCATGTTTAATTCATTCAAACGTAAAAGGTTTATTCCAAAGCGGGTATTTCCAAACTTCATTGATGAATCGTATCTCATTAAAATCATTGTCAACAGGAAAATAAGAATAATAATTAACGATGAGAAGAATTCTTTGAATTTATGACATTTGGAAATAAACATATCACTAAAATTACATTAAACATAGACGCAGATAAATGAAAGTAAGAAATATTTGTAATACTACTAATTTTTTTTTTACACATTTTTGTCATATTTTTTTCGTATGCTATGGTTTCATTCGCACTGGTATCGTGGTTTATTCTGCCAATGTCAACGTTTTTATTTGTAAAACAAATTATAATTTTGAGTACTGTGTGAAGAAAACCCGAAGGAGTTTGTCGAATGGAATTAAAGGGTTTATTTAATTACTAGCTTCTGCAGCGACTCCGTCCGCGTGGAATAGTGACTTCCGGCAGATTTTTGGTTCTTCCCACATAGTTCGAATCGAATGGTCGAGTTCCCGCAGAATTTTCAGGATAAAACTTATGTTTTTTTATTCACAATAAAGTACTCTTAACCAACAACATATTTATTTGTTTATTTGAATAAAGATTAATATTATTATGTTGATACAACTTTAACAAATTATTTCGACCAAATTAGGTACCATAAAAACGGTTTTAGTGAGTTAATCTTAAAAGATAGACATATACTGTCACGGACTGTTTTTTAGATCATTAAAAGAGCTATTATTCTTTGATACATATTTTTTGCGTATCTTGAACCGTTTTCACGGCGCACGCAACGGAAGGCTTCAAAGATGAAATAATTTCTCCCGTTTTTTACACATTTACCACTATATCTTTGCTCCTATTCGTCGTAGCGTGATGTTATATAGCCCACAGCCTTCCTCGATAACTGGACTATCCAACACAAAAAGAATTATTCAATTCGAACCAGTAGTTTCGGAGATTAGCGCTTTCAAACAAACAAACTCTTCAGCTTTATAATATTAGTATAGATTATTATTTCTAAAGCCTGGTTATATTTTAACCAGCACCTAGAAAACCAAAAAAATAATAATCCAAATATCTATCATATTTTTATAAAATTATAAATTATGACGACAACCACTGGCAGGTCGTTGTTTGTTTTTTAATCTATAAAAATAAATAGAAAAAAAAGGAAATAGAAAAGGGCTGTTTTTAGGGTTTTCCCGGAAATGAATCAATTTTTCTCACCTTTTAAACCTTCCCTGAACCTCCACGAACATTTCAAGACTAAGATAAGATAAATCCGTTCAGCCGTTCTCGAGTTTTAGCGAGACTAAGGAACAGCAATCCATTTTTATATATATAGAAGAAGAAGATTAAAATTATACAACATTTATTCCAATAATACGAATCCGATATAGCTATTTTAAGATATAAACGCTCTAAACACAATTTAGAATCGACACACAAAATGTTACCTCAGGTTTCCCCAAATTAATAAGCATAAATACGTTTTAAACGCATATATTTCCGTATTCGGCTTTATCAAAGTAACGCGTGACGTGACAATGCACATTGATGGTTGAGTTTCATTTGGGCTTTACCACGTACAGTTTTCCTCTAAGTTCTTACGACTGCAAAACCAATCGTACTTTAGAAAAAGTATCGTAATTTCGATTGCTTTTCCCAATTTTCCTAAGTATACATACTTAGTAACTTTTTGTAATCTAAGACTCGAGAGTATTCATTGAAATAAAACTATTTAATATTGTCAAAGTAATCTGAACGTCGCGTCGCGTTAAAATAATTAATATGGCTTAGTAAGTCGGAAATATATTTTAGTTGCTTTTAGCTTGAACAACGAAACATAGCCTTATAGAAACGCAAAATTTTTCTGCGATTGAGCGGGCTTCTGCCACTTATAAATAATGTTAGATAATTTAAACATTCCTCGCATGCCAAAGACATGCAAAGTGGAGGAGTTTAAGCAGGAAGGCAGACCCTGGCTAAAGCTGGGAGATTGCCAGGAAGAAGAATTTAATCATTCCTCGGATTCATTTAGATCACAAAACATATGAAAAAGTCCCTAATATAAAATGCATTATATAATATTATCTAAGATATTGTGTTAATTATAAATAAAAAGAAAATAATATCTATTTTAACATTTATTTAATTATATTCCGCTAAAATGGTTACATTTGGCAGTTTTAGTACAAGCTTATTAATAAAAACTTATATTATTTTTTACGTGAGGTAATCCATTCGAATGATTTAAAATTATAAGCGTGAATTTATTTACATTTCAAGCCACATAAGAAAAGGTATTTATTTTACAGGATATATTCTATTATGTATAATATATCCTTAAAATTCTCTACAAATATAATCAAACCAGTTTATCCTGATAAGTGGATTTATACATATTATTATGTATAATTTATTTTACAATACATTACGTCTAATTATCATAATTTACTATACACTAAGTTAACTAGTTATATAATTATACAATATATATACAATTATCGAATTATTAGAAACTTAAACAGATTAGTGTCGACATTAAAATATTAAGCTTTTTTTATTCTCATGGTTAAAAACAATTTTACATTAATTCTTCTAAATGACCTCTCCAATTTGTATTGTTACAATTATTTAACTTAAATCCATTAATACAAGCTTTTTTAAATATTTATTTCTTCTTCTTTAGTTAGTGGCATTTCATTATAGATAATTATTCATTTATCTCGTTTGAATGTCAACTAAACTGTAGCTCAATTATTTTCTGACATCAACTGTCACCTGTCAACTGTCACCTGACAACTGACAACTGACATTTGTACAGTTCAAACGTCATATCATTCAAATCAAAATTATTTTTTTTTCTAGTTCTTATACATATCAGCCAGTACTTTCTCCATGGGTGTTTCTCCGATTGTTTTCGCGAAGAATTCCTTCTCCAATTGTTGTGGCGTTACAAGGCGTAGTAATGGCAGAAGGAGTAATAGTCTCCCGAACCTCGCCGGCGCCGCGCCGTGAGCAGTACGTGTGTGTGTCATTAACATAACTTGGGCTTGATCTTGGAGGTTTTCGATCTGCAGAGGGTCTTTTAGACCTCGGGTCTCTGTTGGAATAAAACCTTTTTAGAATAAAACCTTTTTCTAGATGCGTATATAAAATCACAAATGTATTGTAGTAAACGTTACTGGGAATATTTCTTATGGAAGTATTGAGAAGTTTTGTTCGATTCAATTATACATATATATTTTTTATCAATATTTAATTCGATTTTTTAATTCTCAATTTCTATAGCATCTAATAACCATGATGATAGGAAAAGAGACGAAAGTGTCTTGTCACTGAAATGTAATCAACTACGTGTAAAATGAAGCATAAAAAACCCGTAAGTAAATCCTAAAAACATTGTAGGTATTATTTAAATGCGTAGTTGCAATCCTAACTATAATCATGATGTATAAGATAAGATTAAAATTTAAATATGGAACCCTAAACAAAAATTTAAATTTGGAACTCTTAATCAACTGACCAGGTTTGAAGAGCACGATGGCCTTCATACACGCGAACTCCGCGGGGTCAACTAACACTGAACGGTAGCGAGAGACGACCGCGCGGAGACGACGCCGACACTCGCCAGCACCTGGAGACAAGGATAGATATATGGATCAAGAGTGTGTTAGAGCGAGACGGAAGATATGAAATACTACCACTAGTTTTCAAACTTAGAATATCGAACTTAGACTTGATCAGTGGCGGCTGTACCTTAAGTGCACTCGTGCGCTGAACCACCAATTCAAAAGATTTAAAAATTACAAAATAATACTTCATCTTTATTTTTAAAATATACCATTTTAATATTTATTTTCTAAACATACAAAAACGTATAAAAAATTAAATTTCTAATTATAGTCAAAAAGTTTGTGCGCTTCACTAAACTAATATCTCGTGCGCTTCGGCGAGTGCACGAGGACTGCCAATACATCATGTATGAGATACGCATTAATACGCCTGACGCGTGAAACAAAAGATAGTTCATAGAAATGTACCGAGTAATGAGTCGGTTCTCGAGCGCCGCACGAGCGAACCGAAGATTACCGAGAGCACCCGATGTATGACGAATTGGAATTAAAAGAATCAAAACTTTTCTCCGAAATACCATGCACTTGCTAAATGCACTTTCTATGCTTAGTATTGAAAAAAATAATTATACAAACAATACTCGATTTTAATAAAAAGGTGATTGAACATTTCGCTTCAGAAAAATGTCGCATTGATTTAATATTTAAAAAATAAACATATTTTATGTCAATTGGTTTTTTGTTGCATTTTCTAATTTTAATATTTTATTAAAGTGCACCACCAGTTCGGTAACCCACCAGCCGCCACTGGACTTGATGTAGACTATTTTAATACTTTCATATGAAGAGATTTTTATACGATAAACTGTTAACGCTACGTATTTGGTTTCTTGTGCAAACGTGTGGTAAGACGTAATTATACTATTAAAGTACGTAAATTTTAACTTACCAGTGTCGTGTTCTGTTCCGAAGAGGGCGCTGGCAGCGGCGTCAAGTGGGGCGCACCATTGGACAGCGTTCAACAGAAATAACTCTGACCAACCCTCCTCTAATAGAGTCACCTGGAATAATAGTCATTATGCTTCAGTATATCAAGAATATATAGAAGTAAATAGACTATTTTAATTTCATTCATAATATTCGCTCTTATAAAATCAAAGTAACTGTTTGAGAAACGGTAAACGATTCGTATGTAGTATAATGCGAACTTGTGGTAGGCATATAGGAAAAAATATCTGTATACGATATGTTTTAAGTCATTGCACTAACGTAATTTAATTTTACTATGGAAACATTTAAAAATAGACCTTTATAATCTATAATAATCTTATTTTCCTGACATCATAAATAAAAGACTTGAAATTTTCTAAGTATTTAAAATAAAGTCAATAAAATGTGTAATTTAAGACAAATGTTTGAGATAAGAAAATAATCTGTTTATATAAATTAGAAAGTGGAACAAGACTTGATCCCACCTTTACGCTCCAACGTAAGCAGACAATCAATAGTGACTTGTAAGTAATGTTAATAAAGTTTGTCTTAAAGAAACATTAAAAAATTCCTTAAAAATCCATTTAAACTCCGTCCTACATGAAGATAGAAAATAGTTTTTCAAACAATTTAATAGCTTACCTGATCTCTGAAAGCTAGTCCCGCGAATGAAGGTAGATTCCTCGCCCATTTGACCGCCATGAATAGAAGCCTGGCAGCGGTTTCAGCTGCACTCTCTATACCTAGAGGCCTGGAAGAATTAAAACATATTTATTCTAGAAAATTCTTTATAATAAATCAAATATCGATGATATTGTTAACAAAGAAAATAGTTTTTTTGTTCTAGAAAATTCTTTATAATAAATAAAACATATGTGGTGATACTTTAATGAAAATAGTTTTAGGAAAGATTAAAAAATGTGTAAAAATTATGACATGTATCTTAGCACTTTTTGTTATTTTCTCGAAAAAAATCTATTAATGTAAGTTGATTGAAGCGACCTCAATATTTTTTTGGATATCAATTCCGTTTTTCGATACCAAAAATTTAAATTGGTAGTCCGATCTAAATGTTTAAATAAAATAAACTACAGATATAAATAACAAAAAAACTTCATCTCGATCATACATTCAGTTGCCGAAATAATCTTAATATTGAATAAACGACCTGAGTCGTATTGCGTTTCATTCGTTTCGTTCGCATCATTCAAAAACTATACTATACTATATAAGTCCTATTTCAATATAAAAGAATCATCATACTGTTTATTTTATACTAGCTTTCCGCCCGCAGCTTCGCCCGCGTGTAGTTCGGTTATATCGTGTTTCCAAGAGAACCTTTCAAAATTCTGGGATAAAAACTATCCTATATTCTTTCTCAAGGTCAACTCTATCTCTGTACCAAATTTCATTAAAATCAGTTCAGCGGTTTAGGCGTGAAAGCGTAACAAACAGACAGACAGAGTTACTTTCGCATTTATAATATTAGTAGGGATTTGTTTTATGAATAAGTATTATATATTTACCCATAAGATATACAGTTCTGCGGGTAGCTGTTGGCTGGTGGAGAATACGAGGAAGAATCTTCTTCATTGGTGACGTCAATACTGTCGTCTGTAATATATGAAAATAAACATAAAATATCATATATATATATATATATATATATATATATATATAAATTATGATTGAGAACCAATTATTATTAATAATATTTTTTCCTGTCATATTTAAAATGACGAAAGCTAATATCACTTTTCTTAAACACTAATAAATATAAATTGTAATTTTTTTAATAAATTGGAAATGTAAAGAGAAAATATAATATAAATCTAAATTAGGTAATTATTTGATAAAATTTGAAGTCAAAATAATAACAATCGTAAATTTTTTTGATATAATTCGAAGCTGAAAAAATGACAATGATACGAAAATTCCGTTTACTAATGTAATAAACGATTTAAATTGTTAAAAATATTTGAAACCTTACCACAAATTTGTTCATAGCATACTACTCTTTTTAAAATTTTCATTCATGTTTCTTTAATATAATATCCAAAGATACAAACTTGTACTAAAGTGTGTTTATATTAACTTAAGGATACAACTAGTTCTTACGGAAAAACAATTACCATTGTTATATATATTTGTGAGAGTGTGCGTGCGTGCGTGTGTGTGTAACTTTATAATAAAATAAGCAAAATAAAGTGCATCTTGTAATTAAATACATAAATATTAAGAAATAACTAGGCAATTCAAATTTACGAGTCTTTTTAAAAATATTGGCCCAACAAACAAATATATCATTAACATTTTATTAATTTTTTATTAGGTATATTTTTTATTAAATATAAATTTGAAATACGTAATAATATTTAAATATTTGCTTAATAGTGCCTTACTATATGTTTCTTTGATATTACCTAAGTAAGGTGAACGTGAATACTTACAAACCTATCGTTTAACTCACCGTCACTGTCCGTTTGGTGGTTTTCTGGTTCATGGGTTGAGTCCGGAGGCGGCAGTGGGGCGTAGTGTGGAGAAAGAAGTGGATATCTGGCCGGGGATAGGGCCATGGCTAGAGACACCGGTGGACTGGAAACATTATGATATGATAATGATATGACAATGATGATGATATCATAAAAATAAAATTTATTTAATAAACTAACACTTGTTGTTAATTTTACTTTTAGTATAATGTTGTTGATTAAGGATGTTCTTTAGCACTTCGACGAATATAAAGTATGATTAAAAAATATTTGGCACTTTTAATGAATCCTTCGATGATGTTAGTTTCGTTTTTATTACCAAGAAGCGTAAAAACTAAGTTATACCTAATACCTACCTATAGATTTTATCATCTATTATGTATGTAAATCTAAGTGGAATTTATCTATACAGGGTGTTTGGTCCATAGTTAACAAAATGCCAATTTGCCAAATCAGCTATTTGGATTTGACAAACGATTCACCATACACCCTGTAGATCTATCTACATATATCTATCATCTAAGATCAAAATTATAAATGACATTGTTTATAAATTGACACTTTCATCTCGTCTGCCCGAGATCACGGTTGATGTAAAATTTATCAAAAAGTCAAGAAAATAATCATCAAAATATAGTTAATATTTTTTAAATAATTAGTTCGAATACAGAATTTTAAAACAAGAATTGAATATACAATTCTCATTTCTGTAATTTTCTAAATGAAGTATACATATGAAAATAAAATATCAAATACAATTTTCTTCAATTTAATTATAAGTACAGGCTCTAAACGTGTATCTGAGTAAGCATGAGGTAACTTGTTAAATATTATGTCAGGGTTGACGAACATTAATTTTGAGGCCATAGTGGATTTATCGTTGAAACAATTCTTGTTTTCCTTGTGAGTAATACTATATACTACGTATCCTTCCTTGTTTGACAATTATTATGTTTATTTGTACCAAAATTTACTTAATTCCGCAATTATTTTGCTTAAATATTGTCATTGTTTAATGATAATATGAAGAAATAAATGAACATCGCCGTGGCGACATCTATGTATGGATAAAATATCATATAACGAGTGAAGCCGCTGACTCCACGGAACGAACACCAAGCGTGTGAACCAGAAGATTCCTGATACCATACAAGCTATGGAATAGTATTGCTATCCTAACACCGGGGCAATCATGTAGTGTTAGGTGTAGGTTATAAGTTTTAATATGTAATTCTTATTTTAATATACATATAGCTATGTTTTGTAGTTTTCCTGAAACCTCCGGTTGCCACCCTATATAATTCAGAAAAAAATCAAATTTATAAGAAACAAAACAGTCACCACTCGTAGAAAAAATCGAAAGCAAAATTAAATAATTGTCATACGAAAAATATTGCAAATAATGTATCTTGAATTTAAATTTGTATAATTATGTTATTAATAATATTAGGTATTTTCGCAAAATTTTCCTGCCATATACAAAAAGGTATTTTTGTCAAAATTACACACACGTGTTAAGAATTTCTAACTTAATAATATTGTAAATAATTTTATATTATTAAGTTTTGCTAAACAATAAGACCAGAGTTTTATTATATACCTTACAATCATTATAATATACATATATATGGAATAACAGATTATTAAGAATTTAAAGGAATGTGGGAATATAGTCAGTAGTACCTTTATAAAAACATATATTTTAACATTTTAAAAATCATTATATAAAAAAGAGCCTTTCAAATTTTAATATAGAAGAAACGCTACAATGCAACATTGCTAATATTTTTTAAAAGGCGTTCTAATTTAATTGCGTCACATAAAAAAACTAACTTCACATATTAGTATCTATAAAGTTATGGTAATATGAATCATAACAATTCATAAAAGGTTTCTGGTGTTTATTCAAACAAGCCTTGCCCCATAAAACTGATATAGCGGAGCGGCGGAGCTCTACAAATATTACATTAGCATAAACGAATTCACATACAAATGATTTACTACAAGACTATGCACTCCCCGCGATTGGTAGGAATCGACTTGCCAAATATTTATGATCTCCTGGTACATTGAATTCAGAATAGGAATGTAAATATGTAAACAAGGTGACTTAGATTATCAAAATATTATTTATGTTTCCTAAAAAGGCTTTTTGTTCGATTATTTTTGAAGAGTTTTACCATAAATAATATTATGAATATTACTTATAGCCATAATCAAATTTATTTAACTTTATTCATCGACTTCGTCTGTCTTCATGTTTAATATTATTTCAAAGAAAAATAAGTTATATTTAAATAAATACTTGTGTCATGTGACTTAAAGCAAAATACAACTTTTATTGCACCTCCCGTCGGGATTTGTACGGATTTTTTTGATAAATTATAATTTGTAACTTATACATATACGACCTAGGATATAATATTCATTAAATACAATAAAGTTTTTATTACGTGTGACAAAAAGATACACATATAATCACATACTGGTACGCGTAGCTGCCCGTGATCACGGTTGCTGAAAAGTAACCGAAACGTCAGGAGTATGTAGTTTTTATAATAACAAAATAGGCTGATTATAATCCCAAAAATATTAATTTCATTTATATATAATATATATTAAAAACATTATTTAATTAATCTTTTAAAACAAAAGTTCCTCTATGTATATGTAGTTTCAAGTTATACACCTCAAAGAAAATTCACGGCTAGAAGCTTACCATAAGTTTTTTTATACGGAGCATTGCTAGTTTTGTATTCACATACATTTATATATTTAATGTGAGAAGATTAAATAAAATAATAAATAAATATGGAGATAATTTAATATTTAGTTGTATTTAATTTTATGTTGCTTCCTTAGCAATAATTTTAACGATGTTCTTATAGCCTTAGTTTCAAAAATATATTTTAGGCAAAAATTATATCTTTCTTGAAGCGTTAAATGAAATAGTTCGATAATAAATAGATAAGAAAAATGTAACTATGTATTTTTCAAATATAATCTTTAATACAATTATTTATAAGGTTTATTAGATCTTTCTTAACATAAAATAAGTAGGGATATGCATAAAATACGAATATTTAGAGGCGCTTAACGCTTTTCCAATTTCCGCTGAAAGCTTATTTTTAATCATTAATGGCGTTGCTTGTTGTTTAAAATATCTCGGTTAGCTAAATGTTTCTACTAAAAAACAAAAGCACTAATTGTAAGGTGTAAATGTGCGAAGTATAATTTAATATAATGTACATACCTATTAGTTTTCACTTGGCTAGAAACTACCGTTTTCATATATATTTAAAACTATACAGAATGAAGCTATATACCTAATACCTACATATGTATATAGCTTAATAATATCTCCTAGTCTATCTACTTACAAAATTTCTTCGCGGTGAAAATATATATAAACTATGTAGTTTTTTTCTGAATATATAATATATGTAGGTATAGCTGACCGGGCGAACTCTATTCCGCCCTAGAGGTGGTCAATAATCATATTGGAATTTATTACGTTTTTTCTCATTATCGAACAGAATTAAATATCCTATGTCCGTTTCCTATTACTAAGCTATCTCTCAAAGTTTTAACTAATTTTTAACCATATCCCTACAGCCGTTCTTGAGTTATAAATAGTGTAACTAACACGACTTGCTTATATATCATACATTGGTTTATCATACATCTCATCAGTACACAAATTCCGACAAAATCCCACAAATATACTGTTAATCATACTAATATTATAATTGCTTAAGTTTGTGTATGTGTGTATGTTTGTTACTTCTTCACGCTCAAACGGCAGAACGGATTTTGATTAAATTTTGTATACAGGAAGCTGATATCCAGGAATAACACATAGGCTAGTTTACATCCCGGAAATCCCGGAACACCGCGGGGCGCAGCTAGTTTAAGTAACATCAAATCTATCGATCGTCTTACTTCTTCTCTTCTACCTGGCAATTTCCCAGCTATAGCCAGGGTCTGCCTTACATGTTGTGAATAGTTTTGGCTATTTGTTTTTACAACCGGCCGCCTGTCTGACATCAACCCTCTTTTGGAATGCATTAATCAGTGAAGTCTAAATACTCTTAGAAAGTACATATGACTCGGAAAAATTACATTAGTACTTGCCAGGATCGAACCCGCGCCATCGGCAACGAGAGGCCCTATAACCACTGGGCCACCACTGACTTTTTTATCGATCGTCTTATATCCGTTCAAAGTATTGCATCATAACGATCAACTCTATAAATGTGAGGTATATAAATCAGATGATCACTCAATCAGCTGTGTTGAACCTTTGATCAGTCTTGAGGGTTGATGGACGCCCTGACGTCACTCACTAACCTTATAAATAACACGTCCAGATTATTATAACAAGATATTTTAAATATATTAACATTATTTTCTTTTATCAGTGTCAATTATTACGTCAGGGTTCGATCCTGGCCCTGGCAAGTACCAATGTGATTTTTCCGAATCATATGTACTTTCTAAGAGCATTTAGACAACACTGATTAATGCAGTCCCAAAAGAGGGTTGATGTCAGCCAGGCGGCCGGTCGTAAAAACAATTAGACAAAAACTATTCACAACATGTAAGGCAGACCCTGGTTATAGCCGGGAAATTGCCAGGTAGAAGAAGAATAATGTATATAATAACACGGCTTTAAGTAATGACTTTTTTTGGACAAGAAACTATGTTGGAATTCTCATACAAAATACCAAAGAGGAATACTATTTTGATCATGAAAACGTACAACAGACATAGACGGATGTGGAACTTAATTCACAATTTATCTAGCAATAAAAATAAAAATAGTGTTATTCCCTAAAACCTCATAATATATGGTAAAACTATTGGTGATCTTCAAGGCATATGTGAATCTTTTAACATTTAGTTTTCTTCTATAGGTCCAATCTTGGCAAATAATATACCACAGAAATATCACAAAATAACAGCAAACATAAAACATACACAAAGACACCCTTGCAAATTTAATGAGTTTAAGCATAACCACGAAAATTGAAATTCAAACAATTATTAAAACTAACTACGCCCCGCGGTGTTACCCGCGGATTTCTGGGATTTAAAGTAGCCTATGTTATACCTGAACGTCAGCTTTATATATACAAAATTTTATCAAAATCGATTCAGCCGTATGCGCGTGAAGAAGTAACAAACACACAACACTCACGAACTTTCGCAATTATAATATTAATAGTAGGATTTAAATGCTAATTCTAGCTCAGGTATAGACAATATCACAATAAAATAATCAGGCGTTATATTGAGTTTTTTTTAATAGAAATTAAACATTTCAATATATAAGTTATATCAAGCTTTATATTTCGTCAGCTATACAAAGCGATTTTCTATTTTCTGTTATTTCATAATCGTATTATTCGTGAAGCGTTATTTTTCTTTCCACAAACACGGACAAAGACGATACAAAGTGAAGTATTTCCACGAGAGAAATCATAGACTAGTGGTGCTTTGAAATAAACTGTTAAATTCACTTTGAAACTTACTATTATAAATGTAGGTATATTTTTATATGAATATATTTGGAGTTAGTTCGTCGTGGTCATTGATTTAAGACAAATATAACACGAAATAGATTGCTTAGAACAAGTTTTGCATCGTTACACTACACATGTTTCTAATTTCTTATTAAATAACTTAAGTTAACACTATAATATACGAAGATTTATTCATTAAAAATTAGTTCTAAGTATCGAGTAATGACGAAAACTTCGATAACCCATAGTAGTAACCACAAGTTAGAATTGAATATAGCTACGTATCTTTTGTAGTATTTCATTAATTTTCACACATAATATTAGTTAATTTAAAAATAATAGTACGTAAAGTTCCTCCGTGAATAAGAAGTGAAACTTCGTAATATTGGAATGAAAACAGGAAGGGGTAGGAAATTGATTTTTAAGGAATTATTAGTATTTCTTTAAGACAAACTTTATTAACATTATTTACAAGTCACTATTTTGAACGTTTAACGCAACCTCGTTAGAAGTTGCATACGAAGTGTCACTTCAAAATTCATTAACTCTCCCTATTTAGTGTGATGCGAACTTTAATTAAGATTTTTATTATTCACGCTGTATACTATTTTACAATCTACAAACTTTGTTTTAACCATTTTTCTATAGCTTTCGTTGTTTCAGAGACATACGAAAACGCAAAAAATGAAATTTGTGATCTTTGACCTCTAATAAAAACACTAATCTATCTAATCTAATAACTACAATTACATAATAAATCTCGCCCAAAAATTCGGCTTATTCGTAATTAATGATAATGGAAAGTCTATTTTAAGTTTTAACTGGACTATATAATTACCCAAAAACTCCAACAGCGACTGCCGCCTCCCTCAAAGCTCGCTCTTGGTCCATATCTCTTAAAGTCTCAGGCCTTATAGTAGCGGTGTTACGCGGCTGACGCTCGTTTTGAACAGCTGGAAATAATACGAATTTAATACAGACCTTGCAGCACAAATACCTGTTGCTGATTGGTCATTATTGTGGTTATACATCAGATACCTATCTGTGATTGGTGGATATTGGCCTTGTACCTAAGGAAGCAATTAGGTATATAGACTTTGCAGCACAAATAAATATCCCTGATTGGTCAATATTGTGGTTGTAACTACTTAAGTAAGAAATTGTATGGCGTGTCTTCCTAAAGAAAATTGTGTTTGTATTTAAGTAGGCTAAGTTATTAAAATGGATATGTATATAGAATTTTGGTTATAAAAAATTACGTCATTGTGGACCAATATTGCTAGAAAGTAATTTGCCATTAATAGATGTGTAGGGTATAGCCAATATTAAGCAGAATAGAATTTTTAACGCTTTTTGGATAAAAAGGACTAAATTTAAAAGTACATTTACAAACTAGGAACATATTATATTAACAAAATTTAATAAAAAAAAGAGATACATTAGTGATGACAACTATCATCTGTAGGTAAATAAAAATTTTATCGAATCATCAATTCAAACAGAACACGACACTAAAAGTACAAACCGTTAACCAAAAGTAAACAAAGTATGATTTTTATAAACAATAAATGAAAACGCAAATACATAATAATACTTAATTTTATATAAGCTGTATATAAAACATTTATATAAAAACAACTTATTAAAACATATATAAAATAAGAAACGTTTATATTATTCTGAATTTGACAGATACAGAGTACAGATAGCAGACATGTATTTGACATTCAACGTTCAAAAATATATTAGGGATAGCACGAGAAGATATCTTTAGTTATTTAATTATTTCATTTACATAAAAAAAAATTATAACTAATTATTATTATATTTTCTGTATGTTAACTCTAAAATTGAAAATGATTCAAGTGATTTTTAGATAATTGTTTTTACTATGTATAACTTCGAATCAGATTCTTAGAGATCAAAATGGCTGACTTTATAATTGACATTTAATTTTTTAAAGATTTTAATTAAAATAATGGAAATACAAACTTCTATAATCATTGATGATAAATTTATTTATTATAATAAATAAATTTTTAATATAAAATATGCATTATGGGATAAAAATAATAAAATGGACGTTGTTATGATCAACTGTTATTTTAAAGCAATAAGACGTATTTGTAGAATCCAATGACAACGTATTTATTGAATCAAAATCATTCCCAATTTTCTGGTTTCAATTAATATTAAAGGAGTGATAGAAAAAATATTCCATATATATTAAAAAGAATGTATAACAAATAGATAAATTATTGATTAATATTTAATATTAGTAAATCTTATTTAAAAGACATGCCATCAAGCTAAGCAAGTGTAGCAAGATGGCCGCCGCGTGGGTGGAGCTGAATGGATTCAACAAAGCCATCTATGAGTCTTTATATTTACAGGTAATTTGATCAATTATTGTTAAAAATGGACGGAAATATAAAATAATATAAATTTGTAATACATAATTGACTAATTTACATTATTAATCATTTATGTGCTGATATTGAATTTTAAAGAAGTTTTTATATATTTTTATTGATTTTATTTATAAGTTATTTTCATATATTATATTGGGCATAAATAGTAATACTGAATACATTTGTAATGTTTAAAAATTAGATATAAATAAACCATAAACATTATCAATCAAGTAAACAATGATTAATTTTATAAATTTAATAATAAAATATTTTAAAATATATTATACGGAACCAAAAATAAAATCACCCTTTGAAAGGCAGATCGTCATAATTGAAAAATAAAATCAACTTGATCAGGTGCGAGCCTCATCTGTTATGCATCCCTAAATCCATTACTTAAAGCGAGCCTGACACACGTCGTGCCGTCCCACTCTAACGCATACGAAATTAGTATCCTCCATCTCTTTTGTTACACGAACTTTAGTTGGTATTGATTCCACAGTACCGATCCCAAACAAGACTCAACCTTGGGTGGTTTAACTTAAAGTTGATATTAGACTTGATCCTGACGGGATTTATAATTTTGACAGTTGAAAACACGACCCTAAGCCTTTTGAATTTGAACTCATACTTGTACAGCTTAAAAGTTAGAAATCCGTCGCTTAGTTGATTGCCTCGAGATCTGTTATACGATTTGATACTTTACTACTACATGTATAGAGTACATATTTGGATGTGGTGTATCATGTTATGAGTGAGGTAGGCGATTAATACGGGGTCGGATTTCGGGGGTTTAATGCTCGGATTAAAATCGCATTAATCAGTGTCTATAGCTTTAACTGGAATATAAACAGTTAAGTGTTAGGGTACTCTGGATTAAAGGTACCGTTTCACCATAGAAAATCTAGATACATAGTCTAGACGGTATGAACAATAGTTATATATATTTCTAATCTTTGTTTACAAATTTCAAAATTGGAACATTACAAAATCAATTTATAATCCTAGTTCGATTTTCAAATTTACAAAAAGCAGTACTCATTATTACGAATGTATTATCAAATTAAAATTACATTAGTATAATAATACATTTTTTTAAAGAAAATTATTATTCTTTTACTGTTATATATTATCATACATTCCAACATCAAACACGTCTTCCATACATTAGTATATCCCTAATTGCTAACACAACTGAGTATTAAAACATTGCTAACGAATTCCGCTAGGCGTTTCACAATCTTTGTTAGAAGCCCGTTATAATGAGATTGTAGCGTCGACATCTCAAAGTGTAAACGAATTAAGCTTTCCTTTTCACGTGAAAGACGCCAAGAGCGGAATAATGCAAAGTGTAAAGCAATAAAGGCGGGTTCTTTAGGGGGGTGCCCCAGGGTGACATTTTGGGACCACAGTTACAAAGTAAATCTTTTTTGTCACTTGTCTATACAATTGTATCTATTGTTCAATTTTTTTTTAGTATGTTAATATAAATGTACTTTGATTGTTAGTTATTTTGTTATCAAGACCCTATTCGTATAAGTATCTTCTTTTAGTTATGTTGTTAAATATATTGACTTAGAAATTAATCGTATTAATTATTCAATGTTTTTCTAAAGTTATTCAATTTTTAATGAGATTTAAGTCTTTCATTATATGTCTTAAGTAACGTACAAAGATTCCTATATTCATACCAAAAAATCACGATATTCTTTTAGATAATGATTATTATTTATTAATTATAGGAATATGTCATTAAATATATTAAAATTGTTAGCATAACCACATGCTAATGGCTTGGTTTGATGTCGTGGGGCGCTCATTTGAAAGTGCCTGAAGCGGTAGTAATAATTACACACTTGTGGCGAGACTTATTAAGCAGTAAGCACCGCTTACAATGACATAATGGCTTACAAATGATTGTCAGTTTAAAAAATCATTATAATTGTTCTAATAAAGTCACGTGGTTTTATGTATATATAATAATAGTGGGTTTTTCTTTATAGGACAGTTTTGGTTTATTTTTTTATATTAGTATTTATTTATTATTATGAAATAAGAACGATTGATATTTGATTTATATTAAATTAAATTAAATGCGTTTGGAAAATAATTATCTTGAATTATTTTTTCTTTAATATACCTATATGTATAAAATAATTTCTATCAATTTTATATATTATATTTAATACAATATTAATTTTATACAATTTTCTATATATTTTTGATCATAATTTTTAAGTTTAAATTCGTTGACCAGTTCTATGTCTATACTAAGCAAGGGTTGTTATGTTAGTTCCTACAAGTAATTGGTGTCTCAAAAAACTATTTGCTATAGGGTAAAGCCACGTGTCGCCACGCGTATAACTTAGTATACAAATGAGAGATTACTTTTATGAAAAATGTTTGTTGCTTGTTCACGCATACATTTGTTAGTTTAGAGTTTTATACTTTGGATGGTAATTCTCGTGTAATAATTTAAATGGACAGAGTTGAACGGGTTTTTGTAGGGGAAAATTTAGATAGTTCGTGGTTTTAATATGGATATTGATGTCATATTATTTGACGAAAGCCAGGAAGAAGTAGATTTTTGTTTGACGAAACTATTGGAATAAGATTTAATGAGTATTTTGTAAAATCTTATGGAAGTGTATAGTGTCTTTATACAAGTAGTTTCTGGTTAAAACTACGACCTGGTGAGTCATATTGAAAACAAAATTATATTGAAAATAACTATTATTATTATTATTATTATTATTTGTATTAAATTTAATATGTATTTAATATTTATTTAAATGCTTCTTCATTATAGATTTTTTTAAATAAAAATATGTGAAATTGTTTTATTTCTAATTTTAAGTATACCCAATATCGTAATAAGTCATGTAACCTTTTTGCTACATAAATTAATTCGATATATTTCATATGCTATACTCAAATCCATTATCTATAAAGAATACGGAAATCAAATCAAACCAAATCAAATCAAATCAAATCAAACCATCCAATTGATTTATACAATGAATCTGCTTTTGACGTTTCTGTTCCCTACACGTTTGAGGGCAAGTTTAGTTGTTTTGATAGATTATGACGTGGGAAATTAATGTTTGTTTTGTATGTTATAATGCATGAATTAATATAATTATTTATGCTTTACGAACTGAATATAAAAAATATTGGTGGTTTTAGTACGTTTTGGCTTAGGATAGGAACTATTTGAATAAAAATATTTAATAATTTGAATTAGCCTATTAGGGCCCTCTACTGAGTAAAGGCTTCGTCTCACATGGAGAAGGTTTGAGCATTAATCACCACGCTTGCTCAACGGGTTGGTAATTTCAAACTTATAACTGTGAAATTATAAGTCCAGGTTTCCTCACGATATTTTCTTTTAGTACCTGTCAGTGGTGTCTAAATACTTTTATTTGATATGATAAATGAATTTAATTTTTCTTAAAAGATCACGATGACAAATACCTAAATGGCTAAATTAAAATATGAAAATTGGAGTTAATAGTATAAAATAGAGTGAAGATAATATTTTATAGATTTCTTAGGCTCTTTGTAGAATCATTACAAAGTCTTGGTTAGGAAACATATTAACGTTTTTTTTGTCAATTTAGTACTAAATCGAATACCCAAATAGATAATAATATACCCATAATTATATTGTTGTATAATATTACCTTTATTATGAAGCGGTCGATGCCGCATTTGTATAACTGAAATATAATATATATGAACGATTGCTAAGAATTTTTTGACAGGCGTTTCTTAAAAATGAAATAATAATTACTAAAATACATTGTTTTAATATATTAATTATGGCTAAGAAAATTTTAGTAAGCGTTTAAAAAAAATGTAAGTTTTTTATAAAAATGAAATAATAATACTTACTCATATATACATTACAATATTTTAAAATATGAATCATTGCTAAGAAATTTTTGGCAGGCGTTTTTTAAAAAAAGCAAATAATTCTTATATATATAGGTATATTATAATGTTTTCTTACCATCTTTATTCATTCCCATAGCGAGACATTTCTTTAGACGGCACGCTTGACATTGGTTTCTGTGAGCTTTGTCTACCACACAGCGACCCGTTCCGGCTTGACATCTACATTTAAAATAAATACATTATTAAATAAAACAATAAATAATTATACCGTATAAAACAATCATAAGTTAACTAAGATAGATAATATAGTATTATGTTCAAATACGTGTTCGCGTGAAGAAAATAATATTAATATCAGAATTAGTTTGTTACGTACGATATAGGGGAGAGTCGGATATATCGTACCACTTTTCACTTTAACTCAAATATTTCGACTATAACACGTCTTATAATAATTAATACATATGTAAAATAAAGTTTCATATTTTAGCTTCCTAAGAAGAAGAGAACAGATCCTTGTGATTATTCTAACATTGTTAAAAATGCTTTTTTATAGAGGCTTTCCATCGGTACGATTTAGCCGACTAGTCGTTTTAATCGTACCACTAAGTCTTTAAATCGTACCATGGGTGTTTAAGTCGTACCACTGAATGAAAGACATTAAAATTCTCAATCAAATTATTTATTTTTAACTGTTACGTAGGTAATAAAACAACATTATTTATATCTTTTAGGTAATAGAAACATAATTTTTAACTCTTAGGTTATATAAAGGAACTATAAGCTTTCTCAGTAAAATAACATGATTATACTATGATAATGAGATCAACCAACATAACTAATAAAAATGAGACTAAAAAAAACAGTAAACTATAATAATAAAGTAATAGTTAACAATAATGTTATTTGTAATATAATTATTGTGCATATTTCTTAATGGGAACAATCATGACAAATATCTGGATTCGAAGTACATGTCTCATGTAGCCACCGTTTACAGCGAACGCATTGAATCCAATCAACTTTTGGACCCTTCTTATCGTAGTAAGAACAATTGCACTTTCGACATATATTTTCAAGATAATCATCGCTGTCATCATCATCATCTAGTTCTACAACAAGTGTCTCTCCTGAATCATCGCTACTGGTGATGGAATGAGATCGTTTCTTCTTATAACTTTTGTTCTTGGCCTTGGGTAGTACTTACTATACGTACTTGCGGTAGTACTATAGGTACTTGGGGTTGGTAGTCGGGTAAATCGTACCAGTACAATTTAACCAACTGCAAGTGGTACGATTAAACCAACTAAGGCATTTCTAAAACAAAAGCAAATATCCGGCATAAACTCAAAACTTAGACACGCAACAAAAACCCCCAATAATCTAGTATACAATTGTGGAATAATAAGAAAAAACTGTATAACTATAGCTTACCTTGATTACGAGTTATCTCCTTACGAATGTGCTACAATATTTATATTAATACCTACAAAAAATGTTTTTCTTTTATTACGTGAACAGTTGTTAACTCACGTCGATCTAAACTAGTGGGTGAAGAAGGATGGTGGAGGGCCACGATTTGGCGTTGTCAATGTAGAAAAAAATATTCATTAAATGGGAAATTTAGAAGTGGTACGATTTAAATACTAGTACGATATAACCAACTCTCCCCTACATATGAAGAAATAAATGAACATCGCCGGGGCGACATTTTAGTATCGGTAAAATATCATATAACGAGTGACGCCGCTGACTCCGCGGAATGAACACCAAGCGTGTGAACCAGAAGATTCCTGATACCACACAAGCTATGGAATGGTATTGCTATCCTAACATCGGGGCAATCATGTAGTCTTAGGTATAGGTTATAAGTTTTAATATGTAATTCTTATTTTAATATACATATAAGTATGTTTCGTAATTTTCCTGGAACCTCTGATTGTCACCCGACGTAATTAGTTTTAAAATAATATACTAAAGCCATGTTTTCATCAAAGGTTTTTATAAATATCATGAAATACAATAAATAAGAAAACGTTTAAAATAAAATTCTTTATAATAAATAATAATCTATATGAAATAAAAAATATTTATATATTTTATTCATAAAGATAAAAAAAATAATAACTCATAACGCAACAAAAGCTTTCATAACGCCACTTCCAATATGTATATAGCTATATGTATGTGGCTATATGAAAACGGCTATATGTATATATGTAGGGTGTGGCTAAGCTTTTGATGTTAGCTAAAGCAATCGATAATTGCTTTAAGCTATACAGTTCACTTGTTCCATCAATGATCGTATGGTACATATATATAACTCTATAAATTTATTAATGTATAGGAATATTTTAACTAGTAAAAGTACTTATTAATTTATATATATGTGCGTGTGTCTGTGTGTATGTTTTTGTGTGTGTGGGTCACTGAACTTATAAACGACTGGACCGATTTGTATGATATTTTTTGTGGTGCCCAAGATGTTTTGATATCACAAATCATCTCGCCAGATGGCGTTGTAGTCTGTACCTAGGCTATTTAAAAGAAAAGCCTGCCACGTAGGTTACTATATATATTGTTTTAAAACACTTCATATATTAAGCGCATCTCTGATGCTTATAAGGACGGATCCGGGTGAAAAATCTAGTATTTTTATAGTGGTAAGAGAATATTAAAAATAAATTTGAAATTACGTAATGTAGTTGTTTAATTTTTAATTATTATTATTCGTATTATAGTTTAACAGATCTTACAGAGTCGACATTTTGTGGTTTCAATTTAAATTTACTAAGTATTATTTATTGGATATTTTTAACCTCTCAAATATAGAAACTAAATATTATACATATTAAATAATTTATTTGTATTCACGTACTTAATTAATTCTAACGTAAATTATGTATAAGAATACTTATTGGAACATTGATATAACCTCGAAAATTTTATCCGATATACAGAAAAGCACCTAATATTATATACCTAATTTTTTAAGTAGAAGAATATTTTTATATACAATATGAATTGAATGAAAAAATAAATTTGATTTATTATAATTACCTGAATAAATAGGAATTAATCAAATAAATAAAAACAGAAATAATAGGATGTTACGATACAAATATGTAATGTGATTTCAATTGCATAATAAATAATAAAAGAAGAATTGTGACGAACAAAAACATTAAATGTATAAAATCACTACATACAATAAAATGCTATATATTACATATAAATAGAGCATCTTGTGTAATACGAATTAAGTATTAAGAAAAAGCAATCAAATCTTCTAAATCCTTTGAAGGAAAAACTACTGAATACAACCTGAGGACCTTATACAGATTAAAGATATTTCATTACTCCTAATCCTTAACATAATAGGCTTAGCTTGGGTGACATTTGTTGCAATCGATGTTCGAAAGGATCTTATGTATGGACAATAAAGTATGGGGCACGAAGTAGGTACTTGGAGTACACCCGTTTAATAATTGGAGCGGAAAATATTGTATATTAAACATATAGATATATGAAAATTGTGTTTTATTGATGCTAAAGAACTAACATGTAGGTAATGGCATGATAAATCTATTTAATTTTCTTTAAACTATGTAAAAACCACGTATTTTTTAATAGTATTGCCAATTTTTTTCAATCAAATTTTTATTAAATAAAAAACCTTTAACTTTAACTTGGTTTTATAAAGCATGAAATATTGTATATTGTTTAAAATTTTCTAATATAAAAACCATTTAACTCAATAATGTATACAATGGACGATACTTGATCAATTTGCCGAGCGACTGATCAAAATGAAGCAGCGTTAAAAATATAATACAATGGATCTTCCTCAAATTCTATCAAACACATGTCATACTTGACCAATATATTAGGCTGGTGCTACATTAATGGGGTTGCGAACGCTAAACTGTTTTTAATATTATCTAGTCTACCCTCATGGGATACTTATAAGGCCTGTACACACTATACATTTTACGTACTAAATTCTTCTATAGCAATAATATTTTTTTAAATTTTTGCATAATTTATTTGAATATAATAATACTTATATTTAGTTATTTAATTTAATTTCAATTCAGATTTTTGTATATCAATTAACTATACGTATTTTATTATTTCAATTACATACTCCCGTCATTTCAATACATTGTATCACGCGTAGTAATACGAAAAATATTAATTCATTTAAATGAATCTAAGTATTAGATCTCATTATTTTTATGTCAACATTTTGTTCATTTAAAATGCTTTGTATCAAAATAATATTTCAATGAAGTATAAGAGCACTTCTGTTAAACGAATATCATGTGTTGAATTAATTATTTAGGGGAAGAATTGATTTTAGTTATTTGTAATTTATTTTAAAAGATCAATCTGTCTTTGATATGGCTGGTATATTTGTTTTGATACTAAATGATTTTAGTATGAACTTTGAATTTTCAAATTCCAGTAAATATTCATAATTAAATAATTCATATAAATATTCATAAAATAACTACGTTATTTCATAATAAAATATCCTTACTTTCAAAATGGTGAACTTGTAATATTGTACAAGAACAAATTACGATCATTAAAATCATAAATATTAAGTCAAAAATGTTGCTATTAAATTCTGACAGGCGTTTCCATTGCTCATATTATTCATACATTTTTTAGATACTCAGAACCTTTATTCCAGTTTTCTTTCAAGCTTTATAAGTATAAATATTCATAAAATAACAACGTTATTTAAGCGTAAAATATCCTTTACTTTTAAAATGTTGAAACTTTAAAATTGTACAATATAAAAATACATATAAATATTAAGTAAAAATGTTGCTATTAAATTCTCACAGGCGTTTTCATTCATATTATCCATAAATTTTTTGTTACTCAGTAACCAGTGCGGTGTTTTAATTTTACAAAGAGTGAGTATTCAAGCGTTTTCCCACTTATCACTAGCAAGCCCCAGATGTGAGGAATTAGGAATATTCAGAGAGGATTAAGTCGGTTCAGGTTCAATTCGAGTATCGGCTCCCCCATTGACATTTTAGCATTTCTTACATATGGGGCCTCTGTACATTTTTGGTGGCATATTTTTGGTCGGGATTAAGGGCTTTGCTTTGATATTATGCTTGATGTTAAATTAATTTTAGGGCGTCTGTGTTTTGATTTATATTATATTGTTTTCGTATCATTTGAAAGTAAAATTACCGTTTGTTTTGTTTACTTTTAATCGATTTTTTTTTGCGAATATGAATCAATTGAAAAATGTTTTTGTGTGTATGACTTATTTATTTTCCGGTATATATTTAGTCATGATACTCTGAAACATGATTCAGGCCAGTACAAACAATTAGTTACCAAATATTACTTCTCATATATTGACACAAGTGTTAACAACGGGTCATACACCGACCCGGTTACTACACTTTCACGTTTGGCAATTTTAACCCAATTCCACATTAATTATAGTCATGTCGCAATGTAAAACTTAAAGAAATTATTCATAGCAAAAGTATAAGTAATCTTTTTTATAAAAAAAATATTTATATAGGAACTTTTTGGTGGTATTAAAAACAACTGGCCAGTTATAGTGATGGAATGACAAGAAAAAAAAAGAAAAAATTAAAAAAAAAAACCTCTTTGAATGGGATTGTAATAGTATTGATGAAAACTGTTCAAATAATATTTAGCTTTATAGGTTATCTTATTATTCAGAATCATTAATGGACAACTGTATCAATAGACATACATTTTCGAAGTTTCTTAATATATTTAACCTTTAACCTAATGACCTACAATTTCTATTTAGCAGACATATTTAAAACACTTTTATTTGTTCCTATTTCGATCGAACTTTTGATTCCATATATTAGAAAACATATTTATATATGTATTATAAATTTAATACATTTCTAGGACTAACACGTTTAGAAAATAGATATATACAACATTTAAGGGAGAATGTAGACGTAAAGAGTATTTTATAGTTTAAAACTTGAATTTTGTGCAAAATTAATGAAAAAAATTTGTTAAGAATTTTCTAGGAAAGCAAATCTTCAATATAACGACAGAAAGTACTGATCATGTTTATATTTAAATATATTACTTATATAAATAAAACGAATATTTTCAGATTACTGCGTATTTTATTATTTTATTCTACATACTCCCAACGTTTTGGTTACTTTTCAGCAATGATCACGGGCAGATGAGATGAAAATGTTTTAACACATAATGCGTAGTAATCTAAATATTAGTTTCATTTAAATGAACTCGCGAAAGTCTAAGATTATTCCCAAAAAGACGGTTGATGTAAGGCAGGTGGCCGGTCGTAAAAACAAGTAGCCAAAACTATTCACAACATGTAACATACCCTGGCTATAGCTGGGAAATTGCCCGGTAGAAGAAGGCGAAAGTCTAAGATTTCATACGTATTAGGTATATTGTTGTTATTCATACCTATAAATAAGTTTCCGTCTGACTGATCGTTTGAAGAATCCACTGCAGCCATTGCATGCTAGAATCCCATAGTGTTTGCCAGAACTGGTATCACCACAAACCACGCATACGAGACCTGGGAAAGAAAAACATCATTCATACACGTCTTTATACTTATATATAATTCTTCTGTGAGTGTGTATGTCACCGAACTTCTCTCAAACGATAGTACCGATTTTGATGAAAATTTTTGTGTGTGTTCAAGGGGATGGTTTAGATTCGCAATTTTGTCCGCTGGACAATGTTATTTTAATTAATTTTTAATTTATTAGTAGTTGTTGATACAAACTTTTTTTTTGACATTAGATTTGACCACTAACTAATATGTCAATCATTCTGTCGCACTTCAAAACATGCAGATTTAAGGCTTTTAATAGGTAAACTGCAAAAATATAAATAAAAAAACGTAACAGATATTTCTTGATTATAGGGCGATAAGAAGTGTATACTAGATATACATATATAGGTATGTATACTAGAATACATACTAGATATAGGTACATACTAGCTGACCCGGCAAACCTTGTTTTGCCATATAAAAATAGGGTTTGGTGATAAAAAAGTAAACATTTTGAGTTGTATGTATTTTTAATGCTACATTATAAAAAAAAAAATGTCGTCCAAAAAAAAATTAAGGCTGAACAACTTTATCACTTAGGGATATGAAAAATAGATAGTAGCCGATTTTCAGACCTAGGTATAGAATAAGCTTATAAAATTTGGTAAAAATCGGTAAAGCCGTTTTTACGGTATCGTTTATCGGTAAAGCAGTACGGTAACTAATATTGTGACATGGAAATTATATTAAATATATATATATATAAGAAAGTCGTGTCAGTTACACTATTTATAACTCAAGAACGGCGGTATCGGTTTTTAATGAAAATTGGCGAAGAGATAGATTAGAACAAGAAAAGGACATAGGATACTTTCATCCGACTGAAAAGAAATATTTCAGTTTCACCTCTTACAAATTGCTGAAGTTAGAATTTGTTTTTGTATGAAATTTTATTTTCTTTAATCTGCTGATTGCAAGTTTTTTTTAAGATTAATAGGGGAGAGTTGGTTATATCGTACTAGCATTTAAATCGTACCACTTCTAAATTTCCCATTTAATGAATATTTTTTTCTACACTGACAACAACAAATCGTGGCCCTGTACCATCCCTCTTCACCCACTAGTTTAAATCGACGTGAGTTAACAACTGTGCAAGTAATAAAAGAAAAACATTTTTTGTAGGAATTAATATAAATATTGTCGTACATTCGTAAGGAGATAACTCGTAATCAAGGTAAGTTATAGTTATTCAGTTTTTTTTTATTATTCCACAATTGTATGCTAGATTATTGGGGGTTTTTGTTGCGTGTCTAAGTTTTGAGTTTATGCCGGATATTTGCTTATGTTTTAGAAATGCCTTAGTTGGTTTAATCGTACCACTTGCAGTTGGTTAAATTGTACTGGTACGATTTACCCGACTACCAACCGCAAGTACCTATAGTACTACCGCAAGTACATATAGTAAGTACTACCTAAGGCCAAAAACAAAAGTTATAAGAGGAAACGATCTCATTCCATCACCAGTAACGATGATTCAGGAGAGACACTTGTTGTAGAACTAGATGATGATGATGACAGCGATGATTATCTTGAAAATATATGTCGAAAGTGCAATTGTTCTTACTACGATAAGAAGGGTCCAAAAGTTGATTGGATTCAATGCGTTCGCTGTAAACGGTGGCTACATGAGACATGTACTTCGAATCCAGACATTTGTCATGGTTGTTTCCATTAAGAAATATGCACAATAATTATATTACAAATAACATTCTTGTTAACTATTACTTTATTATAGTATACTGTTTTTTTTTTTCTCATTTTTATTAGTTATGTTGATTGATCTCATTATCAGAGTATAATCATGTTATTTTACTGAAAAAGCTTATACCTAGTTCCTTTATATAACCTAAGAGTTAAAAATTAAGTTTCTATTACCTAAAAGATATTAATAATGTTGTTTTATTACTTACCTAACAGTTAAAAATAAATAATTTGATTGAGAATTTTAATGTCTTTCATTCAGTGGTACGACTTACACACCCATGGTACGATTTAAAGACTTAGTGGTACGATTAAAACGACTAGTCGGCTAAATCGTACCAATGGCAAGCCTCTATAAAAAAGCATTTTTAACAATGTTAGAATAATCGCAAGGATCTGTTCTCTTCTTCTTAGGAAACTAAAATATGAAACTTTATTTTACATATGTATTAATTATTATAAGACGTGTTATAGTCGAAATATTTGAGTTAAAGTGAAAAGTGGTACGATATATCCGACTCTCCCCTACTTATCAAGTTTGGGACCAATATATGTAAAACTGTTAAGGTACTTTCAAAATTTTTAACTCTACATACGTAATATACAAAAAATATTGCTTAAAACGGATTGTTGCTGGTAAAATAAAGGACATTTAGTAAGAATTTTGTACCAAAATAGATTTAGTTTCCATTTATTTACTAAAAATCTTTCTTTCCTACTCCGTGTTCTATTCACGTTAACTTCAAAGTTAAAGTTAATAGTCGTTTCGGACCTGTCTTACCCAAATGGTTGGTTTTCTTTGTCGGCGGATCTGGGAGCCAGGGTCTTAATGCTGGTGGGGCCAGCGCTGCTGCAACCAATGCTGATGTAGGTGGAGACCAGCGGAGAGAACTGCTGTCATCTGAAAGAAAATAGTGACGTCACTCGCAAGGAAAACAAATTATGATTATGACGTCATCACGACCAATAGAAGCTTAGCAGTTAGTTTCTTAAGATATTTGAATGGACGCAGTAAGAAAGATGCTATGCGAGGAAAGAACTGGTGTCATCTGAAAGAAAATAGTGACGTCACATGCAAGGAAAACGAATTATGACGTCATAAGTCCAATTCTTCTAGAAAGTAAAAGTAAGTAAGTATTCGCTTAAGACGTACATTTAAAATATAATACTAACACATTACACCGAACACAAACGTTATATAGATTATCAGATTGGTGAATATTTAAGTCTTGGTCCTGTCAAATCAAGTGTTCGGGCCCCACGATACAGGTCTCCTAGTGTGGGGTCCAAAGATATTCGAAAGTTTAAAATTTGCTAAAACCATAATGCATAAAAAAAAGATTCTATAAGAATCTTGGCTTGTTATAATAGATTTCGCCCCAGTTACAGCATTAACCAAACAGATTTAATATCAATAATTCTAATAGAATAACCATTGCAAATCACACCCTTTTATTTAATAGCGTTGGTACTAACAAAGTGGGGTGTTATTTATTATTATTTTACTCGATTTTGAACTCTATGGCTTATGAAATAAAGTTTTTGATGATGCATATAGATTTTGGATATGTGTTGAATCAATTAAGTAATTGGTGAATATGGTATCGCATGGTAAGGGGACTCTCAAATGAGAATAATATAAGTGGGGAATGTAAGGGTTAAGGATTATCTTTTAATTTTATTGCATTGAATACGTTAATGGCATACGTATTTGAACTGGTTGGATTTTTCCAGAATAATGCTGGAAAATTATTGGAATCCAGAAAAATGCTGGAAAGATATTGGAACACCAGCTGATAACAGCTGGAAATGACGCATTCCAAAAGAAGTCTTTTCGTCTATTCTGCTTTGATATGGAAAGTTATTATAAGTGCAAGGAAATAAAGTTGTGAACGAAATATTGGAATATTCGCTATGTATAGAAGAAAGACGAAAAAGATATAACATAGATATATACTTATTATATATTTTAGCTTTATATACTTCTTTAGTAAGATAATTAAAGTCATGTTAAAATATTTATCAATATCTTTGATTATAAAATGGATTAAGTTAAAATGTTTGGTTTTTATTGTATGATGTCCAATTAGACGAACAATCCTGTTTTTTTATTTTTTTAAAAAGCTAGTAATCTTAGACTCAGCAGATCTTTCTTCTTAAAGATTTGTAGAATGTCTCCATAGGAAATGAGTTTTACAGAATCAATGAAAGCTAAAGATAGAAGCAATGTTGAACGATTAAGACATTTGTAATTTTTAATGCATAAAACCACATATTTTGTACATCGCTAGAATAACTAATGAAATAGTGTACAGATTTTCATGTATATTAAAGATTTATAAAAAGAAAACTATCGCGAGTATTCATTTAAATAGAACTATTATTTTCGGATTACGACGTGGTTCTATTTTAAACTACATACTACCGACCTTTTGAGAATGACTGTAAAGTAAAGTAATTCGAAATTTTTAGTTTTATTTAAAATAAAAGCAACTATATGTATATAAATAACTATAAAGCTTACTACATGATATATGATTAATTCTAAACTGTATGTTTAATTTCACAGACAAGTGGTAAGGACCAATAATATTTGTTCTAAAAAAAAATCGATATTAATTCCATATAATAATATTAATGGAGAAAACTATGTATTGTTTTATAAGGACACAAAGAATTTGATTTGGATATTTTGACTGAAAAATAGATTAAATGCTTTTTAAATGTAGCTTTATATGAGACGAAAACCTCTCATTATTCAATGTATTCACCGTGCGTGTGCCGGGTCCATCGTTGCAGGGAGTCAATATATTAATATATATAGATTTCTTTATTTTTTATCAACTTTACATGCATTTGGACAACCAAAAATAAAGTATTTTGTATATTTTTTTGTATTGTATTTGAGAGCAACGCATAATTTGGAATAATCAAATTTAAGACGAGATTTATCCCAAAAAACTAATATAGGTTAATTAATTTTAATGAAATTATGATTTGGTGTATATTTTCCTTTAATATTATACTAATTAAGAAAATCTAGTTAATTATACTAGCTTTCTATTCGGAATTTACTTAAACAAATTCCATATAACTATAATCCCTATGTCTGTCTGTCTGTACGCTTTCACGCCTAAACCACTGAATTGATTTTCATGAAATTTGGTACAGAGATAGAGTTGACCTTGAGAAAGAACATAAGATAGTTTTTATTCCAGACTTTAGAAAGGTTCTCTTGGAAACGCGATATAAACGAACTCCACGCGGGTGAAAAGCTAGTTTAATATATTTGTATCTATAAGTATATACATGAAATCTGATAATATATAACTTTTATTCGTATTTAACCAAGCAAAATAACAATTTATATGAATTTTAATGTAAGTTTTAACTGTCCAAAATAAAACTGACCCCATTCTTCTTCTTCCTGGCAATTTCCGCGCTTTAGCCAGGGTCTGCCTAAAACTAACCCCATTGTAATGCAATTATTGAGTAACCATCGCTAATATGGAAAAAGCGTTGTAACAAGAATGCTCTTGACAATATAATGGGGCAAGTGAGGGTAACTTCAATATTAAATTATCTTGATTGTAACAGAGTTCGTAAAAATCAGAGCTGCCGAATTGATAATAAAATAATTATTTACATTTTTTTGATATAAAATTTGTATGTTCAAAACAATTAAATATCTTTACCTGTATTCATGTTCTATTTTGATTGTATTATAAAGTAACTGTAAATATGTGTGGATGTTTGTTGCTGCTTTATTCAAAAACTGCTAAACAGATTTGGATGAAACTTTTACAGAAATGTAGCTTACACATCAGATTAAGACAAAGGCTATAAATACTATTTATTTATAGCAGAATCATGACACAATAGTTTTTTTTGCGTATGAAGTCATTAATATTACATTCCTTTCTAAGCCTAATCCAAAATTGAACGTGGAAGAGGACAGAGTGAAAAGCTATTTAATTATATATTAGCATTAAATTATAATATCACAAAAAATGTGTAATACGTTAGACTCTGAATTATGTTTTTAGGGTAATTAACAAGATAAAATAAACAAATTTCACGCAAAGTAAACTCCATAAAAATATATGTAGATGAGAATTGAAGGCGTTATATTATTTAGACCTTTAAATCTGAACGCCACTTCTAAATTATTGTTAACTCTATACGAATAAATAATAGCATCAACTGTAGATAAATTAGGAATAATACAATTTAACAACAATGATTCATTGATTAAAAGAATGAAATAAAAGCTTTCTTTGTAAATAAAAGAAGTAACTTTCATAGTAGTCTTTCATACTTTCATACTATCAAGAAAATCCTGAAAAAACGTGAAAAATTATAATTGATTTATTGAATATTTAACTAAAAATATTCTTTTAATATTGTAATGTTTATAATTGTAATTGAAGTAACAATATATCAACAACTTCAATCTATTGTAATGACGTTACCAAAGAAATAAATTTACTTAATCTCAATATCTAATATATAATATATACTTTAGTAAGTGCGAAGTTATGTATGAGAAACTGTATACGCGACGTTTATAATAAAAACTTGTAGTATTTCTGAAGATTGTAGCCTTAGAACGAGTTATCACCATTTTAAACGATTAATTAAAATCTTTGTAATACCTACTTATCATTTGTTTGTTTTTTATTAGTAGATATTTGCTTAGATTTTTAAAATTTTAATGTAATTACTCTATATTCAGGGAGTCCAAAGAAATAAACATGTTTTAGTATTATATTAGATTAAAACTCTTCTCACTTAAATTGGAACTAATAGAAATATAATACATTAATAATATACAAAAATAATATTAAACCTATGTCCGAATATCACGAGCCGTCGGCTGAATTAAAAAAAAAAAGATTACAAAACCGCCAACATTCATTAACGTTCTGAAATTTCACAACCAAATAAAAGTTATGTATTTGAAAACGTTCTGAAACCTAAATATAATAAAAAAAAATACAAATCCCAATTCCCCCTAAAACAAAGCCACTGTGGATTGAATCCTATCTCTATGTATATGTAAATCAGGGCAGGTGTAGTTTTACACTGTCAATTGTATTGATTGGATGCGGTTGGACTATTGGACGTATTGGACAACGTTGGACAAACATTGGACAAATGATTGGACGATTCATGAATAGAGCAAATAATATTTTAACCAAGGTTTAGGTTTAAAGAAGTTTATTTCCAAAAAGAACAGATTTCGCTTACAAAGGAAATTTTAAAATTATAACTACAATTAAGATTAAAATAATAAACAGTATGTAGTGATATTAAACAAGATCAGTTAAATCTTCTAATATATGGGTTCTTAATCGTTTTTTAAATATATTTAGAGATTTTGAATTGACAACACTTAGACGTAAAGAGTTATACAGCTGTGCTCCTTCAAATGAAATAGTTTACCAAACATACTACATATATTTCAATTACTAATAATTTATCTGTTAACAAAATATATTTCCAAATAAAATGTTGATACAAAACAACGATAATAAATATGATATATATATAAAAGTAGGAGGGACATAAAAGAAAATTGTATGAGCCACATAAAAAGAACAGTTTCGGAAATTGGAAGTCGCGGAGCGGAGAGCGAAGTAAATCCCGGTATCAAGATAAATCAATGTTGTAGGATGGCACTTACGAATGAAATGGAGGCGACGCTCCGTGGAGACTCTATATATACTGTTTGTTTTTTTTTTTTTTTTGCTTTATTTTGTCCAAGGAGTTTTTATTTTTAATGCTGGCTGAATATTGTCATGTCAGTTCTAAAGCTGTCAAAGTCAAAATACGTTTTTGTTCTATATATTTTTTCTTTTTATCTAATAATGTAAAAGATATATTTAATTCTTTTTTACATTAACTAAAATAAAACTTTATATAGCCTCGCTCTATACAAAGATAACAAAGAACAAATTTAAAAAGTTTATAATTATATAATATTAAACTCTATGTCAACTCTTCACCACTCCTAAGAGCATTCGATGTGAAACTTTGTCGCTTCCGGTTTTATTTGGTTTTCTTTTGACGCGAGCTCTTGAGCCGCCCTGATTAATTTCCACTCCCTCTTCAGACGCGGCGTCTTGGATAGCTTTTATTCATTATTTATATATTTATTTAACAACCCCTACAAGAATTTATTTATGATGGTCAATTTATTATTAAAGAATTTTATATCAATTAATTTTTACTTATCTTTAATATTAATTTAAACTTGTTAGAGTTTTAAAACAAAATCAAAATTTAATCACATGCATATTTTTTAAAAAATATCCCTATAAAAATCCCTAACGATTATTATCGGCTGTATATTTTGAATCTACATACATTATTAAAATCGAATTATTAAAAAAAAAGCCACCAAATACGATTCCATCATTAGTATTCATCCGTCGCTCCACGAGCGAGGGTCTATTTGGCTGATTTTCTCTCCATGATTCGCCACTTTACCCGGTCAGGGCGTGTTTTGAATAATAATATATAAACCAGATTTATATAATATTAGTGTTAATGTTTTATGTAATACGTATTATATTAATAAATGAGTTTTAATGAGGCTTTCTTTTACGACGAAAAATTATAAAAATTCAAATTTGAAACTTTATTTTTATATTAATAATGTCTAGATAAAATATAGGTATTTTTTATAAAAGCTCTAAGATATATTTACCTAGATTATTGGTTAGTCTCAATTTAAATTGCAAGGTAAAGTAAGGATCTTTCAAGTTCCAAGCAAATTATATTTAAGTAAATGAAAAAAAAAACAAATAAAAGTAGGTATATGACACAAAAGATTTCGTTGTATTCTTTTTGTTTATAAATTGTTAAATTAAATTCTGCGTTATTAAGTGATTCGATTAAGAATTCTCAATATATTTTATTCATATAAGGATTTTTTCTTTTTAAATGAATTCAACTGTGACCCAAGCCGCCTTTTTTTCATTAAAATATGTATAATTCAACTAACAAAAATATTCATAGATAAGGTAGATACTACAGATATATTATTTAACAGCAAAAATTACAGTTGTATTAGAAGACTAATAAGAATTAACAAATTTTCTTGAATAACTAGGGTAAAAAAATACACTTGAAATATTTGACTTATTATTTGAATGCTTAGAAATCGTCATTTGCTTTTGCATAGATTTCTTTTTTAAATTAATTATCTTCCGTATTAATATATTCAGCTCAGGTTCTAAAATTAATATATTTCATATAAATAAAACTATTATTTGATTGTTATCTCAAAATATGTCGAAGTAACACCTAAAAAATCTTATTATGAGATCTAATATTCATTAAAATGAAACTAATATTTTTCGGATACGCTTGCTTTATTATTGTAAAAAAACTATATACTCCCGAAGTAACCGAAACGTCGGGAGTATGTAGTGACAAAAATAAAGAACGCTTAGTATATACGAAAAATATTAGTTACATTTACAGGTAAATTGTATGAGTGTTATAAAAAAAAGGAATTTCGTTGAAATATTATTTCAATATTTAATAATCGTCATTAAGATTACTTTTCAAAATTATCATCATCCGTATAATTCAGATTTCAGAACAAGCTCTTAAATAAATATTTCTCGCATTACTGAAACTATTAATTGATTTTTTACATTAAAATATTACAAAGTGACACCAAAAAAAAAACTTACCTATTAGTGAAGTGAAGTGAAGTAGAATTAAAGTGATATTACACGTAATATTAAAGATATAATGTAAAATATGACAATAATTTCTACATATAATCCGAATACTGCAAATCATTGTCCCGATACAGGGGAAGAAAATAAAAAAAAACACTATCATAAAAAAATCCTTGATTCTAACCAATACCGTCGGTTTATGTAAAAAGCAATTTTTATTTATTAGTCTCTTTAAACAAAAAAGACACTATCTCATTAAAATAAAAGAAAACTTCCTCATTAAAAGAAAAAAATATATAAAAGTATATTCATTAAGGTATTTATAAGGACGAAAGATTAAAAAATATTAATAAGTATTTCTTATGTCATGTAGATTTTCTCAAATTACTTTTTATAAATTGTTCTATGATTTAATTTCGAAAGCCATATAAAGCCGGGCTTACACAATCGATTAATGAAAATATGTAATTATTGTTTTAAACAATACATACAAAGATTTTAAATTCAAAAATAAGGTCTTGTTAAAAGAAAATCAGTTCTAGAAAATTTGCTTAATAATAAATTTTTGTTTCACGTTATAATTTCCTTAGTAATATTTCTATTGATTTTTGATATCACTATTAAAAGAACCTATATAAATATTTTAATTTTTTAAAATGGTAATAAAATGCACATAATTCGTTAGCTGATCACAAAATTATAAATTAAATTAGTAATAAAATTAAAAGATAATATCTTTAACAATATATTAATATTTGTTTCCTAAAATATAATTTTATAATTATACGGGTTTCCAGATTTTTAAGAACTTAATATCTAAAAAAAATATAAGGACGGTTGAAAACAGGACTGGTTGCAGCTGTTAAGTCAACAATTTAGAAAAAATTAATTAATTTGTATTTGGTGCTAACGAAATTTAATCATATTTTTTTTTGTTTTAGTAACCATTTAAAAAAATATTCAATTAATACAGATACACTATATACAAAAAATATTAATAGAAATAAATCCCAATTAAAACCAATAATAATATAAATAAAATATAATCTATATTAAATAATACCTGCGATTCGTCCTTCCTGATGTTCTTGAGTCAATTGCAACGGAGCCTGAGCTACTTCCATTTTTAAAAATGTCCCTCACAAAAAACTAACTACGAAAAAAAAACAATACTAAAACATTATTCACCAAGGAGGTTAATACACTTTGAATTATCAACCAAGAAGGTTCTATTATTTTATTTTATAATATGGCAGAAAAGTGCACAGTATATTCTGCCAATGTCGACTAGAAGAAGGTTCTATATATTATCTAATTATATTTGACAGTCGTGTGAGCGGGAAACGTCAGGTTGACGTTTATTTTTTTTTCCGCACCGCTCCATCCGAGAGCCGAGGCACTTTTGACGCGGCCTCGTAGTGTCGAAGGCGTGGTTCACTCCGCCCCGTCCCTATTCACCCCAGGCCGGGGAGGCTTCGATTTTGGGTCAGCTGTTAAGCGTCCGTTTTAAGCTTTAATTTGTGGCATTATGGCGTCAGCCAGCCATTTAGAATAATGACGTTCTGAACGTGGATTTTAATGGTTATTTTATACGTTTTATGTTGATTAATTATGAAATTATATGATAGAATTATCATAGTTTTCATAGTTTAACCTAAAGCTCTATGTTTCAGCAATGACGAGACATATCAATACGTATAACATTTAAATATCAACATTCCTTGGTACATTCCTAAACGTAAATAATTTATTTCACGTTGTTATATGTATATCAAATATGATTCTTGTGTCCAATAACGAGGGTAGATTCGTTATAGGCGTGGCGGGAGTCGAAAATGTGCCGTCAGAGAGGAAAAGTCAACAATTTTCCTTCTCCCCGTCAACCAATCGCAGAATACGTCATTTGATTTCATAATACCTACCAAATACCTACCGAATACCTAATATCACTTAGATATAGCCTATACTAATATATATATACATATATGTCTGTCCATTTATTAGCAATCCATCAATGTACATAATCCATTATAAGTATAAAACTTGTCATTTATTCCTATATCCCAATAACGTAATATTATTCAAAAATATCAAATATTAAACTACCCACCTCTTTAAAAGTATAATATTTCATACAAAATAATATCAAAAAATCGTTATAAAATACAGATAGATATAAAATATCTAAATAACAAAAGGAACCCCAAAAACTATTTTCAAGTCAATAGCCGACTACCCCCATCGCCTACAAGTTACCGCTCACCCTAACCGAAATCAGTGACAGTTCAATAAAGCACATCGACCAATCACAGCAAACGTCGCCCGGTATAAGCCAATAGGATTAACGCTGCACCCGTCCCTCTCTAACACATAACAAACCACATATATCTATCTCGCTTCCACTAACGGCCAACGAATTCTTGATTCGATTGCGATTGATTTCTTTATTTGAATTTTCCTTTTGTTTTGAATTCCGTTAAGTCCCGGTTTCTGTTATTGTCTATGTAATTAGGTTATTTAAAGGCGATACTTTTGAAGCGTTCTTATTTTAAATATTGTTAATATAATTTTTTTTAACGTTGTTTATTTAAATAAAATATTATTTAATATAGAGTTAACATTTATAGATGTACCTATTTGTTTTTGTTGTACAATTTTTCCGTTTTTATCAAATGCATACTCTTTCTGTTTATAGGTACATAAATACATGTATAGTATAAAAAATATATGAACTAAATTTCTTTATATCACATATTAGCAAAGAAAATGCTTATCAAAAATTTTAATTAAATCAAACGGGTTTTGTCTTAAATAATGATAGAAGTGAAAAATAACTTTAATTCTCAATCTACAATCCTTAGTGTATAAAGAATTAAGAGTGAATCTCATAGCTTTAGCCAGGGTCTGCCAAATCTTTTTTTTTATGTGAAAGGTGGCAAACGAGCAGACGGCCCACTTGATGGAAGGTGGTTACCGTCGCCCATGGACATCCGCAACATTTTGTTATGGGTGCGTTGCCAACCTTGTTTTTTAGGAATAGGAAGGGGTGGGAATAGGAAATGGTAGGAAAGGGTGGGAAATAGGAAAAGGGCAGCCGACTCTCTCAATCATCGGACGAAACGCAGCCAGTAAAGGTTACTTCACGCCGATCTTCTGTGAGAGGGTGGTACTTTCCCGGTCGAGCCAGCACATGTTCGAGCTGTAGTAACTGACCACAGCTAGGCTCTACCACCTAAAAAAACATCCCAATAATTATCTATTATTCTATCACTTTTATAATATGTACAAAATAATACTCGTCATATTACTTTCATATAGGTAAAGGCAACTATGATTTATAAATTTATTATTTATATTGAAATTATAATAAAAAAAAATGCTTGAGATCAATCTTCTTCTTCTACCTGGCAATTTCCCAGCTTTAGCCAGGTTCTGCCTTACATGTTGCCTCATGCATGAGAGGCGGGCAGCCACTGCAGCCACTGACTGATAAATATGTCTAATAAAGAAAATATCCGAGTTTTAAAAAATTATAATTTTGTTTAATGTCCGATCGAATATAAAAAGCTTATTATAATTATTATTAAAAACGTTGAATTGAACAAAATACATACTTATTTTTCAACATCACCTAATATGAAAATTTATATTCTTAAAAAATATATGACAAAGGTTTCAAATACATTTTGACTAACATTATAAAACTAATTAAGAGAAATATTTCATATTCGATACATAAATATTTAACATTTATTAAACCATTACATATAAAAAAATATTAATCAATAATCTAAACAACATATTGCACAGATAATAAAACTGGCCACATAACTAGACAACAGAAAAAAAACGATTTCCCGCCAAATTCGCTGTCAGCGCCAGTGACGTCACCTGCGTCTGACGTCACCTGCTGTGCCATTATCCAATTTGTATCTATCTTTGGCTAGTAATTGCTGTTGACATTTGTTAATGTGTTGAATTATATGTTATTACTTATTGTTTATAATACCTTGCTATTAGTATTAAAGATGAATTTAAAGAATTGTTAGAATGTTAGGAGGTAATTTTGTATTTTTATTTTGTATAACTTGAAAAAAAAAGGCATTGCTTTGACTAAATTGGTTGGCGGCATAATCATGTATGACAGCTTATTAGGTGTCAAAAGGCGTGAAAACAGTATTATATTGAGTATATTTTTTACTAGTACTTACTATTATGGATACCTTACATAAAATAATAATTAAAGTAACAATATGTGATATCTTTAAAAACTGCTGAATTTATAAAAAGCTTTTATATCCTCAAAGTTTATTAGAAAACGTAGGGGAGAGTCGGATATATCGTACCACTTTGAACTTTAACTCAAATATTTCGACTATAACACGTCTTATAATAATTAATACATATGTAAAATAAAGTTTCATATTTTAGCTTCCTAAGAAGAAGAGAACAGACCCTTGCGATTATTCTAACATTGTTAAAAATGCTTTTTTATAGAGGCTTGCCATCGGTACGATTTAGCCGACTAGTCGTTTTAATCGTACCACTAAGTCTTTAAATCGTACCATGGGTGTTTAAGTCGTACAACTGAATAAAAGACATTAAAATTCTCAATCAAATTATTTATTTTTAACTGTTAAGTAAGTAATAAAACAACATTATTTATATTTTATAGGTAATAGAAACATAATTTTTAACTCTTAGGTTATATAAAGGAACTATAAGCTTTCTCAGTAAAATAACATGATTATATGTACTATGATAATAAGATCAATCAACATAACTAATAAAAATGGTACAAAAAAGAAACAGTAAACTATAATAATAAAGTAACAGTTAACAAGAATGTTATTTGTAATATAATTATTGTGCATATTTCTTAATGGAAATAATCATGACAAATGTCTGGATTCGAAGTACACGTCTCATGTAGCCACCGTTTACAGCGAGCGCATTGAATCCAATCAACTTTTGGACCCTTCTTATCGTAGTAAGAACAATTGCACTTTCGACATATATTATCAAGATAATCATCGCTGTCATCATCATCATCTAGTTCTACAACAAGTGTCTCTCCTGAATCATCGCTACTGGTGATGGAATGAGATCGTTTCCTCTTATAACTTTTGTTCTTGGCCTTGGGTAGTACTTACTATACGTACTTGCGGTAGTACTATAGGTACTTGCGGTTGGTAGTCGGGTAAATCGTACCAGTACAATTTAACCAACTGCCAGTGGTACGATTAAACCAACTAAGGCATTTCTAAAACAAAAGCAAATATCCGGCATAAACTCAAAATTTAGACACGCAACAAAAACCCCCAATAATTTAGTATACAATTGTGGAATATTAAAAAAAACTGTATAACTATAGCTTACCTTGATTACGAGTTATCTCCTTACGAATGTACGACAATATTTCCATTAATTCCTATAAAAAATGTTTTTCTTTTATTACGTGCAAAGTTGTTAACTCACGTCGATTTAAACTAGTGGGTGAAGAGGGATGGTACAGAGCCACGATTTGTCGTTGTCAGTGTAGAAAAAAATATTCATTAAATGGGAAATTTAGAAGTGGTACGATTTAAATGCTAGTACGATATAACCAACTCTCCCCTAATACCTTTAGAACACATTACGAGTACTTTATTAAGAAAATATAAAACATAGCAGAGCAAGCAATAAGATATAAAAGGTAGATAAAAATGTAACTTTTCAAATGAATAATAAATATATAGGTACTGTACTTTAAGAAAAAGTCTAGAAAAATGGTAGCTTTTAATACTTACTACGTATTAACATGTGATTTGTAGAAACATTATATATTTAAATGATACTAATATTTTCGGATCACTACATATTTTGTCTCCAAACATTTTCAATTTTTTCATCTCATCTCCCCGTTATCTTTGCTGCAAGGTAACCGAAATGCCGGGTGTATGTATGTAGTTAAAATAATAAATATTCATAGTAATCCGATAATATTAGTTTAATTTAAATGAATACTTACTTAAACTCTTAGATCTCATTATAATAATATATTAAATAAAATTTTAATATTCATCTATTTCCTTTGTAACTTTTTTAATTTGTAATACCAATTTTTATTTTTGAGTCTAATCTCATTTCTCAATTTTTCGTTATACAAACTATGTCTAGAATTGACTAAAACCAGAGAGAAAATATAGACAGTATATTTTTTATTCGAACCTCTTTCTAGATTTCTTTATTTTTTAATATTTTTTTATCAACGAAACTCGATTCGAGGGAATTTTTCTTTTTCAAACTTGGTTGTTTCTAAAAGCAAAAGCTTAAATTTTTTTGCTTAAAATACCGATTAATATATAGGTAGATTTAACATGAAGAAAAATTTTGTTCGATTCATAAAATTACGAATCAGATAGATAGAAAAATATTTTTCAAAAGATTTTCTTTAGTATACATTTAGACAGAATTAAACTAAGTATAAAATAGGACATACTTGTTATTTTTTATTCAACACATTGCCAAAAATAACTATCACAGAAAGACGAGATTTAGAAGAAAAATACGAAAAAATATTATTGTTATTTTCTTTTATACTGTGGCTTCATTCGCACTGGTGTCGTGGTATATTCTGCCAATCAAAGTTTTTATTTGTTACATGAATTATAATCTGAAGTACTGTGTAGATAAAACAGCAAGGAGTTTGTAGAATGAAATAAAGACGTTCATTCAAATGTACCTATATGTTATTTTATTTATAAAACGTTAATTTAACTTTAAATACAGATTAACAATTCAAAAAAAAATTCAATACGTCATTAGTCATAATTACATACTTTTTTCTTAATTGAAAATGTTAAAACGAAATTTGTTAATAAAACTCTTTTAGGTAACCTTTTTGAAGATCAATAGAGAATATTTGTAAATCATCTTGTATATTAAATATCTTACTTATATCTAACTTTATATCATGAACATATATCAATTAAATAAATTAAAATTATTATGAAAAAAAAAACAAATGAAATTCATTCTTTGGCATCGTTTTTTAAATTTCGAATCATCTAAAACATTGAATAAACCCAGAACATTTTCAGCCGTGCATTACAATGCGCATATGCACTGATACAATTGAACCCAAAACCCATCCGACAAAGGTATGCGCAGTGGAACGGCGTTGTAATTTAACAGACGGACTATTCAGTGATTATTGGGCGGACTGAAATAATATGCGTATATAAATGTGAACAGGGAGAGATTTAATATAATTTCTTTTTCATGAGATTGGCTGAATGGATTTAAACTGTTTTGTTATTTGTGGTACTTCGATTTCCAATATAAAACCTTTTTTGTTGTCTTATAGGAGTTTTTAAATTAAGAACGTATATATTATCAATTATTTATGATAATCAATAAATCTATGTAGGAAAATAAAGTATAAATGTTTGTAGAAATTTGAATCTACTTCAACTAAAATAGAGGATATTAAGGTAAAACGTTAAGCATTAACCATTAGGTTATAGTTTAATCTATAAAAAAAGTTTAAACACCTAACAGTGATTTCAAATTTAATTGAATGATATTTTAAGAGTAGCTAAGGCGTAATTTTACTTTGCATTTATTTAGACAATTATTTTGGAATCTTTTGTAAAGGAATAAAAGAACATAATTAAAACTACCTATTTATTATTATACATACATATATACCAACTATATTATAATAACAAGTTTTTGCCAGCGACTTCGTCTGCATTCGTTTTAGATTAAGGAATATATAGCTGACCGGGCGAACTCTACTCCTTCTTAAAGACAGTAAATATTTTGGATTTGACCAATTTTTTTTCTTTTTCGATCGCATGAAAAGTATCGTATGTCCTTACTCCTTCAGTGGTTTAGGCGTGAAAGCGTAACAAACAGACAGAGTTACTTTCGCATTTATAATATTAGTAATACACTTACCTAGAACTAGGCTTAATGTAAAAAAGAAAATAATTGGTTTGCCATACAAAAAAAATACACAAGTACACAAATTCTCTATCCCTCAGTTAAGAGTCATGGATAATCAAACAGCTACTGTTATGGAAATGAATATGATTATCCTTTTACTAGCGATGCAATGCATCCACAAATTTATATCAAGTCGCCAAAAAATGAAAAAAAAGATAATAATTTGGGTCTATATTTGGATATTGAGAAGACAAGACTTGGGAGCAAGAACTCAATCTATATATATAAAAATGAATTGCTGTTCCTTAGTCTCACTAAAACTCGAGAACGACTGAACGGATATATCTTATCTTAGTCTTGAAATGTTTGTGCAGGTTCAGGGAAGGTTTAAAAGCTGAAAAAAATGGATTCATTTCCGGGAAAACCCTACAAACAGCCCTTTTCCATTTCCCATACAAACTTTTTTTTTGACATTAGATTTGACAACTAACTAATATGTCAATCATTCTAACAGATATTTCTTGATAATAGAGCGATATGAAGTTCGCCGGGTCTTCTAGTTACTTATAGAAATATGAGAAGACGATGTTTTATTTGTTGCAACTGACTGATCATTACTAATTACTAGCATGCTTAAAAAGAAAACGTGCTAAGTCGTGCTTAAAGCACGCCCTGCACCCGCGTATAAGAAGCATGCCTAAAAATCGAGCGGCTGTTTTAAAGCATGTTCGAAATAAGCATACTTATTTTAAGCAACTTGGACACATGATAGTAAATTGCATGTAATTAAAGCATGCTTTCATGAAATAAGCATGTGTAAAAGTAGCCTAAAGTTACGAATCGTTAGTAGTTAATCGCAAACCATAGAATATATAAATATTTTTTATTGGCAAGGACATACAAACTTATGCATTTCATTATAAAATACAAATGGTTGCCACTTTGCTAATGATAAAAATTATTTCGAGCCTGCTAGATTCTCAAAATGCTATATTGCTTTAATAATAGAATTTTATATTGTAAATATTTAAAAAGTATGATAAATTCTAATTAAGTCTTTTAATATTTTAATGAAAACATTAACTACGTCATTTCATTGTTAAAGTAGTAAATTAGATTTAGGTATATCAAAAAATAATAATTGAAATGTTAACAAATGAGGTCGTTTTATCATAATATTCTTAACATTTTTTAAATCCTTATTTCTGTTTCCAATTTATATACGATAATTGTTAATTATGCAATTCATTACTTTTTAATTTTTAAAACAAATACATATTACCTAATACAAAACAAATGATTTTACGTGTTTGAATTCACAAAAATCCTACATGATTTACCATTTTATCAAACTTGTAGAGTATAAATTACAGGACAACAAAAGGATTTCATGTTTATGTCTCGTTTTTATGTAAACTTACAAAAAATATAGGTATGTATAAAATTTTTAGTTGCAAAATTTGTACCTACAGCGACATCTATTATACATGCAGCGACAACAATACAGCTATAGTTTGGCTAACATACTAATTACTTTGACACTAAAAGGATAGATGGCAGCACAAGCCATTTATAACACAGATTAAAAAACCTCCAACTTTCAATATCTTGCATTGATATTTTAGTCTTTCTTTAGTATAAAAATTGTGGGTCAGATAAATTTTTCCTAATATTTGTTTCCCAAACAAAAAATGTATATGATAAATAAATTTAAAACTATTAAAAAAGAGTTCATAAAAGCTTACTTTAAAATACAAGTAATTGTAAATATTTTTTTGAATCTTATATTATATTAAATTAAAGGACTATTACATATTATTTCTTCTCTACCCCTAAAACCTCAACATCAAACCAATATATTATATTTATTAAAACATGCCACGATATATTTTTTTTCTAATCAAGCGAATATTAAAAAATCAAATAAAATATTTTTTCTACGCAATTTAAGTTTTACTTTATATTTTTTAAACAAATTTTTTGAAATACGATTTTTTCTTTGCATTAAATATTTTTTAGTTAAACAGGCAGACCAACATGAAATGTAGTATTAAAAAACTTAAAAAAAAATCAGGGCGGGAAATTATCAAAAGCAAAAAGTACCTGTTGAAAAACTTTTTCATATTTTGTTAAAAAATATAGGTAACTTAATTTATTTATTTAATTCTGTTTAAATATAATTTAAAATAGGGTTTTCAGGTTTTTGTACGAGTTATATGTCCAACGTGACAGCAACACCGTTTCGAGTTATAGCACAATTTATACACATGTAGGTCATAGAAAAGATGGCTTAGCGCTCCTAGATTTTAAGTGTGAGAAAATATATATTTTTAAAATTTAAATGGCCTTCAGTGATTTATGTCAAATAAGTAATGCGTTCAAAGCCGTCGAAAATGAAGTTGATCAGGTAAGTTTATAAGTGTATATAAAATCGTCTTCCCATGGGTGTTGTAAATGTCCAATTGGATCTGTCAGTCCCTCAATATTTGTAAAATCGGTGATCTATTTGCTTCGTACATTAATAATACTAGTTAAAAAAATCTGGCTACCTTAAGAATCGATTATACGCCCATAAATGCCAGCGCACAACGAATGTATATTTATTTTTTTCGAGGTGAACGATGACATATACTTACGATTGCACACAATATTTTTAGAATTATAAAGTTTGTACCTGAACGGAGTTAATATAAGGTGTTATGGATATCCGTGGGCGCTTTAACCCTGATCGGGAATATAATATTTACACATTTTAGATAGGTTCAAATGCTTATTACATTTAGAACGCAATACTCGTAATACTTTCTCTGACAAATTTTTCGTTCACTCCACCGTCCTTCATTGCTAAGTAAATATCAACAATATCTAAACCAAAACATATTGCGTCATATCTAGCAATATTACTTTATATGGAATGTATTAAATCATTATATTGTCATTGTTTACACTATCAGATATTGTTTTGTTGATTAACAGTACATTTAATAAATGTATCAAATAAAAAAACCTATATTAATTAATACAAAGTTTGTATAAGGAAAATAATTTATTTTTGATAATAATATTTAATAATAATCAGTATTTGATTTCATATTTAATTTATGAATGAAACTTCATTAATGTTGTATTATCTTATATGATTCATATGTTTTAATAATATTGTGCAAATTGTTTCCTGTAATAGTAGTAATTCTGAAAAATTGCTAGATTCTGTCATAATACATAATTTTACTTAAGAACTAGTTTACATTAATAAAATCCCTGATTTTATCTAAAATGCCTTTTAAGATACATTTTATTAATCAATTTTTATACTATCTTAACAAATTTTCTATATAATATTCTCATGACCACTTTAAAAGCAGCCCGATTTGGTTTTTTACCAAAATGAACAGCCCAAACCCTTAAAATATTGGTATCATTAATATTATTATCATTAAAATAATTCAAATACTTTTATTCTTGTTTCTTTTAACAAAAACAAAAGAAAATCTTAAGCATCTTATTAAAATTTAAAGCTATATGTAAATTAAGTAACAAATTACCCAAAATATCGGACAGGCCGTACATTAGTAGATGTAGCCTTGAACTATATTTATTGTCTCCAATATTTACACAAAGTTCGAGCAATTTTAAATGAAATTATTTCTTTAATCTATTTATTTATATATATACTAGCTTTTGAAGCGACTTCGTCCGCGTGACCTCCGGCAGATTTTTAGTTCTTCCCACATAGCTCCCGTTCTTGCGGGGTTTTCGGAATGGTCGAGTTCCAGTAGGATTTTCAGGATAAAACCTATGTTTTTTTTATTCACAATGAAGTACTCTTAACCAACAACATATTTATTTGTTTATTTGAATTAAGATTAATATTATTATGTTGATACAACTTAAACAAATTATTTCGACCAAATTAGGCACAATAAAAACGGTTTTTGTGAGTTAATCTTAAAAGATGTTTTTTCGATCATTAAAAGAGCTATTATTCTTTCATACATATTTTTTTGTGTATCTTGAACCGTTTTCACGGCGCACGCAACGGAAGGCTTCAAAGATGAAATAATTTATCCCGTTTTTTACACATTTTCCACTATATCTTTGCTCCTATTGGTCGTAGCGTGATGTTATATAGCCCACAGCCTTCCTCGATAACTGGACTATCCAACACAAAAAGAATTATTCAATTCGAACCAGTAGTTTCGGAGATTAGCGCTTTCAAACAAACAAACAAACAAACAAACTCTTCCGCTTTATAATATTAGTATAGATATATATAATTCTATTAAGACAATAGTCAGATAAACTTTATATAAGAACATAAAACTCATGACTGTATATATATTTTTTATCTTAATAAATAATACAGAAAAATAATTAATATATTATGTATTGTATTAAACATAAATATTTGTTGTTAACAAATATGTTTATTCAACATTTCCTTTATATATTTTGATTGAATAAAAAAGAACCAAATTTATAAATGGTTAAGTTAACTTAAGTATGAATCTTTATTACAAAGTAATGTGTTTAAAAACTTACCTATAATTGATTTTTTATCATAATTATACTTATGTGGACAACACAAGAATCAAAAATAAATAAATTTTTACAGGGTTGTCAGAAATTTATAAAATCTTCAAAATGAATATACAGGTTTTATACATAAGACAATATTTAATTTAGTTTTGCAACAATTATTATGATGCTGATAAAATTCACATTTAGTAGGAATATGCCTTAGAAGAGGACAAATTATAAAATTTTCTGGAAGATACAATAGTCATTATATTTTATGCTTTTTCTTTAAAATTTCTGCATAAAGCTTTAAAGTGGAACATTATACGTTTTTTTAATGAGAGAAATTAATAGGATAACTTTGTTATCTTGTTACAACTGTTATGATTTATCAGTAAAGCATAAGCTTATAGGCATAGGCATGTAATCTTTCAAAAAGCAAAAAAAGACATTTTTGTCAAGTTATACTTAGTTAGTTTTTTTTAATATCCTCAAATTGTATGACAGTATGGATATGATAAATGAAATATATATATGTATATGTAAAATAATATTATTTTTCAGTCGGACCGTATTATGGAAGAAAACTCCTTGGTTCGGGATCTCATCGCCAAGATCCTCGATGAGACAGAGGGGAATAGGTGAGTTTGTATTATATGTATTTAAAAACAATATTGATTTTGGTAAGAAATAACTTTTTATATAAATTAATACATGAAATATTATACATAAGGCTGCCGATTGTTTTATATGGTATTAAATACGAACTACTTATATTTTATGCATAAAATATTTGATTAAATTCAGTGTAATTGAATTAATATTTCTTATAAATGGTAAACTAGTTATTGTAAATGACTTCGTCTCTGTGTGTGTATTTTTAAATTAAATTGCCTAAAGTTATAACCTAGTACATCCATCAGGTTCATTTCAATCTTTAGGTGATTATTTGGAAGAAATGTTGACTTAAATATGTCTAGAATTAATACACTAATTAAGTATGAAATGAGAAAATTTTATTTTGACACTCAGAAAAGTAATATTAACAAAAAAATTAAATAATGAAAGGATGCCTTATATTCATTAATTTTTTCTTTTTAATAGTAGTGTAAGATAGAAACAATTTTTTTATATCAACTTTTAATATTTGTATTGAAGTAATAATAAAATAAATTTACAGATGGTCTCTTTGAAATATTAAACAACTAAACATATATGTATATATGCATACCAAAATAATATTTTATACAATTTAGTCTGTCCTGGTTAACACCAGAAATGCTGTAACAATTTTGATAGAACTTTCACTGAAAATTAAGTGAAAGTTAGGCTACATTATAGATTCGTTATTTAGTTTAATAAATATAAATAATAACGAAAATAACCATTCCATTGAGGGAAAATTTTGGTACTAGCTAGTTTTTTGAAGTTCATTAGTCATATATAGGTATAAAACTATTATTTTTTAAGGCTTTGTTATTTATTTCACTGGAACAAATGCTTGACAAATATCACAGAATACGTAGGTAAATGGGAATAAAGGGAATATTTTCATCATCAGCCTATCGGAGCCCACTGCTGAGCAAAGGCCTCTTCTCACATGGAGAAATAGTAGTGCATTTATTTCAAAAATTGAATACCAAAAATTATTTAGGCTGTATACGATAAAATACAAAAAATAAATTATGATTTTCAGTGTTGAGATACATAATTAATTTTATAAATTTAAAAATATATATTTGAAACCCTTTCTTAGAATACTGTTCTTATTTGTTAGGTTTCTTTCAAAGGCGAAAACTTTAATGAAAAGAGTCCTTTTAGTTCAAAGCTCTCACAATTGCGTTGTGAAAATAATAACAAAAAAATCCTATTTGATACCTGAGATAATAAAAAAATAATTAATTAAATAAATATTATTACTTTCGCTGTTTTTAATATTTATATTTTCTATCAATATAATAAAAAATTATATAAATATAGCAATACTTTGATCAATTAGCAAATATTTAAATAGTAATTTGAGATTAACTAATAGATATTAAATCGTAAAAAAATGTTATACTTTTTATATATAAAATATTTGCATATACACTGTATTATCCACGACTTCGCTTGAATTTCTGAATTTTATTCGAGAAAAATGTATAAATATGTTAAAATAAATATGGGAAGCGATAGGCGACATCTATGTTATGCCATGTATCTTCACAATACAACGTGTACCATACCATCAAAACCTATATCTTATTCTGATGCCTAAGCTATATTATTGTTTAGTTTAATCAAAATCGACTTCTCAAACTTTTTACGATATTTGTTATACAGTAGTTCTTTTTACAAAAATCCAAAAAGATATGAGATATATGTAACTTATTTAATTATTCTGTATTTGGTTCTTATATGTTTTTTTGTGTTATATTTGACAAAAAACATTTTACATTCATCTCGTGTTCTCGTGATCACGATTCCTGTATGTTTAATTTAAATGTTTTCTCTCAAAACAAAGGATATAAATCAAAAATATCTGATTATTATATATAAACCAGAAATCAAACTATGATACAGTCAGTCCCAAGATATTTTGCTTTAGAGTCATGTATAATATTCATTAGAAGTAAATTTTGGTAATTTTCCTTTCAGCTGCGTTCCCTCACCAGACAAACCTACCAGCAGCTTACCAACAAATATAAGTCAGTTTCCAAAAACTGATAATGGAACATATCTAGAAACACCTTACAACTACAATAACAATCTTTATAACTTCAATCAGAATGATAACGGTCTTTTTAATATTCAGAATGGCTTTAATTCCAACGGTTTTGTCAATTATTCTGACAACGAGGTTAATTCATTGCTAGGAGTTGATCCGATAACAGATACGGATTCCGTTACTCCCGAGCAGTTGAATCTATTAAGACTGGCTGCTCAGGAAATAGGCGGGGCTCAATTCACCAGCCCAAACAAATATGACGAGAAATTTTACAATTTCTTCGAGCCAAACCAAAGAAATTCGCTCCCAGACTCAAATGTGTTCACAAGTAATTACAACAGACCTAACAGCCTGAGTCTAGATTTGAATTACAACAGTAACAGTAATTTTGAGTCACCATTCAATGCTCAGAGATTCCCTAGCAACGGTTTCAAAGACCAGCAAGACTCAGCAACAGATTTGCTCAGTTACCTCAACCAGATGAGCATATCCAACGATAGACCTAGAGAAGAAATAATGCTTAACGATTTTAAAATTCCCGACGCAAACAGCTCTTTCCAAAGCGACGAATACAAAATGCAAGAAGACAGGAACAAAATGTTCTACAACAGAAACTTTCAAACACCGAATAAGAATTACAACAGCGATTTCTTCTTAAACGATGTGGCTATGCCGGATAGAAATATGAATCAGAACTACGATTTCTCGAACCAATCCGTGTCTAATATGGGCTTCAAGTCGAACGGGTTTCATCCACAGAACGATTTCGTCAGGCGAGAAATAAGTCAGATGTTGCCTCGAGAGAGTTACCAAGGTAATGGTAATAGTGAAAGGGTGAATTTCGATAGAGAGAATGCTCAACAGAATCTATTGAGACAGCAGGAAATAGCGAGACAAATGAATATTATTATGAGGAATAGACCACCGCCGAATCCTTTGAATGTGGACGTGTCTTTCATACACGAACCGCCGTTTAATCTTGGTAAGAAAAATATCTTCTAATATAGCCCTTCCTTATAGTATAACTACTACATATTTGATTATTCTAGTTTGTATCACAGAATTATATGAAGAAATGCGTTACCATTTCATCATATTACATATTTTCATACAATTCTGTGAAGATCATACTTGTAAATTCTACTTTATCCACAAAGCTTATTACAATTTGCTAATTGAAGTCCCATACGATACAAAAAAGATCCAATATACAATAAACTATTTTGCGAAGAAAAAAGAAATATACTATCATTTTGGCATGACAAAACGCACTATTTTATATATATACTAGAAGACCCGGCGAACTTCGTATCGCCCTATAATCAAAAAATATCTGTTAGATTTTTTATTTATATTTTTGCAGTTTACCTATTAAAGCCATAAATCTCCGTGTTTTGAAGTGCGACAGAATGATTGACATATTACTTAGTTGTCAAATCTAATGTCAAAAAAAGTTCGTATCAACAACGACTAATAAATTAAAAATTATTTAAAAAAACATTGTCCAGCGGATAAAATTGTGAATCTAAACCATTCCCAGATCCCCTTGAACACACACAAAAAATTTCATCAAAATCGGTCCGGTCGTTTGAGAGAAGTTCAGTGACATACACACTCACAGAAGAATTATATATATGTATAAACTAAACTGTTATTTAATTTAGGTATAGGAACGCTACTCGGCCCTTCACCGCCCGTCGCACCTCCAGTATTACAATCCCCACTCCTTGATATGCCGCTACTAGCGCCGTTCTACGCCATGAGAAACATCAGGTAAAATAAAGATTAATATACATAATATATAAGATATTAAATCGAAATTTCGGTTAATATTTTGAATAAAATAATAATTAGATTTACTATGTATGTACGCATGTCTTTGAAGTTTCAAAAATCTTACATATAATAATAAAATATAATAAATTTTGTATCAAAAATATAATTTTTGTTCTGCTAATTCATTCACGTTATTTTCTTCAAATTATTTGCAATCTATATCGTATATTCTATATATTTAAGATTATCTGGCATAAAAGGTTAGTACGAATATTTTTAACCTACACCTAAGACTACATAATTGCCCCGATATTAAGGTAGCAATACCATTCCATACCTTGTGTGCTATCAGGAATCTTCTGGTTCACTCGGCTTGGTGTTCGTTCCGCGGAGTCAGCGGCGTCACTCGATATATGATATTTTACCTTTACAAAGATATCGCCCCGGCGATGTTCATTTTTTTTCTTCATATATAGCGCGTACGTAACACGGTTACTGACTGTCGAATAAATAATATTATTCAACTAGCCGCGCCCCGCGGTGTTACCTCCGATTTCCGGGATGTAAAGTAGCCTATGTGTTATTCCTCTACGTCAGCTTCCTGTATACAAAATTTTATCAAAATCGGTTCATCCGTCTGAGCGTGAAGAAGTAACAAACATACACACACTCACAAACTTTCGCAATTATAATATTAGTAGGATTATGTATTTAAATAAAATATCCATATATGTATGGTAATGAAGAAATAAAATAGCATATGTTTTATACAGGGTGACTGGTGAATTACTATTGATACTCGAGGACGTGATATTTGACGATCATATAAGACAAAATAAAAATTAATATAACATAAATATTAATAAACTTCTAAGTAAAGTTAAACAAAAGTTATGTAATTAATTACGCATCGTGTGCACACCCTACAGATTAGGTATACACTCACACACACATACGCATGCGGCGGCGTAGTGTTGTATCAGCACGCCGCCGCACGCGTCCACTTGGAACACTTGGAACGTGTCAACACTTTATTTATTTATACGGAAATTTGGTCAAAAATTAAGTACCTATTTTTTTACATAATACGAATGAGAATCATGTACCGAGTATTCTCCTTAAATATTGATAGTAATTCACCAGCCACCCTGTATATACTAGAAGACCCGGCGAACTTCGCATCGCCCGATAATCAAATAATATCTGTTACGTTTTTTTTATTTATATTTTTGGAGTTTACCTATTAAAGCCATAAATCTCCGTGTTTTGAAGTGCGACAGAATTATTGACATATTTAAGTTAGCTGTCAAATCTAATGTCAAAAAAAACGTTTGTATCAACAACTACTGATAAATTAAAAATTAATTAAAAAACATTGTCCAGCAGACAAAATTGTGAATCTAAACCATTCCCAGATCCCCTTGAACACACACAATAAATTTCATCAAAATCGGTCCAGTCGTCTGAGAGAAGTTCAGTGACATACACACTCACAGAAGAATTATATATATAAAGATATATCAATCATTCCAGGAACACAGCGCCATCATCGAGTATACTCCACGCTAGATTGGACGCGTGCTATGAACAGTGGCGCCAATTGGAAAGGGAGCGTAAACGTACTGAGGCTCGTTTGGCGCTAGCGTATCCCGGGCGTGCGGTTTCATCGTCTAATTCTATACCCGTGCCTCGTTTACCGCCCTGTCCTACAAGAGTGGATAGATTGACTGTCGATATGCTGCGAGAACATACTAAAGTGAGTATTAATGCGTTTAATAAATAAAAAATAAATAAAATTAGCCTTTATTGCAAAAACCACTAATAAATAACTACATTTTATAATATCATCCTATTTCATAATCTAATCTTAAATTACTTATAATAAAATGCCTTCATAAACGTTCGTTTTAATAAACAGCTTGTCTTTCGACATGGACCTCTAAAGAGTACACAACATATAGACATAAATGTTGGTATTATATTGATTACTAGCTTTCCGCCCGCAGCTTTGCTCGCATAGAGTCCGGTTATATCGCGTCTCCAAGAGAACCTTTCAAAAGTCTGAGATAAAAACTATCCTATGTTCTTTCTCAAGGTCAACTCTATCTCTGTACTAAATTTCATTAAAATCAGTTCAGTGGTTTAGGCGTGAAAGCGTATTTTCCATTGTTAACCCTCGCAACCCCCCTTGTGGGTGGAATTTCGTAAAATCCGTTCTTAGCTGACCTCTACTCGGCGAAAGGAATAATCCTACCAAATTTCAAGTCGCTACGCCTTGTAGTTCCAGAGATATCGTGATGAGGCAATATATAGGTGGTAATCTCTTTTATATATATAGATTAATAATCAAATAGTCTAACGGATACCATAAATGTTTATATTTATTGTCATAAGCAAGTTTTTTTTGCATTAATATGTAAGCTGAACGAATAATAAGCATTCAAATAGACTTAATATTTAAGTACAAGTGGGAATAAAAAAGAGATTTGGTAAAAATGTAATTTTTTTGGATAGTATAATTTTTTTGTTATTAATTATGTCTAAGCTAAAATCATTTTTTTCTTATATTAAGGTGAATGAGTACAAGAATATCTCACATATAAAATTCTTGTATCACAATGTTTGTTCCCGTACTCTGAAACGGCTCGACCGATTCTCATGAAATTTTGTGAGCATATTGAGTAGGTCTGTGAATCGGCCAACATCAATTTTTCAAACACCTAAGTGATAAAAATACAAACAACCCTATATTTTTAATTTTTTATCGCCAACCCTTATTTTTATATGGTAAAACAAAGTTTGCCAGGTCCGCTAGTATTTAATACAAATCATATTTGAAATAAATAACATTTATTAAATAATAATTTTTATTATATTATTACAGGTATTAACGCTGATGGGTAAAATGGAGACGCTTCGTGCTAGTGTTTGTGTGGCTCAGAACAAACGACCAAATAAACCGGACGAAAATAAGATAACCGTGTTGAAGAGAGGTCAAGATAACGTTACGGATAAAGAGGAGAACTTTGATCCGGCTACTTGGCGGGATGATGTACGGAACCTGTCGGAAATGTGAGTTACGGATACGGTTGCCGGATATTTTTACGGATACGGATTTAAAGTGTTTTATCACTCGGTAACAGCGAGTGATGTAAATACTGATGCCGTACTTATAGTTGTATAAAGTTTTTCATCATGCATTACAAGGATTATTTGATTTCATACATAAAGTTATATCTTTATCCCTACTAATATTATAAATGCTAAAGTAACTCTGTCTGTCTGTCTGTTACGCTTTCACGCTAAACCACTGAACTGATTTTAATGAAATTTGGTACAGACATAGAGTTGACATTGAGAAAGAACATAGGATAGTTTTTATCCCAAACTTTAGAAAGGTTCTCTTGGAAACGCGATATAACCGAAATCCACGCGAGCGAAGCTAGTCATGTATAGTTTGCATACTATGATGGCTTATTAACATTTATGTTATTGGAGCACTATTATTAATTAATATCTGGCATCAATTAAGAAGACCATTCACATAAGTATTTATACTTGTCTGCCGCATAGTTAACAATTTTAGCGGATTTTTATACGGATATGTTATTTATATATTATTTATACGTTATTCCAGTGCACCTCACAGTGAAGTTGAAAGCGCGATGCTGGCTTGGCGTAACGCTGTAGCTGCTGTACAAGCGGCTAGACGCAGAGAAGTGAACATAGCACACCTTAGATACCCACGGAACGACAGGGAAAGAGATCGTGAGTTATATACATTATAATATTAATAATATAAATAAAATCAAAAATCAAGCCTTACTCTATCCTTAAAGCTTCGGATTGGACTATCATGATGGATACGTATGAGAAACAATACAAAATCCCCGAGGATATTTGTGCGTCGGCCTCCAGACCAGACATATTTCTATATTCTCGTATTTTAAAGCGTAGTGATGATAGAGCTTACGGTTCCTTGGGAAACCAACATCCAAAGACCATGCCATCAAGGTCAATAAGTATTACGAGCTCACTAACGAACTAACTCGAAATAGGTTCGTAATAAATTTGTACGCGGTAGAGGTGGGAGTGAGAGGTATAACAGCTAAATCTCTACAACCTACTAAAAGACTTGGGCCTGTCCAGAACTAATATTAATTCATTCTTGGAACGTACTTCGAAGGCAGCCCTAGTAGGTTCTTTTCAAATTTGGTAGAGAGAGGAGCTTGGACAGTGGAGGTGAGCGTATAACGCGTTGTATATGGTCCATTAAACCTACACCTGGGTCACAAGTCACAGTCACTGTTGAACCTCCTCTCACTACAACGATGGACCCGACACACGCATATGAATACATTGAATGATGAGAGGTTTCATCTTTGTCTTATAATAGTTATTGGATAGTATAAGGGAGATGGGAATATGATCTGAACTGAAAAATATAATTTTAACGGTATTTCCGCTCGTGAAAGGTACATATATTTTCAATTTCGTCATTTGGCACCGAAAACTTGAAATATTTTTTTGTTAGAAGACATTTAAGTCTTAAACGCAAAATTTTGAAGTTTTTTTATCTCAATCCAGTTATGTTAGGATTTATTTTATAATAGATTTCCGCCCGCGGCTTCGCCCGCGTGGAGTTCGGTTATATCGCGTTTCCAAGAGAACCTTTCAAAAGTCTGGGATAAAAACTATCCTATATATCTTTCTCAAGGTCAACTCTGTTTGTACCAAATTTCATTAAAATCAGTTCAATGGTTTAGGCGTGTAACAGACAGAGTTACTTTCGCATTTATAATATTAGTAGGGATTAAATACGGAAATATATACAAAATATCACTGAAAAAATATATATATATAAATGTTATATTTATTTCTACAGCTATTCTCCAATTATCCGACGCTGTGAAGCAGCTATGTGTGTGCGCAAGACGAGCTCGATGTGCTATGTGGTGTGATCTCACACTCACTGTGGCATTGGCGCCTAACTCCGCACTGGTTAGTACACACACACAAACATCTTCTACCTGGCAATTTCCCAGCTATAGCCAGGATCTGCCTTACATGTTGTGAATAGTTTTGGCTATTTGTTTTTACGACCGGCCGCCTGCCTGACATCAACCCTCTTTGGGAATGCATTAATCAGCGATGTCTAAATACTCTTAGAAAGTACATATAACTCGGAAAAATCACATTGGTACTTGCCTGGATCGAACCCGCGCCCTCATGCATTAGAGGCGGGCTTATAACCACTAGGCGACCACTGACTAAAACATATACATATATATATTATAAAGTGCAAATAGAAAAATTTATTTAATATGAAGCTAATATATTTGTTATTTTATTATTTAAAATCTACATACACCAGACCTTTTATTTACTTTGCACCAACCATGATCACGGGCAGACGTAATAAATAGGAGTAATACGAAAATATTAGGTTTTTTAGACAATAATGATTTTAAACAATCATAATTCATAACTTTAATTTTTTATTGTACTAAAATAACTTATTCCTGGCAGATATTTACTTACTATAGTAAACACACAATTTACAACTGTATGTGTAAACTCGTATATACATATATGTAAACTCTATATATTGTTTACAGCAAAGCGAACATTCACCTACAACACCGGTACCTTCAAAATCATCACAGGAAACTCCAACGACATCCACCTCGAGTAAACCAGTTAATAATGAACAGAGTGAGGTATTCATTATAATATTACAAATATATGGAAATTAATAATTTTTTATACAGTTAGATGGTTTATAAATGATAGATTTTATAACATTTTCATATTAAATATTTGAATATATGAATTTATAACAATGCATTAGTGTCCGACCGAAGGTCTATTTTCTGCCGAAGCCGAAGGTTTATAAGCTCTTAGTAATTTTGTTCAATATTGTCTACAAGCTACAATTAATGTTATAGATTATTTCGAAACTTCAATATTGAAGGTTTATATTAACTGTCTCATATGGAAGTGGATACAAAGATGAAAAAAAAGTTTGTGATTTATTCGTAAAAAAATAATAATTTATTTATTAAGTAATTCATGAATCACAATCAGACCAATCAATCAGTCTTTGTTTACTTCACTAAGCCGAAACTAGACTAATAAATAAAATGAACAAACACCAATTTCTTAATAAATAATTAAATTTTGGTCAATTAAATGCACAGTTTAGAAAATATTAGAAAATTCAAAATAAATGTAACAATAACAATAGTTATAAATAATCAAGTAATGACTGTTTTGCCAACAACAAGTTATAATAATAATATTCTATTTTACTTGCTTTCTTCGTCTTTCGTAAAACAGTTCATTCAATCCCGAAGGTTTCGACTTTCGCTGAAGATGGTTTTTTTGGCCGAAGGTGGCCGAAGCCGAAGTCGAAGCTTCGGTTGGACACTACAAATAGACCTATATTTTTAAATAGATTTTCTATATATTAATTATCTCAATTCACAGGATAAACAAGAAACTCAGCCCACCGACGAAAAAGACGATAAGAACAAAACAAATGACAAAGATAAGAACGTACGTCGCACACAAAACTATAGGAAACTGAATCACAGGAACGATTTCTATAAGAACCAAAGGTACGACAATAGATTCGTTAACAAACATCCCTATCACTACCTGGCTGGATCGATTAATTAAAAAAAAAGGTCAATTCAAAGGAGGTTGCATTATCAACTGTCAAAAAAACTCAATCAATTAATGTGATTTTAAAAATGGAATACAAAATCTGAACTGCTATTGGTAGATAAAATGAAGCCCTCCCATTGGTTGAATTATGACAGTTGGTGATGCATCAATAAATGCTGACAATTATATGGAATTGTTATTGTATTTGACAGCTGTCATTTTGTATAACTATTATTTATGATTTAAAACACTGATATTATTAAGTACTGGTATTAATTTATATGTACTTGAATCTATGGTTTTGGAGTTCCTGAAATTATATGTGACATTAACACAGATTATAAAACAGATGTATGTATGTGGTTTAATAAAAATTGGCTGCAATCGATTTAAGACTAAAATACACTGTGATGTTGATAATCCTCTGAATATTTCACTGCTATAATATTTTTTTATGCTGTCTTTAAAAAGTTTGATACTTCTTTACATTCACCCCCACTCGACAATATGACGCAGCCAATTTTTATATTAATTTTTATCTGACGCATTTAAATGTAAAAATTATATGACACGAATGTTTTATAGGCATACAAATTGACATAATTGTTTTTTGTATTATACGAACAAGGCTATTACTATGGGTTGTTGCAATCCAATGATCATATCAACACTTTTTTTGAAAATTTAATAGCGTTATGCATTTACTTGGTATATAAAAAAAGTGTTTTTTCAGGTATGTGAGACCATTTAGTGTAGTATAGAGATGTTTTATCGCTTGGCTGTCGTGTTAAACGTTTGGCTGGTTCGAAAATTACTTGCCAAAAAAAAAACTTGGTGTGATCGAAATATTATTATACGTTATTTATTACAGATGTTTATTTACAAAAATTATCTTGTTTCGTTGGCCTCGATATGATAGGTTTTTGATTATATCAGCGTCAAAGTTTGATGCTTATTTAATTAATATTAATATAGTTATGCTTATATTCTAATGTAATTATCTTTATTATTATTTCTCTATGTCCATTCACACATTAAAATGTGTTAGTAAAATTTATACATGGTGTTTATTAGATAAGCCAAATATTAAAAAGAATATTTCGTTCACACTAAAAATATATGTGATGTTGATAAAACTAGTTGACTCTATTTTATTATCAGAATTAAATATAAAAAAATAATAATAGTAATTAATACGAAGTTGAAAACTAGTAGAATAAGTGTAGCACGTATTTATTTAAAAAAGGTTTTGATGAATTTGTAGTGTTAGGGAATTGAACGCTCACGGTGTTATACAGGATGTTGTTTTTAATGAAATTTGTTCTTTTTTTTGTTAATATTATAACAAATGTCCTATAAGTCTTTGAACTGCTTCACAAACGCTTTAATTAATTTCTATATATATGTATATATATATATATATAACGGTGCACAAAGTAATCCAATGATGTATTAACCAAAATAGAATTATCTTTCCTTAGTTCATATTAGTGTTAGTGTGATTTTTTTTGTTGCCCACATGCATTTCTTTCTGATGTACAAAATTTTTAAATGAATTTAGACCCAATTGAAGTTTAGTTATCAATTTTTTTGTGTAGATTTTTTTTATTTATTTCGTATGTCGGTGGTGGGTTGGCGCGAAGGTTAGGCTTTCACGATTAGTTAGATGTTAGTGATAGACCTTTTTCGATGTGATTTTCGATGTTAGTTGTAAGTTACCGATAGCCCAGCCCAGTGTAGTACAATGATGCATATAGCATAGTTAAGCACAACATAGTTTCTTAGCTAATTGTAGTTAGTTTAAATGTATTTCTTGTTGTTTATTTTTTTTTTTTTTTTTTCGGACGTTGATCGGATCTTCAGTTGAAATGTTGCCATATAGTAACTATTTACCTCAAAATCCTTCTGACGCTTACCCGTTTTTAAGATATATGATGTTGTTATGAATTTTGCGAAATTTAATAAGACTTTGTTTGTTTCGGAAGCGATTTTTTTTAGGGTAGTCTCACACCGAGTGACAGTAAAATTTGTTTTTTGATTAAGCATGAAGGGAATGCTATATTTTTTATATCGTATGCTACTAATATTAGAACCCGCTTAACCAAATGAAATTTCTATAGTATTAAATGTATTGAAAAAAATTCGCTTTCGATGTGACCAAAGCGTATATTGTTGACGAATCATTATTTATTTTTTATTTATAATTCCACAGATTATATTCTTCATTTTATTTTTGTAGATAATCTATACAGTTGTGATGGCTATGAAGTTTCGCTTTCGAAGCGATTGGCGCGCGAGATAGGAAAAAAAATTAGTAAAATATTTCTGATTAGTATAATTGCTCATTGGTTTGCCAAAAATTGCGCAAATTATTATTCTATTAGTAGTCGCTCGCCCGCCAATTGTCTTTAACCCATATTGCGTTAACTCAAATGATCCTTCCGTCCAGGCATAGACTAAGCTTTTGGTATTTTTTTTCCCTTCCATCTGGCATAGACGAAAACGTGAAAAAATTTACGAACAAAATATCCTTACACAGCTAAATAGTACTTTTTGGTAGAAATTAAATAAAAAATATGATACAGATAGAAAAATAACAAAAAAATTCACGTCGAGTCTTAGCTAGTTATCAAACCGCTTTGTATCCTAATATTTATAACTTTCTTACGTCCTTTATAAAGCGCAAAAATCTCAATATTTCGACCAATGCTTAACAGGCATATCTTTATAAGTATCGTGTGATAAAACTTATTGTAATGTTGTAACATTACGTGTTTACCAAAACTATTCAGTACTTAATACCAATAATGAAACGCTTATATGAAAAAATTCCTATGAAAAAAAAATATATACGTCCTAAAAATATGTATGTTCGGACTCTTTCTGAAACTAATTTCTCTATGGCGTTTATTGGGCCCATGGAATTGATGACGTCATAATCATGACGTCATGGGGATTTATGAGCCGTTTCGATGCTCAATTTTGAAGTTTTTTTTTTTTGTTCTTTTTTTCTATGGAAACGTTATTGAAGTGCTATACCAAGATACCTAAGAAAATTAATGAACGCTAGATGTGTTAGATAGAATTTCTATGGATGTATTTATTTAATACATAGTTATACGCGTGTCGTAAAAAAAATGTAATTCTCGGCGACTTAGCAAGACTGGAATTTATTTTTATTCGGCTGTCATTATGTGTCCCGCCATTTTATTGTATAAACTATGGTTATTTTGTGAATGTGGATCCAATGTTAGAGCTTTATCGAATTTGATAATAATTTTACGAAATGAATATTTATAGAGTTGGATAATGTGAACAAAAAAAAAATGTTTAGCTGAAATATTCGTGACTCTGTATAGATAAAGCGAGGTAGTTGTTTTTCTATTGTACTGTAAAGCTAGATGTTTAGATTAATTGTTAGGTACTCGATGGTCTAATTGCTTATTTATCTAGATTTGTTTTTGAACACTAATTAGCATAATACATGGTCCTTTTGAAGTGACGTTTTCTATTAAAGATAGATGGCGATGGTGGTTGTTGCACAAATTGTTTTAAAATGATTTTTTTTAAAACATTTCGAACGCTAAAGTGTTATATTTCTGGTTTAGTGTTAAGATTGGACAATAAGTGGTGGTTATTTCTACCATTTCATTAATTAGTTTAAGTTTAACCATTGTTTTTTTTTCTATACTTTTAATGTTTTTGTCCAACGGTTGTTTTGGCTCGCGTCGTATTTTTTTTTTTGCTAAACGCCGTGAGTATGTCATGTGTTTTTTTTATTGGAATGGCATCATGAATTTTTGATACGTGTGGACCAATCTGGTTTTTTTTTTGTTGATTTAATTTTTTTTTGGGTATTTTTTTTTGTCGACGGTTATGGAAAAATACAGGATTTATTTTGCCAGTTCCTCTTAAATGTAAGTGAGAATATCTAAAAGAATATTTTTATAGTTGTAAGCGAGTGAATTAAGTTTTTTTATGACGTGCTGGCTGCGGTACGTTTTACGCACGTTGTATTTTTCGGTACTAAATCGTGTTATCCTATATGGATAGCGGGAATATTACTCTGATGGCCGCGGGATTTTATTTCATTCTACCCGCAAAATGCTTGACTAATGAATTTTTTCACGCGTACATTATAAACTAAGATTTTTTTTTCTTTTATGGTGCTACACCCCTCGTTATGGTATGGTAAATGTATTGGGGACGCACGTAATATCGCTTTAATAATTTAAGTATGTAATCTCAACTTATATATTCTCTCGAAGAAATTATATTTTTTATATATTTTGCTACTACTGAAAATAAAAATTGATGTTACAAATTGTAGGTATGAACACTGTTAGAATTTTAGTTCTCGTTGTTAAAGGACCGATTATCACTCGAAGTTCTGTATTTCGCTTACACATATCCGATTTTCTAAGCGTATTTCATATACGCGTTCCTTAACAACGAGAAATATAATAAATGCTTCTATCGTCCCAATATGTTCTCACACTGCCACTCGAAAGTTTAAACTACCCCCGTTATATATTTTTAATGTATTATTTATTTTATACGATTGTTTCTTACTACATAAAATTTGTTGACGCTTGTTATGTATAGAGTTTAAAGTAAACTCGCTAGTCCTAATGATTTGGATCTGTCCCATATACGCTAGGTGTTTGTATTATAACTGTCTGTGGTTGAAATCGAATTTTATGAGCTTATTATAACTTAATTCCATGGTATTTTGGTGGCTGGTACTTTATATCGATGGACCTATATAATGCGTTCATTCAAATAACACTATATAGGATTTTCGATATAAATGTTATGTAATGTTCGCATGATATGTGCAAAAAATAAAACAGTCGTGATGCAAAACAAGCTATCGCATGGACCAAGGGATAATATTAAGTGTAGCTCACATCACCTTCTGACGTTTAGCATTTTAAATTGATATAATAATAAAGAAACAAACAAAAAATAATAATAATATGAAACTAATATAAATATTTTGACATGTCTTCTGAGTGTTAGATAGTATCCATGTATACAAATGTGATTAATGTTTTTAGATGTTACAGACTGAATTAGGGCAGGTTAATGTAACGGTCGGGGCTGTTTGCGGGTGCAGTATTATTTTGGGGGTACTTGCAAATTAACTTTCACTGTTAAATATTTAATATTAAAGCAATGTTCAGCTAATTATTGTACTATATCGTCTAGTATAGTGCAAAACCTCGTATTGGAAGCAGATTATCAGAAAGTTTAAGGTGAAATATTTTCTAAATTACCTTAGAAGTCTTTAATATAGAAAATATATCAGCTGATAATCTGCTTCCAATGTAGATGTGGAATTATCCATTGCTAGTTACGCGCTTTTGCACTATCCTATAATATATATTATAAACATAGAATGAGAAATTTATTGATGTGTAAAAAATACGAATTAGCAACTATTGTTATAACAGCATTCGTATTGCATTCTATGTGATTTCATGTTCGATTGTATTTTTCTTCGACTACCCTTCATTTATACATATAGTCGTGACGTTGAATTGGCAAGTCCTCCCATTTTTCTAGTAATACTATATTCTTAGGCGTATCGGTGTTTATATATAGTTGACATGTACGCCTGTTTGTAGATGTTAAATGTTGTCCAACGACCGTGTTACTTTATCTCAGTGTAGTACGAGCTAGATGCAGTCATTGTTTTTTCTTACTAATGATTTGTTACTGTTTTGGCACGATATTAATTACCTTCTGACAAAAAAATATATAATGATGGAAAAAATTTTCGTCGTTTTATTTCATACCTTGTTATATATTCATATGATTGTTTTATGTAAATTTTTGATTAATCAAGCAGATTCATCTTTATTTTGTGGTATAGTGTACATACAAATTATGTTAAGTAAGTTAGTAAATAAAAAACATAAGTGTATTTTAATTCACCAAAAAGCCGCTTAGTTTTCATTGTATTTTCAGTGTATCGTCGAGAATTTTCAATATTTTTATACTACAATAACACATTATTTATTAGATAATCATTGTTTGTGATTTTGACAATTTCATTCCTCAATATATTAATTAACACTTATTTAAGAACAGGTAAACGCTTTACAACAATTCTATCAAAACAATTACACGATCTTCATGAATATTAAATATAACAATTTTTTTTATTAAATTCTCTTCATAACCATAAAAATTAAACCCAATTAACCTATTAATAACTAAAATCAAATAAAACAAAAAATTTCATCATTAATTTAATTCATATAATAATTAATAACTATTTAGTATTAATAACGACCTTTCCTAGTTTTCTATCAGGCACGTTTACAGATTGCATCGTGTCCGTTATGATGCCCGTGGCGACGGTCACGTTGTTCTCTCTGATAGTGAACTGTTGACCTTTGACCATGACCATGCCCTCTAATAAGGTCAGCAACACGTCCGCGTGGTCACCAGGCATCAACATCTCCATTGACGGCTCTGCGAAGAGGTCATATATATGATTATATACAGGGAGTTTAAGTGCTAGTTTTGTGAGAAGTTATAAAAAAAACTTGATAAATGTTTACCATTTTTACTAAAAGTTAGGTAGGAAGTACCAAAAAATACATGAACTTAAAAATTTAACACTATCAAGATATCTTTTTTACTAAAATTAATATCTCATTGATGGGATCACTTCTTCATAACTATCAATAGTTGTTGCATGATAAACAATATATTATTTTTTTAATCTAATTATCAATATAAAGCATACAAAACTGAATAAAAACCAACTACATAAACGCTAAAGAAATGTTTTGTCAAACGCAAGCTTTTTCTATGGAAATTAACATCAGAATATTATCCAAAGATAACTTAACATTTATTTCAGACCATATTGCATAGATCCATATAGTGTTAGTACAAATTAAACTTAATAAATGAATTGGTTTGCAAATTTACAAAAGAAAAGCAATTTTATTTATGATACTTAACTAATTTTAAACAACACATATTTTACTTGACTACGTAGAGTCGTATCCAGTGTTCTAAAAAAATGGTGAATCCCAGCGATCCAACAATGCATGCAGGATTGTGTTGGGACTGTCCTGTACTCGTCGAAGTAAGTAATATATGTTTGACCTTGACCTCACCTAAATCTATCCTGCAAGCAATATTCCACGTCCCGCTGAACATTTGTTGCGTGTATTTTGAGAAGACCGGTTTCTTCCTCCCTCCTTCAGAGTGACTCAGGAAGTAAACCTTCCCCTTATAATGATTACTAAGACTCAAACTCTTGGCCGCACTCACTATCATGCCGGTCTCTACGTTCCTGAGTTTCATGCCGCGGAGTAACACGCCCACGTTGTCACCGGCCAGTGCCTTTATAGCAGGAAAAATAAAAAAATAAAGTTTAAATTTAATATAACCTCTTTGGAGAGAATAAAAAATACAGGCCACTAAACAGTTATATTTTTTAATTTCCTTCAACTTCTCTAGAATTAAAATTGAAAATATACAAGACACTATGTATATTTTTGTAAATTATTAAAGCTATAACCTCATTAAACGAATGTGTTTTGTTATGCGACATGAACTGTTAAATAGACGAAAAAATAATTTAACAAGTTAGAAGATTTGTTTCTTTTAGACAAACTACAAAACAAGTTTTTGACACTATAAAACAAGTTTTTATACTACAAAAAATATATATTTAAAATATGTATATATACAAGGCATAAAGCTACAATATATTTAATTAAAAGGACTTGAGAAATATTTTAATTTTTAACAAAATCTCACCTCGGGCACACTTTTTCTAAATATCTGTATATCAGACAGCGTAGTCTTAATATTATAACCAAACCCCATGAGCTCTGCTTCATCATTTTTCTTCATAACACCTCTTTTTATTGTTCCAACGACAACTGTTCCTCTCCCTGGTACTGTGAAAGCATTGTCTATGGGCAGAAGAAATGGTGATTCTAGATCTCTTATGATCGGTGGAATGTAGTTATCCATAGTGTCCAAGAGTTTCATTATAGATGGGACCCCTGTGAAAATTAAATTATAATCTTTAATTCATATTCAAAGTACACATTCAGTCTCAATTCTTAATGTTATAATTACTTCCAGTTATATCTTACAAAATGGCTGAAGCAATTATAGTTTTAATATACAAGTTGATAGTTAAATGTCATGACAAAATTACAATGGTTCAGTATTATAACTAATAATAATCAGTCATAAAAATAATTTTAAGGATTATAGCATATTATAATCAGTATGGCACAGATGGCGCCACTTGTAATACTTAAACTTTAATTCTTTCTCTTGAATGTAAAGAAATTTCAATTTTAATTAAAGTTTCTATACACTTATAATTCTAAATAACTAATATGTACATAAATAAGTTACTCAGTTGTAATTAATTTTAATTATTTTTACTTAATGTCTAAATATCACATAGTTTAGTATATAATGTTACCTATTTCAGTTTGATCATCTTTTAAAGCAGCGAGTGCTGAACCATGAATGATAGGTGCTGTTAAACCTTCGAAGCCATAATCTGTCAACATTTCTCGCATCTCAATCTCCACTAATTCGACTAACTGAAATATTATATAAAGAATTAGATTAATACTCTCATAGAAAAATTTTGGTAAAAGTGGCCTGTATTATAATGCTAGCTAAATGAAATCATAATTTTACTCCAATTATAGAAAAATTTTCAATTTTTTTTTTGTCATAAATAAGTTGTATGAAATATTTTATGAAATTTATGTAAATAATTCTAAGAGGATATTAATATATTTGTTTTATATAAAAGAACATTAATACTCACTTCATTATCTACGATATCAACTTTATTGATGTACACCAAAACATATTTGATTCCAACTTGTTTTGCCAGCAACAAATGTTCTTTTGTTTGTGGCATCGGCCCATCGTTAGCTGCGACTACAACAATTGCTGCATCCATTTGAGAAGCTCCCGATATCATATTTCTAATATAATCTGCATGTCCGGGGCAATCTGTATGAGCGTAGTGTCTGTTTTTCGTACTGTAGCCTACGTGAGCGGCATTTATGGTAATTCCTTAAAAAAAATAATTATTAAATATTTTTTTTAATCTGATGTCAATTAAAGATGATTATTGAGCTCCTATATTAACTCACCCCGTGCCTTTTCTTCCGGGGCCCTATCAATTTCGTCGTAAGAAACATATTTCGCGAAACCGTCTTTAGATAAAACTTTGGTTATAGCAGCTGTTAGTGTCGTTTTACCGTGATCGACATGGCCTATAGTACCTACATTGCAATGTTTTTTCTCTACAGCCTTAGATTTAACTTTCGTACAATAGTTACAAGAACCGTTTAAAATACCAGTAGTCAATCTACTGCTTCTTAATAAATTAGTTTTCGATGGAAACTTTGGAGTTAAACTACTTATAATACATCGGAATATGAGGCTTCCAGTCATTTTTACTTATTTAATAAATATTTAATATCGGTTTCATAACTCTTGTGAGGTTATTTGTATTTTTAACTTTAGACATTGACATATTTATCAATATATTTTGACAGTGACTTTAGATTTTCAAAAATGCTAAATGTATGTAACTTAAGAGAACGAGATTAAATTATATTTTTAGTTAATAAAATATTAACTATTTATCAACCACTATTCAATAATACATGATATACAACCCAGGGCATCGGCCCTCAATCATTGTCGAGTGACATTTATTGAAATTGTTTCTGTATTTATCCTATGTTAAGGGAATAATATAAATTTTATAAGTATACAATGTAAATTTTTAATATATCGTCTCCTTTTTTCTAAAACATTTTTTTTACGAGACAATCAAAGCATGACGTCGTATTTTATTATTTTGAATTCTTATGAAAATTTCGTACCTAGCCGCAGCTCTTCGCAGCCAGGGTGTAAAGAATTGTGGCTAGGTGTGCAATGGCAACATTGATTTTTTAGAATCCTTATATAAATTTCTAATATTTTTAGGGTTTTTTATATAAAAAATAAATAAACGGATTTTTTTCACAAAACTATTAAAAATAATGGCGGCAAAATTTTGACTGGCAACATAGTAAATATATTATGTTCTCCTTACTATAAATAAACATAAAAATTTGGTTTTAAACAATTAACCGATAAACGCACCAATCCTGCAGTGGGATCTTAAACTATCTGAAATAATAAATCCTTAATTTTTATATTGTTTATTTACAGAAAATTCAGTTTTTTTTCATATGTATAATCTAAATATCAGAAACTGTTAAGCCCTAAAATAATTTAAGTATAATTGATGTCCGGATTATAGATGGAATAATTATGCATATGGAAGCAATTAAAGTAAAATGATTAAAAATTTATCCAACTTTTGATGTGACAAATGAATATGATGAAAGTTAATATAGATTTGTATGAGGAGTGTTCTAACAATTTTTTCTAGATAATTGACGTTTGTAATGGCGGGAAAATAAGAAAAGGGGAAAGTTGTTTTTAAAATATTTATTTTAAATAAACATTTACGATATTCAAGCATATTTCTAAAAGTCATAAGAATTCAGCACAGTTTTGAATACAACATTTTTAACATACAACCAAGGTAGAAACCTTTGATTCATTCTATCAGAATCACGGGGTCTTAAGGATTTTATTCATTTAATACATTAAAAGGTGAATATTTGTGTGAAATATTCAAGAATTCTTACATGCAAAGGTCTTAAATATTCATCATTACAATTTTGATATCAAACACATACGAACTATTTTATAAATACTTTTTAATTGGTTCTTTATGACAACTGTTTTTTTACATATGTATACCCATTTGTTCACCAGATAATTGTTTATATTTTATAAGCTAGCACAGATTCTTAATATATTTAATTATATTTAATGATAAACCAAGTACTACATTAAGTGCTAGCCATAAGAATTTGCAACAATCACAACAGAAGCTAAGAAAAAGATATAAGTCATTTAAGTTATAATGTTTTTCTATAAATTACTTCCAGATATACACATGTCCTTACGTATTTCTATTACAAAACTCGTTTTTCGCATACAGATTACAAATTTAGGCAAGATTTTACATTTCATTTTAAATATTATTAGGCACAAGTGTTATAGGTATAATGTAAATTAATAATTAGTCACTGGCTGTTAGGAATGTCGTCTTATTTCAAACTTCGTACCAATAATGTCAAAATTTCTTATTTTTATACAATGATTACCGTAATCCCGGGTAATCAATATATTCTCACATTCACTGAAACATGTTGCGAATCGAACAACACTTTTTTAACTGTTTGTTGTATTCGATAACATGCATTGATTTTCATTGTTTCAATATTCTATAGTGCAATGTAAACTCAACATTCGATTTCCATATGAAGTGGCGGACCGTACGTAAATCCATATTCGGATCTAGGACCTGGAAATAAAGAAACAATAGTGTGATTAATCATTATATATAACATGACATTTATAGTTTAGTATTGCCATAAAGATATCTTTTCTGGACAATGTAATGGATGAAGAGATTAAAATTTTAAAAATGGCAATATTTTAGTATTAGATTTACATTAACATTTCATAGTATTCAAGATTATTCGTACAACAAATAAATACGTCGATATTGGTCGAATATTTCACGATTCCAGTGCGAATGAAACCATAGCATAAAAATAAAAAAAAATGTTAAAAAGTTAAATTATTAGACATATTCCATTAACACACGATATTATCAACGTGAGTATATATAAAAAGAAACTAAAATATAACATATAAATTATATTTGTGACAAGATAATATATAATAAACTACTAGTTTTGTATCCCAATCACCCTTTAATTCATATCTTAATGTACATATATTTATTAACTAACCTGATCACAACACAATAGTTCCACTCTCTCCTCGGGTGAATCATTATTACAGTCCTCGTTCTTTGAAGTTCCGTTTACATCGCCTCCACCAACAATCTTCTCTACAACATGTTCACCCACTTTACGGACTTGGATGAAATCATTTGCCACCAGACGATCCTTTAGTTGGATGAAAAACATTTAACATTAATAAACTTTGTATACTAATATTGAAAATATATCTATTTTTTCATAATGTACATTATATAAGCACCACATACATATACAGTACTATGAAGTGTTTAAAGCAAAAAAGTAAAAATTTCTAAATTACTACTTTGGCCCTTATACATAGGATCCATCAATATACATAATAAAGAAAAGTACAAGTTGCTTAGATAGTAAGTTAGGTTAAATAAAATTATTTGAATTAATAATTAAGATGTTTCAGTAGCAATTATTGTTTTAGATCAAGTATTAATTTTTGCTTAAAAAAAGTTCCAATAAAATTTTCATACATACTAAGTTCTATAATTCCTTTCGGATATGATTTTCTCTGAATAAATTCATAAATTAAAAAAAATCAGGCTATTTTTTTTTAACTCAAGGAGTGTTTTAATAACTAAAACATTTCCTTCAAATTTTTTTTTTGTTTTTAATGGACTTTAAATATTTATCTGTAATTTTTAGATTTTTTATAATTTGTGTAATTTGATATATTAATTTACGAAAATATTTTTCTAAAAAACCTATTGAACCCCTTGAGATATTGAATCTTATGTTTGACAAGATAATTTATCTTTATTTAGTATCCTCTTAACGACTCTGTATTGAAAGATTAGATATTTGATTACACTTTACCTAAAAGATTCTGTTATAATAAAATCTTAAAAAAGCATATATTGCTGGGGAAAATACAAATCACAAATAATAAAAAATTAAACACTAAATAATTACTTAATTCTTATAATTTGCTTCCAATGCGGAATTATCCAATGATAGTTACGCGGATTTTGCACTATCCCCGACGATATATAATTTTTTTGTATAATATGTATTAAAATCACCTTTTTCTGCCGATCCTGTTTACTCTGACAACTTGAATGTGGCAGTAGATAGAATGGCAGTTTGTTCAGTTTCGGTGCAGCCATTTCTATGGCTACATCCACAACCCACGAAGGAACGGTTTCCATTAAAAGGTTACCCTCGGTCTCACCACCAGCGTCGCCAACCTGAACACATTTAATTAAAAATATTAGAGATGAAACCTCTCAGCATTATATGTATTAACATATAGCAAATGTTTAACCACTTAAGCTATAACACTTATTGATAGCCCTATTACAATAAAAATTAACATCTAGATTTAAAGGATGTGGTCATAATTAGTTAGATTAAAAGTACTAATATAATTATACTAATGTGTAACAATAAAATAGCAATAAATCTATCTATGTTTGAACCTTTTTGGTAAAAAGTTATATAGAAACTATAGATAAAGTTAGATAAAGTTATATAGAAACTATAGATATGGTTAAATAGATAATGTTCATTATAAATGAACCACAAACCTGTAATCTGTAGAGCGTTCTTCCACCAACTTCACTGAATATTAATGGAGTGTGTAACGGAACACTGAAGTATATGTTACCAACGACTTTCAGTCCCGCTTCGTTAACCCTATTGGGATGATTCCAATGATCCAACAAAGCTTGTAATAATAAAGCCCCGAAGTTAACTTTCTGATCATTCTCCGTTATCAAACCGGCCTCTTTAGCACTAACCCATGCGCTGAAACAGTCGGTCTCATCTTGACCCAGATGTATTGTTAACATTCCAGTCTTTAAATCAACGTTGAACCAATTCGGAACGTAAACCATTTTGAAACGTTTCTTCAATTCCTCTTCATAATCAACTTCACCCAAATCTTCGACTTTGCACGCTTTCAGCACGTCATATAATACAACATTGTTGGTTGTGTCTTTAGTTAGAATGTGCCGTTTGTCGTTTAAAACAGTGTAGTGTTTTATTGCTCTGCCGCCGACTATGTTGTGTAATGGTTGCGTTTGGTATACATTGTTAGTATTATAATTGTTCTGATTATACATATCTGAGTTTAATGAGTTCAGTGGAGGCAGTTTCCAACATCTTATGTCTGAATCCGATGTCGCCACCCATATACCCTGTTGGTCGGCCGTAAAACACAATTTTAATATTGGAGCAGTTTCTTCACATACTATCATGTAGTTTTCTGGGTTCCTCAGTTCTGTTATGATGACTAGACGATCTCTACCACCTGATATTATATGAGTGAAGTTTTCAGTCGCCAGTAAAGCCCACACAGCCTCGGAATGAACACGTATAGTAGAAACACATCTCTGTTGTGATAGAGACCATAATTTAATAGTACCGTCAGAACTTCCGGACACACATTGTGAGCCGTCTCTGCTCACGACTAGCGCTTTTACGTTATCAGCATGGCCTTTTAGCTTCATAAGACGCGAGCAATTTCTGGGATCCCAAACTCGAAGAACTTTTTCAGTTGAGCCGCTGACTAAGATTGTTCCAGGAGGATTCATAGCCAAGCTGTATATAGACTCTTTATTTCCTACCAAACTCGACGTAGTAACAGTATTATTGCTCGCAGTTAAAGCTGTTAAAGTATTTACATCCCACAAGAATATGGCGCGATCTAGTCCTGCACTAGCGACTTGCTCTTTATCTTTAGCGTACGCAAGAGTCCGAACATAATCTTTATGGGTTCTTAAAGTGGACATACAAAAACCTTTCGGTGCGTTCCATACTTTTACAGTAGTGTCAGATGACGCGCTTATAAGATTTTTTCCGCCACAACATAATACTATATCATTCACCCAATCGGTGTGGTGTTCCATGCTCTGGATGTATCTATCCTGAGTACCGCCTCCTGTGTGCCAGACACGAATAATTCCATCTCGGCCTGCTGAATAAAGTCTGCCTTGTATAGGATCCAATTGTAACGAGCTAACACCGTTTTTATGACGTCGTTCTTCTTCGTCACGGATCACAAATGATACCTGGGTCTTTTTACGCATGTTCGTGCCCATTTTCCGACATTTTAAATTAATAATCGAATTATATTTTTAAAAACTAAAAGAAATCATTTCTACACTTGACAACCTGTTTTCATTTGACATAATAACTGACGTTCCGATTTAGGCATCAAGTAGTAGAATATTTCTGAATTATTAAATAAAAATATATGATAAAAAATGATTAAAAATGTATATACTATATTATTGCATAAAATGATTCATTATCTTTTTAGTGAATTTTTAACTTTTTAGATTATTCTTAATATGCAGAAGTTGTAGTTACGTAAGAAAGGATTAAGTTTTTGTATTAAAATGTTATAGAAATTGGACATAAATGGCACATCAGTTATATATTTGTTTAGTTTAACTCATAAAATGTTATATATTTTTTAATTTCAGTAATAAAATTTTAAGAATAATCCCATTTTATAAATTACATTTCAATGGTTTTATCAATTTATACAACTGCCTTGATCTAGCGAGACCAACATGGAATTAAGAGATAAATTATAGGCTACATAGTATTATTATTTGTAAGCTTTATTTTTGTTAAGTTTTACCAAAATTCATTCAGTAGTCTTCGAATTAAGGCGTAGCAAATAAATGTATATAAATCCTCTCAAACTTTCCAACTAATAATATTAGTATGTAATTTTTTTATATGTATATGTAATTTTAACATTTTTAAAATAGCGCATAAAAGTAAATTCTTTTATTTATACCAAAAAACAATATTGTTGATCCATATAATTTCATGTATCAATTCAGTTGATGAAACATTCCATTTTACGTCCTGTTATTAGATTTTCGGTAAATTTACAAAATCTTATGTTGTGTAGAATTTCATAGATTCAAAACGTTTTGATCTGTTACTTGATGAGTTATAGTAATCTAATGTTCGATCAACTTATGCGGGTGTGTTTGTGTATTCGACTATATTGACCGAAACTCAATTAAAAGTAAATATTATCCAAGGATTGAACGGAAGATATCAAACTATAATAATCAAATCTGAATTAGTTATTTGGTTGACTGGATTTGACGAGAACAGGAAGTTTTAAGACTTTGACAGTAGAAATGGCACCGGTTCGATGTTATAATGGAATGATGACGTAATTTATTATTATTATTATTTTTTTTAGCTTCTTTTTGATTCTTAGTTTTTTTATAATCTATTGAAAGTATTATGAAAATATGTCAATCTAACTTAGCGTTCCGTTTACCAAGATGGCTGACATATGTTTTAATTATTCTGGCAAGTTTATTCTAACAGACTATATATAAATATCAAAAGATGAAACCTACAATAACCATGACAAATGGAAAGTATTATTTATAATATTTACATTTATTTGCTTCTAACACAAGACTGATAAGAAAAGAACAAAACTCATGATTTAATCTCCACAGTTAACATATTCCAAAGGGTCTAAAATTTTAGGTACTGGTACATTTCTATAATTTTTCAACATATTCTATGTTTCATCTCCTCAACACGTACATAAAATTTAATTTGTAAGTTTTACAAGTTTTAATAGTAATGTTGGCCTAATGGTTAAAGGCCCGCCTCTCATGCATGAAGACGCGGGTTCGAAAACTGGCAAGTACCAATGTGATTTTTCCGAGTCATATGTACTTTCTAAGAGTATTTAGACACTACTGACAGACGGTGAAGGAAAACATCGTGAGGAAACCTGGACTTATAATTTCCAATTATAAGTTTGTAATCGCCAACCCGTGAGAAGAGGCCTTTGCTCAGTCGCGGGCTCTGATAGGCTGATGAATTAAATTAAAATATTGGTCGCAGCCAATATTTAAATAATTTACGATGAAACTTTTAATATTGTGAACCTTATTTTAGTGTCCAATAAAAGAATCAATGATATTTTCGGTTAATTCCAGGTAACTCTATGGCTTGTATATTTTTGTTTATGCTCCATAAATGACATTATTTAAATCAAATAGCGGGAGAATTCATAGTTTGCAACGCGGTATTACAACTATTCACAGTCTTAGCTTCGTTAACATTGTTTAAATGGCGGGATTGCAAACATAATATCGTTTAGTGACTACATTTAGTGATATTTAAATAATTTTCAAAGTGGGTTGGTTCGTTCTGTATAATATATACAATAAAATTAATGAAAAAATAAAATAATCAATGAACAGATTTGATAGTGTTAAATGTATATATAGAATCATAATTTTGGAGACATATTTAAAATAGAATTTAAAAATAGGTTCACTATTAAAGAAAAATATCAATTACTTTTGTAGTAGAGATGAAACCTCCCATCATTCAATGTATTCACGGTGCGTGTGTCGGGTCCATCTTTGTAGTGAGAGGAGCTTCAACAGTGACTGGGACTTGTGACTCAGGTCACAGGTGTAGGTTTAAAGGACCCCTGTCTAACGCGCGTTAAACGTTCACCTCCACTGTCCAAACTCCTAGTATACATCGAAAATATATGAAAAGTTGTAATAAATTAGGTCAAATAAATTTACTTGTTCTTGTTAGGCTATTTTTTTCAGTGTCGTTATATATTATATGAAGTAAATCGAATCTGTAAGCGATTTTGTTGTGTTAGTTTGATAGTTTTCCCTCGCATTGGTCTCTTGGGACAGGTGACAATATAGAACTTGTACGATCATATCCTATCCTCATAAAATATAACTGCAGATTTTATAAGAAATATATTTTGGGTTTATTGTTTCCCATTGTTTCTGATTATCGATTATTTTTGGTCACTAACAATAAATTTCAATTGCATGAGGAACATTTGTTATTAGTATATTAATCTGTGTTTTATGTGAATATATAAATATATGTATTATGGAAATTAAGTGTATATGACATTCATATTGTAACATAACTGATAGGATTTGTTTATACAAGTGAACCTTTAGCATTAGTCCTTCTCCAAAATGCGCTTACTATTAAGCTTCTGAGCATTCCGTATCCAGCTACGCCTCACCACTTTTCACAAATCGTCTTTACTACGATACTACGATTACCTAAACCCGTAAGAGTGGAGCTTACACGTTGTAGCTTCATAGATTATCTGAACTTTAGCTACTCTTCTCTTGAGAAAGATTCTATTCGGATCCCAGTTTGCCAGACGAACTCAAAGCATCTCAGAGCTTGGTCAAGGACCTAGCATTAATGGACCAGTTGATGTGATAAGACAAGTGATCATAATGTCAAAGAATACTGTTGTGTTTTGAATTGAAGATTAAGAATGATGTATTTGACATGGGAAAGAAGAGAGTTCCTTTTCTTTTCATTGCCTTATTAATGTTCCGATCGACAGTATGTAAAAGAAACACTACCAATTTTCAGCTTTGTATGATGGTACAGGTGATATACATAGTTGCTATACTCGTCGAAAACTAATGAAAAAGTGTACGATAAAAGAAAGGACCATTGACTTTCTATTTATCATATTACATACATTTTTACAAAACTAATTCGAGTTGGTCTGTAATTCTAATAGTCAGTACTTCATCTATTAAACTAGTCGAGTCGAGTTAAATCATAAACTATCGTCCTTAGTTTAATACTAGCTCCTCCTAAGGTATGTAAGACTGAGGATGCTTAAGGAAAACAAATGTCAAGCTAGAACAGTCAATCGTCGAACACAGCTACGATTTCATGGTTTAATAGTAGGGGTCACTTTGTTCCTAGCTCACAAGGTACAAAACTCTAAAGATCGATCCGCAAATATCACGAAAGTAAATTATAAACTAAAAAACTTTATTTAGACCCTAAAATGTTGTAGTTTCTTTATCAAATGAAAAGCTGACGAAAAGTACAAAACAATTACACGAGAAAAATATAAATCAATAATAAAATCCATATCACTGGTTACACGAATATAAAGTTAGTGGGAAATTGATCAGAGTCTGAGGATTATATGGAATTTGAAGAGAGCTACGGTCATAAGAAATAAAATATGTATATATAATAATAATGAGCAGTATAACGATATATGTACAATGAAAGAAATATTGTGATTAATATTATTGAGATATAACATATATTTTTAATAAATACTTTAAATTACATTTTTATGTTTTAAGACCAAAAAAATATGAATAATAAAAAAATTACACATGACATTAATTGATACTTCTAACTTGGTTATCCGGAGATATATCTGTCCTCAAGTATCTCGTGTAAGTCGAGTCAATGAACCTTTACCTGTATCACTGCTCACATATCGAATTTGACTAGCATAGATTTTACCAACATTACCTTTATATTAATTAATAATAGTATACTATTTGATTAATTTATGCACAATTTTACTATAATAACTTAGAACATTTCTAACTCGGTTCTTTTTTACTGATATTTATAGCGAAAAAACTTAACATTATGTATGTCAGTTATTCTTCGGAGAGGTTTTCTAAATATTTACCTGGGTCTCGATTCTTCGGACGTTTGCGTTCTTCGGTACGTCGAAATAAAAAATATGTGTATTGGTGAATATTATAACAAAAATGAAAGAAAATGTAATATATAAAAAATATTTAAAGATAAGTTAGTTTGTAATTATATGTAAGCAATTATATTGTTTTACGAGCTTAAAAACAAGTTAACAAAATGTCACTCGCTTGTACTAAAGGATAGTTACAACAGATTCTAAAGAGCATAAAAAGAAGTAAGGTTTTTGGAAGTGTATGTACGGTGTAGGTACACATTGTGTTTCTATGTTATATTTTGGTAACAAACTTAATTATTGTGATAAACATAATAATTTACAAATAATATGTTTCTCATATTAATTTTATGATTTCTTTAATAACTTTTCATTGAAATACTCACACTGGAATATTCAATAACTTTTAAGACATTCTTAAAAAAAAACAAATGTACAATACAGTCAGAGTATCCAATTTTCGATTTGATTTTATGTATAATTAAAAAACACAGGAATTGGCAACTTAAAATAAATTGGATAATCTACTTATCCCAGTATTTTCTCGTTCGAACAAGTTGAATGAACAGC